CAGAACAGTAGCAAGCACGTTTTGGCTTGGCCCATAAATATTACCAAACATATCGTGTGATTCTAAATTTTACAAACGGCATGACGTAACAAATTTAAAATTGATTTTGTATTTCAACTAAATTTGCCTAGATAATTGATCAAATATCATTTCTCCTTGTTCACACATTATTACTGTACATTAAACCTTGAATACTTTGCGGGAAAGTATAAAACAGCAAAAAAACATTTGCAAACTCTAGGGATTCTTTTCTTGGATTACAAAAATCATCGTTTTTAAAATGGCGATTTCTCGGAAACCGCGAATAAAGGCAGCACTACGAAATATTGCGGATACAAGCACATACATTATAGATTCGATTTTATTATGTCAGAACAGTAGCAGCACGTTTGACTTGGCCAATATATAATACCAAACATAGCGTATATTCTTCAATTTTTAAAACAACGCGGACGTAACATATTGAAAAAGGGTTTGTATTTCAACTAAAGTTGCAGGATAATTGACCAAATATCTTTTTCCATTTGTCCCATCAACACTGTACGTCTAGTAAACTTAGAATAAGTTTCAGAAAGTATAAAGTAATAATAAAAAAGTTTGCGCACCCTCGTGAATTAGTTTGAAAATTTCGAGAATTATCGTTTTTTGGAGTGGTGATTTCTCGAAAAACCGCCAATAAAGGCAGCATCAAGACACATTCAGAGAAAAGGCACATACCTTATAGATTCAATTTTTAATATGTCAGAATGGTAGCAGCACGTTTTTGACTTTGCATATATAATACCAAACATAGCGTATATTTCTTCAATTTTACGAACAATGTGGACGACACTAATTTAAAAATAGGTTGTATGTCAACTAAATTTGCTGAACGATTGATAAAATATATATATTTTTTTCTTTGTCACACATTAATACTGTACGTCTATTAAACTTAGAATGAGTTGCGAAAAGTATAAAATACCAAAAAAACATTTTACGCCCTCTTGTGCATTCTTTTCAAAATTTCGCAAAACTGTCGATTTTGGAAGGGCAATTTATCGAAATCCGCCAATAAAGCAGCACTACGACACATTCGGCGAATAGCAGATACATAAAAAATTCGATTTCACGAAACCAGAACAGTAGCACCACGTTTTAATTTGGCCATATATAATACCAAACATAGCGTGTATTCTAAATTCTATAAACAATGTGTGGGAAACAAATTTAAAAAGGGTTTGTATTTCAACAAAATTTGCTTGATAATTGATTGAATATCATTTTCTCTTTGTCACACATTAATACTGTACGTCTGTTAGACTTAGAATACGTTGCGGGAGGTATACAATATCAAAAAAACATTATACGCCCTCTCGTGGATTCTTTTCAAACTTTTGGAAAATTATCGATTTTTGTAGGGCAATTTCTCAAACCACCAATAAAGGCAGCACTACGACACATTTAAAGAAAAGTAGTTACCGTATAGAATCGATTTCACTATACCAAAACAGTAGAAGCATGTTTTGACTTGGCTTTATATAATATCAAACATAGCGTGTATACTCTATTTTATAAACAATGTCGACGTAACAAATTTAAAATGGATTTGTATTTAAACTAAAGTGGCTGGATAATTGATCAAATATATTTTTCTCTTCGTCACAAATTACTACTGTACGTCTAATAAACTAAGAATTAATTGGGAAAGTATTAAATATCGACAAAAAAAAAACATTCACGCCCTCTAGTGGATTCTTTTCTGAATTTCAAAAAATAATCGTTTTTGAAAGGGCGATTTCCCGAAAACCGCCAATAGAGGCAGCACTACGACACATTCGGAGAAATGCAGATACCTTGTAAATTCGACTTCACTATACCAGAACAGTAGCAGCACGTTTTGACTTGTCCATATATAATACCAAACATATCGTATATTTTTCAATTATTCAAATAGCATAGATGTTCACATATTTTAAAAAGGTTTGGTATTTTCAAATTAATTCACCTATTAACGTAATATTTCGTTTCTTACATTTTCAAACACCGATACTGTGTGTTAATTAAACTTGGAATAATTTGCAAACTGTATAAAACAAAAAAATGTCTCACGACCTATATATAATTTTTTTATTTCCCAAACATGCCGTTTTTGGAGTGACACATTCGGAGAAACGCAGATACCTTATATATTCGATTTTTATCATGTTAGAACAGTAGCAGCACGTTTTGACTTGGCCATATATAATACCAAAGATAGCACATATTCTCTATTTTTTAAATAACGTAGATGTTCACATATTTTAAAAGGGTTTGCTATTTGAAATAAATTCACCTAATAACGTAATATTCCGTTTTCTTACTCTTTCAAACACCGATACTGTGCGTTAATTAAACTTGGAATAAGTTGCAAATTGTATAAAATAATAAAAAAATGTCTCACGCACTGTATATTATTATTATTTAAACTTCCCAAACATGCCGTTTTTAGAGTGACGATTTCTTGAAAATCGCCAATAAAGGCAGCATTACGACACTTTAGGCGAATAGCAGATACATTGAAGATTCAATTTGACTGAACCAAAACAGTAGCAGCACGTTCTGATTTGGCCATATATAATACCAAACATAGCGTGTATTCAAAATTTCAAAAAACAATGGAGACATAACATATTTAAAAAGAGTTTTGTGTTTCAACTAAATTTACCAGATAATTTATCAAACTTTTTTTGTCTTGCTAACACACCAATACTGTACGTTCATTAAACTTGGAATAAGTTGGCGAAAGTATAAAATACCAAAAAATCATTTTACACCCTCTTGTGAATTATTTTCAAAATTTTGAAAATTATAGTTTTTAGAGTGGCGATTCTCCAAAAACTGCCAATAAAGGCAGAACCACGACACAATCGGAGCAAATCTGATATCTTAATATATTCGATTTCATTTTACCAGAACAGTAACAGCACGTTTTGACTTGGTCATATGTAATACCAAACATAGACGTGCCCCTACTGTTCTGGTTTAGTGAAATCGAATCTTTAATGTATCTGCTATTCGCCGAAAGTGTCGTATTGCTGCCTTTATCGGCGGCTTTCGAGAAATCGTCACTCCAAAAACGGCATGTTTATGAAATTAAAAAAATTATATATAAGTCGTAAGACATTTTTTATTGTTTTATACAATTTGCAACCTATTCAACCTAGTTTCATTAACACACAGTATAGGTGTTTGAAAAAGTAAGAAAACGGAATATTACGTTATTAGGTGAATTTATTTGAAATACCAAACCCTTTTTAACCGCTTGAACCCGGCAAGCCGATTTACCGGCTTGTTTGAGTACGCTCTGTGCCCCGGCAAGCCCGTTTACCGGCTTGTTTTTCGTGTCGGAAGGAATCAACTTTATGATCTCGTATCTCAAGAACCACAATGAGTATTTAAAATATGTGAACATCTACGCTATTTAAATAATTGAGAATATACGCTATGTTTGGCATTATATATGGCCAAGTCAAAACGTGCTGCTACTGTTCTGGTATAGTGAAATCGAATCTACAAGGTATCGTCGTAGTGCTGCCTTTATTGGCGGTTTTCGAGAAATCGCTATTTCAAACACGATTAATTTTTTAAGAGTAAAAAAAAAACACCAGAGGGCGTAAATGAGTTTTGGTATTTTATTCTTTCCGCCACCCATTCCAAGTTTAGACGTACAGTAATAATGTGCGACAAAAAAAAAAGATATTTAATCAATTATCCAGCAAATTTGGTTGAAACACAAACCCTTTTCAAATTGTTACTTTTCTATGTTTAAAAAATTTGAGAATATAAGCTATGTTTGGAGTTATATATGACCATTATAAAATCGACTCTATAAGGCTTCTTCTTTTCCGCCAATATGTCGTTATGCTGGCTTTATTGGAGGTTTTCCAGAAATCGTCCATCCAAAACTGTAATTTTTTCGAAATTTTAAAAATAATCCACAAGGAGGCGTAAAATGTTTTCCCTTATTTTTTTCTCTCCGATACCCATTTTAAATGTATTTGACGTTTGATATCGGTGTATTAGAAACTAAAAAAGATTATTGTTCAATTATTTAGTAAGTTTAGTGGATGTACAAAACCAATTTTAACTATGATTTATATATATTTTCCCTAAAATTACCAAAAAATACGCTAACTTTGGTATTATATATGGCCAGTTCAAAACGTGCTGCTACTATTCTGTCATGGTGAAATCGAATCTATACGATTTTTTCTTTTCCCTCAATATGTCGTTATGCTGGCTTCATTGGCGGTTTTCGAGAAATCGCTCATCCAAAACTGTACTTTTTCGAAATTTCCAGAATAATCCACGAGATGGCGTAAAAAAAAATTTTCTATTTTATTCTCTCCAATACCCGTTTTAAATGTATAAGACGTTTAATATCGTGTATTAAAAACTAAAAAAGATAATTGTTTAGTTATTTAGTGAATTTAGTTGAAATACAATAACAATTTCAACTATGATTTATATTTATTATTCCTGGAATTACCGAAAAATACGCTATGTTTGGTATTATATATGGCCAGTCAAAACGTGCTGTTACTATTCTGTCATGATGAATTCGAATCTATAAAGTTTCTTGTTTTCTCCCAATATGTCATTATGCTGGCTTTATTGGAGATTTTCGAGAAATACCTGCCCCAAATCAGGCCAATACTGAAATTCAGTCAATTTAAAACAACCCTTTGATACAGCTTGGAATTTATAATTGGGACTGTTACAGTTGTTTTAGCGTAGTATTATATATTAAAAATGTGAATAGTGTGATGACTGATGGTTTTACTTTGATTGCTATCGGTAAATCACTCAAAATATACACTTCCTAGCACAAAATGATTGGGAACATTTGATTTTACGTGTAGGAATTTTCTGCGATTCTGTCAGCTCCAATTTCGTGATTTTCTTCTAACTTCACAGAGGTATCTCTGCTGTTTATTGTGCGGTTAAACCTGCTTGACTTATAAGACGGTAAGAGTAAGGATATGCTATTTTGAACCCGCTGGCTCAACTATTTTATCACTATTGCTCATCGTTTAGTTGAATCTGTTAGCTATAAGAAACGACATGGTGTCGCCAAGAAAAGTTGAGTTGTTCCAGGGTGTTTTATCTTTTCTAGCTGCATTTTTATTCACAAATGGAATATTTGATTTGGCGTACAATCGGTAAATATGTTTAGTATTCATTTTTGTGACAGAAACATTTGACTAATCATTTTTGATCATTTAATATAGTCTGTAGGTAATGTTTTGAAACTGCTTAATGCATGAGGGTGTATCGCGATATATCTCTAATTATCCCAAAGGTCCAATTATAACGCATCCGTGAGCATCTTACCCAAATGCAATGAAATCGTGATAATGCAGATATGATCATGCTTTTCACCTAGGTTTGTACGACGGTTTATGCATTCGTTGCATCCGCAATTTGAACTCTCCATCATGGTGATGGTATTGTGTAGTATAATTATTTGCTAATAACAAATTTGAGATAAACTACCTTATTATCTATTACTTGCTTTGTGAATTGAGTGATAGTTGTTTAGATGCTTAAAATATGAACACGAATATGGGTGCTACCACATATACGAGCTTGGCTCGTCTTCTGGAAAGAAGAAAAAAATAAAACCTTAAACTAGCAAAACATTCAAGTATTGAAACAAAACAAGGAATATACATATATATATACGGACGATTGCAGAAATTAGTCTATATTATTGCATTGATTGCAAATACTGCTCAGTATTTAATGTCACTTTTTTCATGTTTTTTTGCGCCTGTCCCCAATCATTACCCCGCATTCAATTGACTACCAGTTGGAGCGCTGTAAAGTAATTATTGCAAAATGATTTGAAGATTTCAGAGTAATAAGCTGTTATTATCATAAATATAAATTCTCAAGAATATTTTTATCCTAGGTTCATTTTTGAACTCATGAAATTGTCCAACCGAACTTCTCGTTAAAATGATGTCATTCTAAAAAGCAGTGATGAAGGAATAAATATTACAAGCCATATCGGTGATAAATGTCTTTAGTTACAGTATTGCTTAGCACTTAGTGGTATACATAAAAAAACTCCTCATCGGAGATACATTTACACAACAGGCAGATTGGTGATCAAGAATATATTGACAATTTGTGGGAATTGACGAGAAATGATTTGAACATCAATTTCAACAAAAGCAGTATGAGAGACAAATTTTTCTTCACTTTAGAACCATGGAAAGTTATGAATAATATAAAAAATGGCGTATTTTGCCCATATACAACACAAAAGGGTGAGAGAAAATTGTATTGTTTATTACTAGTTTTGATTTGTCATCAAAGTGGAATTGGATTTCATGTTGTCATCTCTCACTTTATTAGTGATAACTTGATTAGTGAATATGTGTCAAAACTTACCAATAGTTACCCAAAAGTTTTTTGCCTTTTCGCGAATCTATAGCTATTATTCTAAAAATCGTATGCTTCATCAAAATATAAATTAATTGTACAAATATATACATATTGGTTGAAATATAGATTTGTCTGGCAATGCAGGCATGGCTGATGTCGCGAACTGTGTAAAGGCATAATTAGTTGGTTTTATTTTGCTGCCAAGAATTATCCATTTTGTATTCGTGAACTTTTTAGGCCTTATAAAAATAGTTGTGATGATAAAATCGGCGGCCGAATATGAAGCACGAAGGGATATCGTCCGTCAAACATGGGGTAGGATATCTCACATTGACAATGTTGTCATTGACGTTGTCTTCATCATTGGGTCGACGACGAAAGATGTTCAACAGAAAATTGAAACTGAACACTTAAAACATGGAGACATTCTACAGTTTATTGGAGTCGACGACTACAGGTAGTTCGAAATAAAACCAATAATACGTATTAACTAGAGAGGGTCAATCTATAGTAACTATTCTTTTAACATAACACAAATTTTCATTGTATTTAATCTGGGTATTTGATAAAAACAAAGCGAAAGACTCCGCCTATTAGCTAATTTATGAGTGACCATTAGAAAAACAAAACCTACTGAAATTTGTTTAGTGATTTCACTCCCGAGTTGATGCTCCTTCGAGTGACAAATCGAATAGATTTCATAACCGATAGTGAAGTGCATGAAGAAAACTCATTGTTGACACCAAATCTGAAATTCATTATTATCAACTTAGGATAAAATTATTGTAAAATCCAAACAGGACATAAACAGGTATTAACGAAATTTATTTCGCCATCAACATGACCTATTTTTAATGTATTGTAATTCACAAAAAAACAGTAATTTTAAATCATTTCATCAAATTTCTGTTCATTGGAAATTTTTTTTTCTTCAAAAATGCTCTCACCAGAATTTTTTGGACCAAACTGTGCCCAATGAAGGTGAAAGTCGTTAACATGCATAATGAGTGTTTAGTTTATAACACCTTTTTCAGACATATCAGTTACAAGGTGTTGTCAGGAATGCAATGGGCGAAAGACAATTTACCCAAAGATTATTTTTATGCAACGGGTGATGATGATTTAACGCTGGATGTTAAGGTATTGCCGAGACACCTAAGACGGCATATGAGATACGCTCTTGAAAGATTGCCACGTGAAAAAGCAAATAATCGTTTAGAGCAAATTCAACAAATGCCCATTTTATGTGTGTTTACATATAAAAATAAGGCGGAACCCGCGAGGAGATTAGATTCCAAGTACTATTTAGATCCAAAAGAATATCCCATGGATTATTTTCCAGCATTTTGCTTGGGAGGTTGGTATATGATGCCCGTAGTTAGCGCTGCTAAATTGTATGATGTTTCAAGAAAAGAAAAGATACTTCCAATGGACGATGTTTGGATAACCGGTATTTTGAGACAAAAGATAAAACCGAAACTCATTGAACCAATTGATAGTTCAAGTATGGGGTTCAAGCCAAAGATTGTACAGCATTTCAGAGGAGATACGGACTTTGCAACTGCTGAAGACATTTTACGTCTCACTGTATCCCACTGGAAAGAATTGGAAGCTGGTATAGCTGAACATAAGCACTGTCTTCGAAAATAGTATTATTTTAATTATTTAAAACGCATACAAATAAACATTTGTATGAATTCGCATGTAAGTTGATGCAAGAGGAGTTTTTACTAACGTATTTTTTCAACACAAAATGTTTTATAGGCAGAGAATCTCTGCCTCAGAGCTAAGATCTGAAGCCCGACCCGACCCGAAATTCGGGCGGGTCGGGCCTGAAATGTCAATCATTACGTTCGGATCGGGTTGGGCCGGGCTTCTCTATCGCTGACTTTTTTTTAAATAAATATATGTTTATAAAAAATATATACTAAAACTATGTGTGGATACCAAACTAAGGAATACTTGTTATAAAATAAATAATTTGGATAAAACAGAGAAGGAGCCGTAATTGCTATTTAACTACTAAACACGAGTCGCAGAGCAGAGCAGGCTTTGTGCACGTGAACACTGCCCTCTTAATAATCTTCCCCTCGGCAAGATTTTGACCTGGTATTCCCAGTATGGAGCAGCAAGAAGTAAAGGATAAACTAAAGACAGAGGAACTGAAAAAGAAAACACATATCGGTAAGAGCAAGGTTTAGAAAACCTTTGAACTGATTGTTGGAAATCCTGCAGAAACTTGCGTGGGCTTCGCTGATCTAGTTTGTGTAGATTTATTATAGGCCTAGGCTATTTCTGTGTTCTTGCTCTTTGATCATTTCATAAGAGTTTCCTCTTTCAGACCAAATTAAATGTAGAGAAAATTAAAGTTTCTATCTTAAAATTTTCTAAACAAAACCATAGGAATAACAATTTCAAATACTTTTTTCCATTTGTTTGATTTGCATTATTCTATTTTTACAGCATTTCTCCCGTAATTAAGCAAGTGCGCATATGAGTGCGTAATGCCCTTTCAGTGTCAAAGCTAGTAGCGTGGCCCATCATGTGCTAGAAACACCGTGATTAAATCTTTCTTTCTCCTGTGACTGTCCGTTAATAATATTGCTTGATTAAGATTATGATATGAGCTTCACCAAAAAATAAACACCTGCAACATATGGTGTTACCGGTATAGAGGACTTGCACGGGTCACGTGATCTTGTTTACTGGAAGGCAATAAAACAAAAACGTCCATTTGGCTCCTGTCAGTTGCAAGTCGGATTATACGTTTCCGTTTTGTTTGGCTGTTGAAAATGGTTATTTCGATTGTTACGCTGGCTGTACGTATAGTATAGACAACGAAATGGATTTTCAGTTATATTCCACTGTTTTCAAAAGATCCAGAACGTCGCGCAATGTGGATATCATTTATTGGCAGGACTGCTTGGTGTCAAGTCCAGAAGCCATCTCACTTGTGGTTCAATGTTTGCGGACAGCACTTCGTTGATGGTGAGTCATAATGTGCCGTTATCAATTTTTTTTAATATTCATAGGCTCCCTCATTTCAATGGAAAGCAGATGACAAACTACTGTTATTGGTAGGCCTAGACCAACGACTAACATACCGGCCTAGGCATAGGCCTACTTGCAGACTTGACTCGTGTAAAGTATTAATCAATAATTGCCCTAAAGTATTGTTTCCCTAGTTAGCAGGTAATCTATTAGTACGTGTGAAAAGTTGAATAGATAACTAAAGTTTAACGGCAGTGCTAATGCAAAAAATAACCAGAATTCAATTGAATTCTCCATCTAAGAATACGCTTGCCACCGCATCTCTGATCCCCCTGGGAGTTTCACAGGTTCCAATCCCATGCGGGGATAGGTATGTGCGAGGGGATTGCAGCTCTCCTCCCACTGAGGGTTGTTCACACGACCGCTGGTCGATTACGACATCCCCCCCCCCCCCCCTCCATCAAATCCATGCTTCTAAAACAAATAACTGGCTAACTAAGCCCGTCATAGAATGGTAATCGTACGATGTTGCACCTTGCAATCTGTCCCCAACCACAGATAAATTCTATCCTAGAAACTACCCACATTGGTAGGCATAGTTGCGTTTTAAATTGAAAGAAACCTTCATTAATGGTCAGAAGGTGTTGTCTGATTGTTTTATTAGTTAGCAGGTAATTTATTACTGATCTGATACACAAACTTGGCACTGTCAAATGATGATTAGTGTTTAATTTATTTTCAGGAAAAAGGGAAGATAACCCATTATCAGCTGTTATTGAATATTATATGTCCCATCGATATTTTTGCCATCTCCAGAACGGAAGAGAATAGTTAGAAAAAGGGGGATTTTGAAGAAAGGCAAAAGGCAGGACCATTTCAACAAAATCTGTTAACTTGTATGCGTTACAATATTACTTTGCAAAAATATCCCATCCTGAGCCGCACCGATCCACAACCTCCTGCCTATGAAATCAAAACATTAGACAAATTGGTGTACTGTGCGCATTCACAAATCTTTGCGAATCAAGTGTGCCTTTTGACTAAAGAAAATTTAGCATTGAAATGGTCAATCTTAATATCAACTAGTACTTAATTAGTATCTGCAGATGAAACCAATTGTTTTTTAAAAATACATTTTTGATGTGCTTTATTTTTCAAATATAATTTATAATTACTGTAAAGTGTGTGATACATTTGGTACCATGAATACCATTTGCAAATTAGCTTGGGTTACACCCCTCTCAAATAAAAGTTTAGACTCTTATGTCATATCTCATAATATTCTTTAAACAAAAGGTTGCGGCTAGCCGGCTACCCATCAGAATGTTCTTTCAGATCACAAAGTCGCAATATTACACCTCGCTAAGTTTCATTGGCAAATGTATCTGGTTGTAGTATCGGTGTCCAACTTTAGACTGAAACCTTCACTACAGGACCCACCGAAACAATTTTTTTTTCTTGATAGGGTCGTCTTGAAGTTGCTTTCGTTAAAGCACAATGGACACTTTATCTCCACCAATCCACAGTAGCCACAAGTTACTTTGTCATTACGATAAGCATCAATAAATGGATACTGAGGATGTATTATCAAGTCACGCAAGCTGAGGTCTTGTTATTTGTTTTCAGAAGCATGGTCTTGGATGGTGGGGAATGGTCGTAACCGATCAGCGGTCATGTGACCCACCCTCGGTGGGAGTAGAGCTGCAATCCTCTCGCACATAACTATCCCCGCATGGGATTAAAACCTGTGAAACTACCAGGGTGATCAGAGATGCGGTGGCGAGCGTATTCCTAGATGGCGAATTCAATTGAATTCTGGTTATTTTTTGCATGACCACTGGTGTTAAACTTTAGTTATCTATTCAACCTTTCACACTTAGTAATAGATTACCTGCTAATTAGGGAAACAATACCTTGTAGCAATTGATTATTAATTCCCTACTGTCTTACACAAGTCAAGTCTGCAACTGCAAGTAGGCCCACGCGCCACGCCTAGGCCTACTAATAACAGTAGTTTGTCATCTGCTTTCCATTGAAATGAGGGAGCTTGTGAATATTTAAAGAATTTGATAACGGCACATTATCACTCACCATCAACGAAGTGCTGTCCGCAAACAGTGAAACACAAGTGAGATAGCTTCTCGACTTGACACCAAGCAGTTCTGCCAATAGGTAATAGATGATATCCACATTGCGCGACGTTCCGGATCTTTTGCAATCAGTGGAAAATAACCGAAGATCCAGTTTGTTGTCTATAGTCTATACTCTATACCATACGTACAGCCAACGGAACAATACGAAATAACCATTTTCAACAGCCAAACAAAACGAAAACGTATAATCTGACTTGCAAGTGACAGGAGCCAAATGGGCGTTTTTGTTTTATTGCCGTCCAGTAACAAAGTCACATGACCCGTGCAAGTCCTCTATACATGGTTCACAGTTGGCTGTCACTGTGGCGATAGCCTGTGAGCGAAATGGTCAGCTCATAAATTAAAAAAGGACCTCGTGGTTTAAATCGATAACTAATACACATTTCAAACTGCGTCAGTTGATAATTCAGCAGTGCAGTGCCCGCTGCTTGTGCACACTCTTTCCCCCCCCTCTTTACTACCATAGTGCGCTGAGGCGTTTGCAAAAAACAGAAGTTGCCTCATCAACACGACACATACTGTACTAAATTCTTGCAATGACAATTCAAAGAACTCCTAAATAAAATATGAAATTTCGGGTTTGCTTTGGGCTCGGTCTTGCAAATCCAGTTAATTAGTCGGGGTCGGGCTGGATCGGATTTAATACCCACGGGCCTGGGACGGGACGGGCTGGAATTTTTGGGCCCGATCTTACCTCTAACACAGATAGGATATTTAAGCTAGCATATTACTTTCATTTAGTTTAAAATGTTTTGTGGGTTTGTTCTATCGTATTCGTTTATTTGTGTGTGAGACGTCATCAAAATTAAAGTTTGTGCACCTCGCGGTGGTTCCGCGGTCGCGACCTGAAAATTTGTTTGAATGAAAATGCGTCTCAGCGTCTTCTATAATTTCAGTTGTTACGCCATCTCTGACATCTTACTAATTAGCCAGTATCACTGAAAAGAACAAGTTTGCGTCAGGACGACCTGGGCGACGGGTGAAGAAAAACTTGAATTCCTATTTATTCTGTCCAAACATGCTTTGATTCTGTCAACTCTCTGCAAACGAATTCGGATTCGGAATTTTTGAAATCCGAATTTTTGTTGAAGACGTTGCTTGCGCTATGTTAGTGATCAGGATACTGGCTGATCCCCCCTAAGTAATTATAGTACATCATTATATTTTTTTCATCTTTTTATATACCTGATGAATTTATACAGTGTATTACGATGCATTTGTTGTAAATTCAGTCGCGGATTTAAAAAAAAAACACACTTACAAACGGGATGTTATGTTCTTATAAATCACTTATGATTCATATTTGTTAATTTTCTGTTTTTAAAAAGTGTTCCTTTTTCCTTAAAATATTTATTGAAGTGTTTTGGTGTCTCATCAACCTTTTGTACTCACTAACCTGAATTAGTAATCGTGGTAGGTGTCGCGACCTGAAGACCTTTTTGAGGTTCCCGTGACTCCTGCCACACAATTTTCGTTGGTATTTGTATTTTTTTTCTTATAAAAATGATTGATATGTGTGATTTGATGTGTGCAGGGTGGTGTTATAAGCCCTTTCCTATTTGCTACCATAATAAATAACATTGAACAATTGAATCACGTACAAAATTCAAATACTTTTAAATAATCAATGTTGTTGCCTTCGTCTCTAAGATATGAGACTGTTTTACCTTGAGTCAATGCAAAGCGGTTTATTTGATTGCTACTATTCGTTGATTACATATTTATTATCTAATGAGAAGAATCACAAAGCAAGATGACAATCCCAATCATTTTCACTGTAAAAACAAAACTTGGAGACGATAACTCGATTCTGTAAAAACATTGGGCATTGGACTCGAAAATTTATATACAGTCTGTAGGTATGTTGAACCATTCTATCATCATCATACTGGAAAAGTCTGAGTATAATTCAGTTCTCGACATCGATAAAAATTTCCTATTTATGGTCCAAAGTGACGTATAGCTTGCTTAAAGGTTCAATATCAAAAATATATATTCATTGTTTGTCTTATATGTGAGGCTGTCATTCCTCGACAACAGGAACAAATAAAGAATCATTAGAATTGAATATTATACAATGCAAAACAGTTACAGTTTGTAGTATTGTACATTGTTACAGCGCTTGCCTAATATTATCGTAACAGGTTGAAGTTCATTTGTCATTAGCAGATAGGAAAATAAGTCAGAGTCTATATATGTTTCGGGTTCCGCAAAGTTGCTATACCCATAAATACTTTTAAATGCAGAAATTAAATAAAGTCCAAGAGTAGTTTAGTTTAGACAGTGGTTTACTGCTGAGTGAAAGACGCCGTCGCTTTGAGCAAAATGTAATAATGTAATAATAATCATCCGTGCGTAACGTGCCCTCTGGCTAATTTATTCATCTCTGTTGTTTAAAGTGCGGTTAAACCTGCTTGACTAATGAGATAGTAAGAATAAGGATATGCTATTTTTAACCCGCTGGCTCACCTATTTTATCACTATTGTTCATCGTTTAGTTGAATCTGTTAGCTATAAGAAACGACATGGTGTCGACAAGAAAAGTTGAGTTGTTCCAGGGTGTTTTATCTTTTCTAGCCGCATTTTTATTCACAAACGGAATATTTGATCTGGCGTACAATCGGTAAATATGTTTAGTATTTTTGTGACAGAAACATTTGACTAATCATTTTTAAACATTCAATATAGTCTGTAGGTATTGTTTTAAAACTGCTTAATGCACGATGGTGTATCGTGATATATCTCCAATTATAACACACTCGTGAGCATCTTTCCCGAAATGCAATGAAATTGTGATAATGTAGATATGATAATGCTTTTCACCCAGGTTTGTACGGCAGTTTATGCATCCGCAATTTGAACTCTCCATCATGTTGATGGTATTGTGTAGTATAATTATTTGCTGATAACAAATTTTAGATAAACTACGTTATTATCTACAACTTGCTTTGTAAATTGAGTGATAGTTGTTTAGATGCTTAAAATATGGACACGAATATGGGTGCTACCACATATACGAGCTTGGCTCGTTCTCTGAAAAGATGAAAAAAATAAAACTTTAAACTAGCAAAACATTCAGTTACTAAAAAAAATTAAAAATTAAAAAAAACTAATAAAAGAAGATATATATAAATATATATATATATATATATATATATATACAGACGATTGCAGAAATTAGTCTATATTATTGCATTGATAGCAAATAGTGCTCAGTAGTAAAAGTCACTTTTTCATGTTTTTATTTATACATGCTAGTCGCCTATCCCCATTCCTTACCCCACATTAAATTGACTACCAGTTGGTAGCGCCGTGAAGTTAATCTTGCAAAAAGATTTGAAGATTTTAGAGTGAGTAATAAGCAGCTATTATTAATAATATAAATTCCCAAGAATATTTTTATCCTAGGTTCATTTTTAAACTCATGAAATTGTCCAACCAAACTTCTCGTTAAAATGATGTCATTCTAAAATTGCAGTGATGAAGGAATAAATATTACATGCCATATCGATGATAAATGTCTTCAGTTACAGTATTGCTAAGCACTTAGTGATATATATATATGAGAAAACCTCTCATCAGAGATATTTTAACACAACAGGCAGATTGGTGATTACGAATATATTGACAATTTGTGGGAAATGACGAGAAATGATTTGAACATCAATTTCAACAAAAGCAGCATGAGAGACGAATTTTTCTTCACTTTAGAACCATGGAAAGTTATGAATAATATAAAAAATGGCGTATTTTGCCCATATACAACACAAAAGGGTGAGAAAAAATTGTATTGTTTATTACTAGTTTTGATTTGTCATCAAAGTGAAATTGGGTTTCATGTTGTCATCTCTCACTTTATTAGTGATAACTTGATTGGTGAATATGGGTCAAAACTTACCAATAGTTACCCAAAAGTTTTTTTTCCTTTTTGCGAATCTATAGCTATTATTCTTAAAATTGTATGCTTCATCAAAAGATATATTAATTGTACAAATATACATATTGGTTGATAGATAGATTTGTCTGGCAATGCAGGCATGGCTGATGTCGCGACCTGGGTAGAGGCATAATTATTTGGTTTTATTTTGCTGGCAAGGATTATCAATTTTGTATTCGTGAACTTTTTTAGATCTTATAAAAATAGTTGTGATGATAAAATCGGCGGCCGAATATAAAGCACGAAGGGATATCGTCCGTCAAACATGGGGTAGGATATCTCACATTGACAATGTTGTCATTGACGTTGTCTTCATCATTGGGTCGACGACGAAAGATGTTCAACAGAAGATTGAAACTGAACACTCAAAACATGGAGACATTCTACAGTTTATTGGAGTCGACGACTACAGGTAGTTCGAAATAAAACCAATAATACCTCTTACCTTGAGAGGGTCATACTATAATAAAAAACCCTTTTTACATAACATAAAATTTCCATATATTTAATCTAGTCATTTGATCAAAACAAAGCAACTTGTAGTTATTCTGGAGTAAAAGATTCCGCCCATGAGCCAAGTTATGAGTGACCATTAGAAAAACAAAATCTGCTGAAATTTGTTTAGTGATTTCACTCCCGAGTTGATGGTTGTAGATTTCATAAGCAATAGCGAAGTGCATAAAGAAAACTCATTGTTGACACCATATCTAAAATTTATTAATACCACCTTAATTAGAATAAAATTATGGTAAAATCAAAACAGGACATAAACGAAATTCATTTCGTGATCAACATGACCTATTTTTAATGTATTGTAATTCATAAAAATATAGTAATTTTAAATCATTTCATTAAATTTCTATTCACTGGGAAAATATTTTCCTATTCATAAATGCTCTCACCAGAATTTTTTCGATTTGGACCAAACTTTGCTCAACAAAGGTGAAAGTCGTTAACATTCATAATGAGTGTTTAGTTTGTAACACTTAATGTTTTTCAGACATATTGTTTACAAGGTGTTGTCGGGAATGCAATGGGCGAAAGAAAATTTACCCAAAGATTATTTTTATGCAACGGGTGATGATGATTTAACGCTGGATGTTAAGGTATTGCCGAGACACCTACGACGGCATATGAGATACGTTCTTGAAAGATTGCCACGTGAAAAAGCAAATAATCGTTTAAAGCAAATTCAACAGATGCCTATTTTATGTGTGTATAATTATTTGAATGAGGCGAAACCCATACGGAATTTAATTTCCAAGTATTATTTAGATCCAAAAGAATATCTCATGGATACTCTTCCGCCATTTTGCTTGGGAGGTTGGTATATGATGCCTGTAGTAAGCGCTGCTAAATTGTATGATGTTTCAAGAAAAGAAAAAGTACTTCCAATGGACGATGTTTGGATAACCGGTATTCTGAGACAAAAGATAAAACCGAAATTTATAGAACCAATTGATAGCTCAAGTGCGAGGGTAATATCCAGGGAGGTAAAAATTGTACAGCACTTCTTCGGAGATACGGACTTTGCAACTGCTGAAGACATTTTACGTCTCACTATATCCCACTGGGAAAAATTGGAAGCTGGTATAGCTGAGCATAAGCACTGTCTTCGAAAATAGCATTAATTTAATCGTTTAAAACGCATTTGTCTGAATTCGCGTGGAAGTAAATGCAAGAAAATTTTATACTAACGTATTTCGTTTAACCCAAAATGATTTATTTGCAAGGATAGGATATTTCAGCTAGAAATAATTATATGGCAATTCTATGTTCCATTCTCAGGTCGCGTTCCCATAACGTTGACATGAGATAATCATATACTGTGAGCCGTGAACTCAAAGATCAATATTTATATATATATATATATTTATACTCCATAGTATTATGGAAAACGCAATCAATGACCGAGCTATCAACAGTAAACTAGACAAGTTTTGACATGTTCCCCAAGCCCCCAGAAAAGTCTTCAAGATTGTACACCTTGTGGCGGTTCCACGTTCGCGACCTGGTGGTCAGTCAAAGTCGAGAAGGCTTACGTTACCGTTACTGTAAAAGGTTAGATACCCGTACTACTTCGTTCTGATCTTCATCTCCATATATATGAGCATCGGTCTCTTAATCGTAATTGATATAGCTAAACCAAAGCTCTCCGAAAAACAAAGTGACCGTTGAGTTATTTGATTTATATATACCTAGATTTCGGAACACAGCTATAACTGACACAGCTGACAAATAAACGGCACAATACTATAAATGAAAAAAAAAAACCAATGACTGAAAATTTGATTGAGTCAAAAAGTGTCTCAACGTCTGCTATAATTTCAGTTGTTACGCCACCTCTGACACCTTACTAATTAGCCAGTATTACTGAAAAGAACAAGTTTGCGTTAGAACGCCCGATGAAGAAAAACTTCAAATAGATTATCAGCAGTCACAACATTAGATATGGGTATGATACAGGGTAGTTCTATAAGCCCTTTCCTATTTGCTACCACAATAGATAACACACACTGGTCAACAACAAATTTGCGGTCTGCGTTTTTTCAGTTGATTTAGAGCGAATCTGGCGTGCTAAATCCAAAAATCACATTAGTTTTGCTCAATCAGGTCGAGTTCTTGAGATATAGCCACATGTCGTTTTTTAAGATTATGTTCACATTTACGCGTGTTGGAGCATTTTAGAAGAAATTGGTAGGGGTAAAATACTGTGTGGAAAGCGTTTTTTTTTTTGCTTATGGACCGGGTTATCTTCCAAAAGTGTTTGATCTTTAGTCTTTGATTTATTCTTGTTTTTTTTACAGTTTGTTTCGTGTAAAATATTGCAATGTTTTTTTTTTTTTTTTATAATCATGGCAACGTGTTCATTGATAATCTTCTGTGTTTATTCTATCTTCTGCGCGAGTTAATTGATGAATCCTTTACCTATTATTCTTTTCCGAGTGAATGAGATGGCTTCGTTTAGAAGACCTCCATTAGCGACGAAGATACCTCCAGTTTCAAAGGACATGAAGAAGGAGAAATGGATTTTGAAGATGATACTCCACATCAATTTTCCCAAAAGAAGTTTAATGATCTAGTTCGCGACCTCAGCTTGCCAAAGGACTTTGCCAAACTGTTGACTTCCAGATTGAAGGAAAAAAATCTCCTTTCTGACAGTAGCCTACTCACATCAGCTTTTTCCGCAACAGGCATAAAGAGTAGGCTACTTCCATTTTTCTCCTGAAGAAGTTTCATCCAGTTTCCTCTGAAGGATTTGGTTTACTGTGCCGATCCGATATTGTGCAGCTTTTGCTCAAGCGTGGGGTGCCACATCACGAACCCAAACATTTTGTTGGGACAATGGTCTGGTTTCGCTAAGTATCGCGGCGGCGCGGCGGTGTGGCTCAACAGGCTAAGCGTTAGGAATACGCTCGCCACCGCACCTCTAATTACTCTGCGTGGGTTCGCAGGTTCGAATCCCATGCAGGGATGGTTATGTGCGAGAGGATTGCTGGACTCCTCGCCGTCGTTGGGTGGTTCACGTAACCGCTGGTCGGTTACGGCTTCCTCTATCACCAAGTCCATGCTTCCGAAAACAAACAATACAGTAAAACTAATCCCATACCCGACTTGGAATGGTAACTGGACGAGAGGCCGTGGTTCGCCATATGGATAAGCCGTCTTTTCGGCTTTCTTCTCCCCCGGGATAAATATGTAAATCCTATCTTATCCATTTTTTTCTGTGCATATGAGGCAGTAGGGACAGTGCTCAGCATTACTCGAAGAAGAACTGGCAAGTGTGGGAGAAACTGGTGCCTTGCAAAGAAAGGAACGTCATCAAAAACCCTCCGGTAGAATACTCATCCTTCCATTGCACATAAAGCTCGGCTTGATCAAGCAGTTTTACTAAGGCTTCCGACATGTTATGGTGAATGCTCATGCTTTTAAGCATGTAGAATTTGAAAGCTGACATCTTTGACTGTTCTCAGATTCGTCAGCTCATTAGACATCCAGAGTTCTAAAAATCAATGAACAAAGTGGAACTGAAAGCGTGGAAGGCATTTGTTCTGGCAGTGAAGAACTTTCGCGTTCGCGAACGCGCTCAGAAACCTGGGCCGACACACGAGCATCACGATGCACTACCTATTTTCGCATATGGACCGGTTTTCTGAAAACTTTGGTTTAATGGATTCCATCAGGAGAAATGGAGACCAGTTATCAGGGTCGAAGGGACGCAGTCATGATGGCTGACTACTGTTGGACTCTAACGAGAGACCTCCCTGCCGCTATTCCAGGAGTTCGAAGAAACGGAGGTTCAAGACCTAAAGTTGAATACTGATGACGCAACATGCATTTTTCGATTACTTTCCTTAATCAATGTCCACCATTTAGTTTTTATTAATTGATATTTTCATCTCGTAATCACTATATATTGTTGAACAAACATTTTTTTCTCTTAAAAACTTTACTTAGTATGTGTGATGACAAAATGACGTGGATAATGACACAAAAAATGTAATCAATTTTGTCAAACGGGCTGATTTTTTAAAACGCACAAACTTGACCTGACGGAGAGAAACGGATGTTATTTTCGGATTCAGCAGTGCCAAAATACCCTAAATCAGTTGCAAAAATCTAAACAACATTCGAAAAGTAAAAAATTGTTGGCCAGTGATATCAGCGTGGATACATTCGGAAATGGCGATTTTGTCTCACGATTTTGCATTTTTGGAACCTGATTTTAATATACAGTACAAATATATTTTACTACGAATACAGTCGTCACTGAGTAAATTCAGACTTGTGCGACTCTGTCATTTTCGAATCTCTAAATCCGAAAAAGAGAGCAATGCTCAAATGTACGGGCACGAAAGCAAAAACGAATCCTTCCCATTACCGGTAGTCGGTACTTGATAGATAGAATTTTAGTTCATGCCCAAAATTCGCCGAATATCCCAATATATACACTTATTAAAAGTAAATGAATGATCTTGAATCATTTTCCTCTATGCGAACTCGCCCGTGTGTCAAAGAAACAATTTTCATCCCGACAACAGCATTGAATAGTCCCTTCATCTTTCAATCCGCATCCAAATTGCACTCATGGAGAAATTCTCAGAACCACCTTTTACTGTTCAAAGTATCAACATAGGGCTTTCACCTTTCTGTTGCAAGCCTACGGTTATAAGTACAACAAATGCAAATCATGCCAATAGTTGAAGCGGCATTCTACGGTAGAGCTTCTTAGCTTTTGAACGATATCCCTCTCCACGTGCATTTAACGCATGTCGCCTTAACTGTATAAAAGAATGCCGAATTTAACCAAAAACCAAGTTTTATAAAACGTTTTCCCCTTGAAGGAAACATTTACAAACCACACAAAATAAAATAGAATTAGGCCGCACTTATATTTTATTTCCATTTCATTGTAAGTTAATGATAAGGTTTTTGATGAGACAACTCAATAATGCTGATACATAGTGAAAAAGATTCTGCTGTACAAGCCATTTTTACAATCTAACAAAACTAATCTGATGCTTTTAAATGATCAATCCTAAGAAAATGAGACTGTTTTTAAAGCAAAGCGATTGATTTGATTGCTACTAATGGTTGATTACATATTATCTAATGAAAAGAATCATATACAAAGCAAAATGAACATCCGCAATGATTTTCGCTATAGAAACAAAACTTGGGAAGGCAATGGCTGTGTAGACACATGATAGAGCATGGTAAACCATTCTTGAATACCAAATATACCCTTCAATAAGTGCCCCATAATATAGGCTACACATACTTCAAACTATAAGGATGTAAAAAAATTGAAATTTGTTTCAAAGTCAAATTTAATCAATGGTTTTGATCACCCACAATCACTGGTATTGACAGTATAAGGTACTATGATTACACACAAAAAGAAGCGTTTAAAATTAGCACATGATGATACAAACTATCAAACGAGAAACATTGCTACTTGCAAAGCAATTTACAGAGGCCTGGTGTGGAAGTAAATAATATATTTGTTACAGAAATATCAAAAATCTACAGCAGAAAAACTACCTTTATTAATCAGCAAAAAAAAGCAATGAATATGGCATGAAAAGCAGAAGAAACAATGCAACACTTTTGATCGATAATACACATTTTATTAATTTACTTCCTGCCTGGTACAATATGGAATAAGCTTGAGACTTCCTTTTCGAAGATTGGTTCAAAACAAGACACTATAGAAACATTCTTCAAACATTAATTTAAAATGATACTTTGATGGATTCGGATTTTACAATGCCATCAATCAAATCCTAGTTACGACATCCTATAATCTTAAAACATATTGTCTTTATGATTACATGCAGTGGGGCCAATGACAAGTTGATAGAATACCTCCCAACTATCGACATATTCAAAGGAAAAAAATGTATCATAAACGCATCCTGTACTATATACCAACGAACAAAAAAACACAATCTGTGAAACACACAAATAATATGCAGTGCATGACCAATTTTTTTATTTATTTTTTCATTGCTGAATTTTTTTTGTACTATTTTCAAATGCAACAACTCAAATTATGTATTGTTAATTACTTCAATGTACATAAACACATAAAACAGCCCAAATGGCACATACAGTGTGCTACTGTAAAATTTAGATTAAAATTAAAGTTATTTATAAAAGAATTCAGTCAAATGTACAAGAATTCGAAACAAAAATGAGCATATGGTGATGGCCACGTGTGTTAGAAAGCATTCAATATTAAAAATGAATTTCATGATAGAAAATCATCCCAATTTGATATACATGAAAATCATGGTAAAATTTACCCTTACATTCGATTTAACAGCAGAAGAAGAAACAAAACTGCAGGACATGATGAGTTTTGAATTTTACAAAAAAACAATCAAGTTCAACCTGCTCATTGATTAAAGGAGAGTATATTATGCAACTACAATAAGAAAAAAAATGTATTACTATTTATAAGAGGCACCAGCAGGAGGATATAGGGCATATGGTACACAAAAAAGGATAAAGTTCTTGTAAGCGACAATTTGCTGCTCAAGAATGAATGATGGATAGAAATCACCACTTGTTTATAAAAAGCACCAAAGCTAGCACATTCACTGAAATCTATTTTGACAAAATTCGTGAAATAGCACATGGTTAAAATAAGATTTAATATATTATAGCGGGATAACTCAAAAATATGATCTTAATACGACTGATGACTGTTACAGAAATCATAATTGACAAATTAAAACCATATAAAGTAAAGAGCATTGATTTCATTATTCATAATTTTCTCTCTGTCATATTGTGTGATGGATAAAGCGCCATGTATTTTTTTTTTTTATCAAATTCAGTCATATAATGGAAGAGCTAGCTCAAAGATCTGATTCTCCATAAAGAGCAGTAGAGAAACTTTCATAGTCCAGAGCACCGGGTGGCGCATCAGGTCCACGCCATTGAGACATTCTCTGAATGCAATATTCTGCCTGATCTGGGGGTAGCTCTCTGCGCAACTCATCGGCCGTGATGTAAGGCTAAAAAGAGAACAAGTAATGATATATAATATTAAAATATTTACTGTCAATTTTGAACATTTATAACTTGACATGGTCATACATCATAGACTATACTGGTATAGGATAGGATGTACATATTCATCCTGCGGGAGAGGAAAGCTGATATGATGGCTTAATCATAGGGCGAACCTCGTCCTCTCGTCTGATTATCAGTCTATTAGTTAGCCAGTTATTTGTTTTAGATGCATGAACTTGATGGCGGAGAAAGATAAATTCCTTTGCAATTTTGAAATTTCAAAACTTTTTGAACAGCCAGTGTATCGAAGTCGAAAAATTCTAACAAAATAGCAATACAAGAGATCAGACCTAGTTAATACATTGCCTAATTATCATACCTTATCACCAGCTAGGATGCGGAAAGAATTAATGACTTGATCAGCAGTATCGCTGTCGATGTTCTCGTGAGTCATGAAGTCAATAAAACTTTGGAAAGTAACCATTCCTGTAGCGTTAGGATCAACAACTGCCATAATTCGTTGGAATTCAGCCTCTCCCTGACATTTTTCCAATGGAAGATTGATAACGAAACAGAAAAATAAATGAAATAGATTAGAATGCGAAGGCATGTCAAAAATGTCTATTCAAAATCCTCGGATTAAGCTAGACTTGGTACAACTAAATATTTTATAATTGTAATGATATGAAATATTAAACATTTTTTTACTTTATTAATTTATTAAAGATATTCCATGTCACACCAAATACTCCTGTTTTCGAATAAATTGTGGTACTTCTGTATCTTAGATTTTTTGACAAAATAAAGCAGTAAATAACAGTAAATTTTTTACAATAACACCATCAGGAATCTCCAAACCATCAAAGTGAATTTTCGATATGACAGAGAATACGCTCTACATTAAGCATCTAATACGGTAATACAGAATACTGATAAAGAAACTGGCTCTTTGACTCTTGAATATGAAATTTAAAACAGTCAATAGGAGCCATTGGTTATAAATCTGCTGTTAAATCTTATGATTCAAAGGTATGACCTAGAAATCTGGCATATTTCTTAATTTGTCTACAAATTTACAACCAGTGTATTTAGCTTTTCTCAATATTTTAATCAATTTTAAACACTTAAAATGTTTCAAAAGTATGGACATACAAATTTTGTATTTATTTAATAAAGATTAAAATAGTCATCTATCAGATTTTTCAGAATTCTGAAACAAGAATTTGTCCAAAATTTAACTGTTGATATTCGTATTCAATTATAAATTTATAAAATTTCAGCTCAAAATTCACTCGGCTAATTTTGATCAGATTCAAACTAATCAAAGAGAAAAACAGTTTCTTTCCAGTATTCAGCATTTTAAATTTATAAGAAAAAGACAAAATATACAATAAAAATAGGAAAAGAGACAGAGATTGTGTTTGAAGATATGAGTTGAATGTAGACATGTTTGTGTAATGCATCATGTATTGGGGTAATATTAATTCATTCATATGTTAATATGTTAGGAAACTATCACACCTATCAAGATAAAAGCTAGAATATCTATTTCTATATTATATGCCAATGAATATAGAACTCATGTCACCATGACTAACTAATCTACACATGATTCTAGTTGAAAAATATGTTTTTGAGTTGTCACACAATATTTCAAATTTTTCAATTTAATTTTTTATCTCCTAACTCTACCAAAGTTAAATGGAAGGACACCATTGCATGAAATGTATATAGTAATGCGAGAGCCAAATTCTACAACATGAGAATATGTATTAGTGGAACACATGCTAGGTTGTCTATATTACAATTTTACAATATCTTACTAGCATGCCAAAATAATCTGTATTTATTACGAAGTAGAAAAACATAGTACCAGTCTGTATCCCATAGAAATAAGAACAGCAGCAAAGTCGTCAGGTTCAAGGTAACCATTCTTCTTCTGCAGTGTTAGAAGATATAAGGCAACAGAGGAAAGAGAGATACACGAAGCATAGACAGAAGAAAGAAAAGAATAAAGTTAATAAAGTGTTAAAGATTAATAGAGCAGAGATTTCCCAGGGTTAATTTATGAGATTTGGAAAGCATAGAAAGCCAAGCTTGGCCAAGGGTGTTTGCTTTTTATTTGTTTTACCTTAGGTTCCTTAAGGTTAACATCGTAACCTAAGGATGTTAAAACTCCGTTCATTTCATCTGTATTCAACTGCCCACTGTGATCCTATTGCATGAAAAGCCAAAAAAACAAAACACATGCAAAGTCAGAAGCGTTATAAATACAATCTCATTCTGGTTGTGAATGTTGAATACACATGCATATTTTCACAAACTGTTGTTATAGTTAGGGTAGTTACAAAAGTTCCAGTATCACTACTTTTGCTTTCACCTGTGAAGCTTTGCGGTAAAATATTTCCACAAGAAAGGTTTTCAAATATTTGCCTATATGGTGCGTTATTTGTTTTGTGGTTAACCAAATCAGTTCATTTCAATTGGGGTATGTATATAATATGTTACGCCTGTCACAAAGAGCAAGTAATAAAAATATAAGACCTTTATTAATAGATAATCAAGTCAATTTTAGAATTTGACTGCATATAATACTGAGCCTGCAGCAAATTTCTTGTTGTAATCAAATTTCATCCTTGTATGAAGAGAAGTTGTTAAAAGCGCGGAAGAATAATATAATCTCTTTACACAAAACAAAGTTTATATGTTTAGCTCCGAATTTTTTTGGAGAACACAAGATGGAACTTAAAAAAAACAGTGAATAATATATTAGGCCCTTTAATCATACAGATCCTATGTAGGAAATGAACAAGGGGGAAAGCCTACAGTTCAATATACAATATACTAATACACCGTCTAAAATAATTATAGGGAGAAAACTCTAGGAGCTAAGTACGGGTAGTTATTTTATAGAGTCTATATTTAAGTACTGCAGTATGGTAACCATATGATTGCTAAATGAATAGTAAAAAATGACAGACATCCTGTTAATACAAAATTTTGTTAATGGTTAAAGAGAAATGCACATTGATTTAGGAAGAATATAAGCATGCAATTAGGAAAATCAATCGAACAATGTTAATTAAAATTTCCCCAGAATATTTGTGGCAGTTGTTTTTCTGTGTTTCTTTGTTTTGTGGAAGATGTGAAACCAGAAAAATTGGAGAATATGTTTTCGTCTGGGTACCTGTGGGGTGTCTGGGGTGACGTCCATTCCTATATTAATAAGACATCCTCTGAAGTTGTCTGGTAATAGCCAACCTTGTCTGTCCTGTTTTAAATATCTTAAAATGTCAGTGTCGAATTTCCGAGAAAATTTTTAGTTTAGGGTTTTTACTAATATTTGATCCTTTAACACAATTATTTGTGTTGTAAATGTATATTCAACTTTAACCAAATTCATCAGTTCAAAACTGCAAGAGTTTTTTTTAGTAATAGCTGAAGCTGTTGTCTAAAGCCTGATCTAGTAATTTTCCTATTAAGTTTCTGATGCAAAATTGAAATCCTTGTGGCTTTGTTTCCATAGTAAAACTGTCTGTTCACTTTTATCTTGTTTAGGTATGAATTCTACTGGATAAATAATACTTGCAAGGAAAACATAAAAAAAGATTTTAAAATGGAAAATAAAGTGTTGTTTTACTGAACCAAAATTAACTATAAATATGTTTTGGCTGACCACCGCTGAATAATCAATCTTATAACTCGATGAATTCTTAATATTTTACTATCCTATTCCTGCGTCTATACAATAAGAAAATGTCTTCACTACATCCATCACTGCCCCTGCAATAGCTGATTTCTAACAATCGTATTCGTTAAGTTTTCCAAATGAGTAATTTACAAGATTCATACTAACCATCAAATGATACACAACTGAGTTCAAATTAGATGATTGCTGTCTGTTATGTACATCAACATTATATGAAATAAACATGTCAGTAAGTAAGTTTCATGAGGATGTGTTTGCTCATACTCTAATGAAAATCATTCCACAACTTTCATAATTCACATTAGTCTAATAAAATCATTTCTAAACTTAGCTATATCTTGTGTTTTGGTAAAGAATTTCTATAACAATCAACTCAAATCTAACCTCCATTCAGTATGATTTTAAATGCACAGATGATAAATAACAACAACACATCCATGCATCAAATAATATCAACAAAAATTAAATTATCAGTGAATAATTAAGTAATTAAATTAAACAATAATTGTAGTAATTAACAATTAACTCCATGAACATTTCAATTTGGTGTGAAAAAATCTTTGCATCAACAGGTTGTTGAGAATTTATCATTTCAAAACTTCAATTCAAACAATTTGGCTTTATTTTAGCACTGTTTATAATCAATTAAGGAAATTCAATCAAATTTATAAAATCATTATAGGATCGTATTGCGTTGCAAATCATTAAAACATACAACATAAAAAAATTTTCAATCACAAGCCAAAGTAATAAAGTGAATCTTATATGTGAAAGAAAATGATCTAAACATGCAAAAAACGATTGACTGACCCGATCGAAATGATTGAAAGAACTTCTAAACTCGTTCATCTGTTCTTCGGTGATTCCCTTTGCATCTCTGAGAAGAATCTGGTTCTCAATTTCATTGATGGTTCGTGTGAGAGTAGTTTTAAGATGTTCCCAACCAACACGAATGTGTTCCATTGTATAAGTTGTATGTTTGTTATCATAAACAAGAGATTCTTGCACTTTCTAATGAAAAAACAAACAGGTAAATATATTTCAATATGGAAAGCAATTTAGTGTAGTACTACTGTATTAGTACAGAATTCACTCAATGATTATGAGCTTGAAACATTCAGGTACTTATTATTCAATATTAAATTGGATACACATTCCCCACTCAATGGATCTCTGAAGATTGTGTTATTCCCAGGGGTGTAGAGTCCGCCTCTAGACTGTACATACCAGAAAATTTGAACTCTGCTGGCTGGAGCTCAAAATTTCGAACAAACCAAATTGGAACACAAAATCCTTTTGTGTATTTACCTAAGCCTTTCTTAATCGCCTGTTGACTGCCTTTATTTTAAATTAAAAATCTGAAACTCAAGCTCGCAGCTCCAAGAAATTAAAAATTTGACTGTGACGGTAATTGGAAAAGCAGTGACTCCCACTCCAGAACCCTGGATTAATCAACCATTTAAATGAAAAATGAAACAGAAATATATACGGATTTAATCAACACAAACCTGGTTGATGGTTTCCAATTGATCGATGTTAGGTTGATAAGCAATAATATTTTGTTGATAAGATTTCAAACTTGTTAAATTGTTTTCTAAAGATCCCTTAATGTTGAGAGCCATGTGGACAGTCTCCTGTAAATAAGTTATATATGATGAAACAGACTGTATCAATACCATGGTAACAGTTTTAAAAAAATAAAAAATCTTACGTCAGTTTTTTCTGTGATCCATGGACCGACTTTGTTGGCAAGAGTAGCGAACTCGACCCTGAGACGTTCGTGATTCATTTGTTTGGCCAATTCCATTTGAAGGGAGTTGTCACGTTTTGGCACAAGCTCTTTTACGCGTTGCCATTTGCTATCAATCTTTTCTGGCGTCAAGAGGGTGTAAACATTTTCAATGTGTTGGCTCAGGTTGTACATTCTCTTGTGCTTTTCAACATCTGCCATAAGCGACATTATAACATTCTTCTCTTGCTCAGCATCAGACAAAGTTGCCTTGAATTGCTCGTGAGCTGCTATCAGTTCCTAAAATGGAAAATGAAAATTTGAGAATCTAAGGAATTAAGATGGCTATGCCAAACTTTAAGACATCATAAAGTCAGATTGTGTGCAAAGTTTGATGAAACCTAAAATTTCTTTTCGTGACTAAAAGAGTACTTTTATCCCAACCCCCTCTGCTATAATTCAGCAATAAATATTGTGCCTCATTCTGAGCAAGCACCAAATTAGGTAGAGAGATACTGGGTTTGCAAGATTTTATATATTTCTCCCATCTAATATAAATTTTATAATGAAAAATGGACAGGTCAGAATGAACTTAGAATCCCTCACCAGAATATCGATCATCACATGAACTTGTAAACCAGTAGGCTATTATGCTAGAATTGTACACTTTTTTTGTTACATTCACAAATTTTACACTCATGGGTGGTAAGTGGAAAGTAAAATTTTTTTACCTTGATTTCTTCATTTGAGTGAACAATGAACATATCTTCCAAATCTTCCATGGCACCATCCATCCAAATATTGAAAGGAGCTGCACGTTTGGCAAATTCAAGATTCAATTTTTCAATTGCTTCCAAGCAACTTTCAATATTCTAAACAAACACGAAAAGCATTGAAAAACCAAGTCAAAATAACATGACTATAAAAATATGAATAAAGGTTGATCATTACCAGAAGAGCCTCCCTGCGTTTTCCAGTCGCATCACCCAGTCTATCCCATTCTTCACAAATGGTGGAACAACGATCATTGATGGTGGCAACATCATGATATTCCAAGTCACTATAATAAAAAGTAATACATATTATACTATCATACCGATAAATGCCATCAGCGCATCAACATATTATCATGAACTCATAAAGTTAACAATAAGCAATTATCGCTGCCATCCATCATAATACATATATTCTACTGATACCACTGGCTATATTTCCTCAAATTTTGTTATTAAAACAGAATTAACTACAATGAATGAAATATTTAAATACATGAAAGTAATCACGTTTGATATTTATAGTTTGAAAAGTCACCATTATCGACGGTTAGCCTTTACATGGGCTTCTTTCAACATTTTGAAATCCTTAGACTTGGAGAAATAGAGAAGCAACTAACAATATTTATTTCAGTTATTTTGTTTGTCGATTTCTATTCACAACTATAATCGGGTCTGATCTAGGGTCAATACGTACTTGAGTTCCTGGGCAATTGCAGCAATTTGTTCAACTCTGTCTTGATGTGCAGCGAGATCGGTTTCAAAAGCATCATGTTTCTTGATCAAAGCCTATGAATAATAAATTATAGATGGTGAATTCACATAAAAAGCAAGACTTGTACCCAGGTAAAACCATGCTATTTCTGAATGCTTATATCCGTTATACAGCGCTAGAAATATAACTCATATGAAAGTAAAAAGACTGAATTTGAAGGTTTGCAACCTTGTGCTACTTCAAAACAATAAGTCATGTACTAAAAGCTTCATTTTCATTGAGATATACTGATCAAATCTGGGACGTTGATGGTCTAAGTTTCATATTCATATCCCACGTTTTGCGGATTCGGTTCATTTTCAATATAATGAAATTTAGAATGATTACAATACCCGATAGGCTAATATACAGACATTTCTTAGTACAAAGCCATTATTCTCAAGAGCTAATGTGGAGTACACAAACGATAGTACTTTAGAAGGTAACCATTATTCTGAAACAATTTCCAATCCATACTAATCCTCTTGACTGGTCTTACCGATGTAAGAAACACTCAACAATTACTGGTAGCTGAGCGAATGTAAAATATGAATCATATTTCTATTTAAAAAAATATTCGTCCAAGATAAATTCAATATATAATGATCACATCATCATAGCAGAATGAAAATACTCATATGAATCATTTGTGCTTTTATTCACATTAATTTATTTAATCGTATCACACCAATATATTAAGTAGAGATCAGACAGTTCATTAGTCAAGCCATTAAAGCATCGTTCCATACCTTGATATCTTGTAATTGGCATTGTCTGTAATCCTGTTCAGCGAGTTTCGCTTCCTTTCCATCAGTCCACGATTCGTGGATTTGAGCCTTATGATAGAATTTCTTTGCCAAATGGTCAAGACGCTCGAGCCTTTGATAAAAATGCAAGAGTTTAGTGAGTTATTAACTCTTTTGTTCCGTATAACTTATATATTCGTATTACCATCCTTGGTCATAATAGTTATTTTCGGACTATTTTACGTTTATGTTCATGTTTTGTGAAGTATTCCGCACTAACTAAATCATTTTGAGCATCCAACTATGATCCGTGCTTGATCTGTCAACATTTTGTTTTTTTGTAAATTTTTTATTTTACTACTAAGTGAATTTTATTTGTGTAGGCATTTCAAAGCTTAGAGATACACGAAAGTATTTGTCATTACTTCAAAAATAAGTCATTTGAACGAGCGGGAAACAATTTCGCGCACATAATAAACAAACAAAGATTCCAGACAACTATCGTGGACATGCTCTCACATATCATTGATTATTTCGCGTTTCGCTTCGCTTGCGAAGCTGAGTCTGGTTTTTCTGCAAAGGTGACGTAACCCTCTTTCAGAAGAGCGCTTGGAATTTCGTTTCTTTGTAACACGTGTTCATCGAAGCGATAAGAGTGTGAAAGGTTCTCTCAAAATTTTTTGAAATTTCTCTCTTCTTACACGCGTAGGGTCGAACAGTTTCGCCTACGTCATTTGGGCGCGTTTTAGTAGGAAGACGCGAAAATAAGCTTTTTAAAGAGATATTGGGGGTGTCCCTTGTACGTTTGGTTAACTGGTCATTGCATATTATAAAATGGTACATAAAGTCGATTGTATACAGCGGAAAAAAAGGGTTAAGAACATGTTTCAATCATAGTATTTAATCTGTTTTCAAGTATTTTGTTAAAAAAATTAAAATCCAAAGCCAAGGGGTTTATCCAGCTGTGAGACTTGACCATGTGGACACCAGGCAAAGTCGAACCAGAAAGATTTCATTCCTTCCAAACGATTGAAAGTCCTTATCTAGCAGTGGCTGTTTATGCAAAGCCTGGTTCACAGAGAATAGCATACAAAATATGTCATATGGAAAGAAGAGGAGTAACTTATCCATTAGAGTTATACATGACATGAAAACAGGAGCGAACCCGCCTATTCATTTACTTTGATAACACTTAACCGGTTAAATTCAGACACTTTTTTCCTATGTAGACAAAACTATATCAAACACCTTAAGACAGTGAAGACACTAAAAACATTTTCTGATATGGTAGTCTTCCCCGGGATTTAAACCTGAGTTTTTATGTGAGAAATTGGAGTGGAGAGATTGCAAGCGTTTCCATAAAGATATATAAGAATTACAAGTATCTTTACCTCCTCATTTCTGATAGCAGCCATTCTTCATATCCTTTCTCGGCACCTTCAAGTCCTTTCCATGCATTTGCGATATCAGAAACCATTTTTCCTTCAGAAGGCATGAATGCAGGTCTGTTGCTCAGCCTCAGTTTAGTTTGCAGAGTGTTAAAAGCAGCCTCAAGCTGTCCCTTCTCTTCGGCCTGATACAAAATTCAAGTTTGTTTTAAGAATTTGATCTGAAGTTTACCACTTCAAAACTTATATTGTCGCATAGTATATGTATGCCAAAAATGCTTAAATGCGAATATCGCTACAATTATAGTTAAAATCAGGAATTTGAATATCAGGGATTCTAGAATGGATATTGCTGAATATCGCTAGTTTAGAATCTATCCAAATTTAAATATTCTGAAAATAGCTCTTTAAAAATTTTTAAGAAATCATTCATGCAAATGATTAAACTAACTTTTAGTCCCTTTATTCATTAATTTTTTTGGCATGATAAAAAAAATAGGGACGTGTTTGAGGATTTTTTACAATTTTGCGATCCATTACCTTCGGTGGTTTTTGATGCCTTCTGTAATCTCTGAAGTCATCTAACTTCTTCTGAACACCTTCCATTGTATTGTCAGTAGTTCTGTTCTCAAGCCATGGTCGCATACGATTGATCCATTCCAAGAGCTAAAGATCGTTCAAATAGATATTCAAATATTGAATAAACCTCAAATGAAAAACATAAATCTCTCATCTATGGCACTGTTTTTCAAAACCAGTAAAATTTTATTTATAAAAAATAGCAATGTTATTTAAAGAGACACTTTCGTCTTTAACTATGGAATGAATTAAACAGGATTGGTTCAATAATTTAATAAATGTGATTTATGCCTCAACAACAACAAACTAATAAACTGATCCATGTGTCGTGTCTGAAAGTCTCAGCTTGTCCAGTTCATCAAACATGTTCAAAAAACCTTATTAAAACATGAGGTTTCCACTAAATGAATCATACAAATCGCAAGGAAAAAATGATCTATACTTACATCAGAAGCAAGTCTTTCATATTCATCCATAAGTCTCTCATTTTCTTGATTGACATTCAAAACTTTGCAGATACGATTAGCTGCAGTTTCAGTCTATTGAAGATAATTGAAAAAATAATTAACGGAAGATATTTTTAACTTATACTGTGGGTAAGAGACGAGAGGATTCAGACAAATTGCTATAATTAATAAAGTTTTGGCGGTCAACGAAATAGATACATTGAAATCATAAATCTATCAAAAATATCCTTATGGAAAATAATCTTTTCAATTCTGAATCGATCATTTTTAAAAAATTTTGAATTGGCCAATATTGTTCATAAAAAGAGAAATTTAATCACAGGGCTTTCCATTACCAGAAACATATTATCAACATTTATTAAATATATTGCGAGCTATGATGAAAAAAAAAACGAAAACTGAAAAAAAGAGAAGTAAGTAAGACAAGCAAACGATAGTAGAATGAATACCTTATCGTTACCAGAGAAAGCATGATAAAAAGCAGCGACATATGTCATGATCGAACGTTCATCAGGTTTGGCCATGTCAACAATGTCTATGATATGATGAGGAAGAAAGAAGAGATGAAATATAAGAAGAAATAGATCACATGCAAGATGAGTTAAATTATAGAAAAATAGGAAGAGAAATTGAATGTAAAAAGCAGAACATGACATAAGGTTTCCAATGATGTTTTTATTTGACATATTTATGAGCCATTCTCTCTAAACAAGGCTCAGTAATAGCAGCCACTCTCAGGTGAGGAGCTCCTATAGTCTGAAATATTACTATAGTCACTGGCATATTTTCATAGTCAACCCAATTTATACACCCTGGGTGAGGTGGTGGGCATGGGGGCATGGGATTCGAAAGTTAGATTTCAAACCCACTATGCCGTCATATTAAAATCAAGGCCATCGCTACATTCAAATGGGAAATATATATTCTGTACCATCAAAGCTAAATTTTAATATGATAACCAAATAACCAAAAATGACTTGAAAAAGATATTTTAAAAAATGGAATCTCATTTATCATGGGATATAACTCAATAACAAAAGTGGTGTAAATAGCTGAATCATATTTTATTTTGAGACAATATTTATTTTTCCGGTTGTAATTTTCCCACCCCAGCGTGATGATTACACACATGACTTAATATGTAATGTATAATTTTCTGCAAAATTCTCATATGATATGGTTCTTATTTGGTAAGATATGTGATGTGGTATGGTATATGTGTGATCTTGAACAAACCGGTAAATCTTCCGCGAACGCGTGGTAGAAACATGACACGTAAGTCATAACAGATTTTTCATCAGGATAGGGTATCTCTACCATCTCTGGAGAATATCAAGATACCAATTAAAGACAATTACATAATCTTCAATTTGGAACTATCATTTCAGTACTGCAGACGAGAGAATTAATTTTCAAGGGGTTTATATGCCTTCAATGAAGCAATTAAATTAGCCACAATTTATCATCCCTGATAATATCAAATAATATTACAGTTGAATTTCACTTATTTCAAATTATTCTGCACCATGGAACGTCTTAGATGTGATATTGATCTCCTAATAAATAAATGGGGATTGGGATATCTAATGATATTTAAGAAAAAAATTTAAATTTAAATCTCGTTTGTGTATCATTCAACTAGATTAAATAAATGTTAGTTTTAAGAAGTTAGGAAAACATGCAAAAATAAACCTGAAAAGAAGAGTTAATAAATAATCAAAAAAGATTATTTAGGAAGAGTTGGTGGACATAGATTGACCATGAGTTTCATACATAGCCCATATAGGAACAACAATTGAAGAATTAAAGTTCAGAAAAGCCAGGAGAAAGGAGAGTAGGACAGATGTGCCACAGAGTAAGGCACAAAGGAGTTTCACTTTTGTGGTACCTTTTGTGCTCCTGAGAATGCATGATAGTAACATGACACATACGTCATGATCGCCTTTTCATCTGGTTTTGCCATTTCAAGCATTTCTGTGAACAATTTTATTACATCATTTATTATACGTTATCAGGGTCTGATTACTTTCACAATGCGTTCAATAAAACGCTGAGTATGACTTCCTCTTTTGTACGAAACGACTGTTATTAAAATTCCAAAACACAATTGCACGCTGGAGTATTAAATTCTGATTCAGTATCAATACAAATGATAATTTGAAATTGGAACCATAATAAATTTTGCAGCTTACAGCTTTTCTGTTACTATTCATTTGGTCGCTACAATCTAACACTTAATCGAGTATTCTAGAATTGATGGATAGATAAATGAACGATTTTTAAGTCAAAAAAGTCCTAAATCAATTCACAATTTTGATTGTGAGTAATTAACTAACGAACCTATTTTAAGGCAAAAACATGACATAAATCAAATATTATGGCAAAATAGCAGTTAAATATAAATAGAATGCACTAAATTTAAATATCTTGCCTATAATTCTTCAAAAACATGTTTTTCAAATGGTATTATTCAAAAATCTATTTGCATCAAATTTATTTCATATCCCGGGCCCTATTTTCAGATTGTTAAGGCATAAGTTATTTAAGGGTGATATTATTCACAAAATGAATCTTATAAAACAAGAATTTTGAAGCCAGTATAGGATTTATATATTTATCCCGAGGGGAGAGAAAGCTGATAAGACAGCTCAATCATACAGTGGAGCATGGCCTCCCGTCCAGTTACCAGTTTATATTAAGTTGGCCAGTTATTCGTTTCACATGAATAGACTTGATGGTGGAGGAAGCTGTAACCAACCAGCGGCTATGTAACCACCCTCACCTAATCAGAGGTGCACTGGCGAGCGTATTTCAAACGCTTGGTACGATTTGGAGAGAAGTTTTGAAATGGGCTGCGAATACGTTAAAACTTTTAGTCCATGAGCATTGACTTCTTCTCCGTTTGCAGAGTGCTAATTTTGCTTTCTTTGTTACAAAATCGTCTTATTTCATAAAGAACTAAATACAAACCTTCAGCGTCCAACATTTTTGGGATATCAAGATATTTGTCAGCTACATCGAAGGCAGTGTTCAAGTTGGTGAGTGGATCATCCTGCAAGAAAACAAATTAATTATAAATCCTGTTTCGTATATAAATTCAAGATGATTTGCTTCACTTGAAGCAATGGCCTAGTAGTTGAAGCATTGGATTTACTTACCTATGTTTGTAACAATTGTAACTTGTAAGCCTTGTTTAATTTGAAAAGCAAAGATAGCATTGTATGAAGAAGTTAAAATAATTGGTCAATGCTCATTTATGTCAATACATACCTTCCTCAGTTTGTCATAGTCGATCAAGTCTGGCCTATGCCTATGAATCAATGCACAGAAAGCAAGACCATCTTTCCAGCTATAGAAAAGAGAATAATAAAGTTAGTATACCTTACTAGAGAAATAGGAAAACAAAAACAAATAAATCAAAAATTGAATAATGTCATTCTTTTGAAACTTTACAAAGCAATCTTTGGTTATTATCATCATAACAGAAATTCAAAATATGAACGTAACAATTGGAATAAAATAAAAGAATTGCTGGAACTTTAAAAATAGTCCATGTCAATATAAATAATTTAATCTTACTATACCTCATATGGAAGTTTTGAACATTGACATTCTTGTAAGGCGCTGTTTTACGTTGACACCACAAGAGAAGGCCTTCTTTGGCAGATGATTCTGGAGAAATTGAAAAAAAAATATTACTATAGAAACACAATTGATAATTTTATTATAAATATAACAATCAAACTGCATGCACAACATTGAAATTGGAAGCGTTGATAATTTGAAAAGTGCAAAGATTTAACATAAAGACGGCCCATTTCTTATAGGCAGACCATTGGACTTTTGATTTTTGTACCAACATGAATCTTTATTATTGCGCTACATTTTTTGCATTATGTGTTTACGACCGCAGTGTGTTGTATCAGGTTAATATTCAACTACAGTAAATACTGTTAGAAATATTTGATATGTAATGGAATTACGGTTTGTGAGATTAACTACTTTGCTGATCTGCTGATATTCAGTCAACAAGTTAGAATAGAATCACACTTTGCTCAATAACATTTATATACATAGAACTGAAGTATATCTTCTATATGAGAATGTCGGTTGAAATTGCGAAAATGCCAATATTTACTTTGTGACTTAAGTCATTTTATTGCAGATAAAAATTTAATTGAAATGCAATGAGAAATTAACACTATTCAAAAAACATATACATTTAAAGATTCACACAGTCAAACGAATTTACGGCTTTTGCAATGAAATGTGAGATTATGCTTCAAATTAAGATATTAGAAATTAAAACTGATCACAACGAAGAATTTCAGAATACAACACCATTCAGCAATATTCGCCAACTCTTACTTTCAATTTTTAATTTTGTCATCGGTGACATATTTAAAATTATATTAAAGCTGATGTTTGTATAACAAGAATTACTACATACCTTCAACTGAAATATCTTGGATGGCAAATCTGAGAATAATGGTCCAGATCATACCAAGTGTCATTTTGGCATTTCCGTCAACAATTTCTGATAAAATAAATGGAAACAATTGTTAATGAAATTTTCAGGAAGTCTTTGAAGCTTAATGGTGAAGCAGAAAATGTAATTCGAGGCATTTTGAGGTTGGTATTTTATGTTGTAGCAGGTTCCTGCAGTTTTACTTTTGCAAAATGTCATTTAATAAATTCTATATGACAAACACTGCTCAATGTTATGAGGAATAATTAATATCACATTCATCATCCTGTATTCTACTTATGCCTTAGGCTTATATACTACTGGTTATTTTCCTATTATTTTATCTTGTCCTTACCACACCACTTAGAGCGAATGTTCAAAATACAGGTAGGCTAAATTTAACTATTAAAAATGTCATAAAAACAAACCTTCAGCTCCGATAGAGACAAGTTTTACACCTTTTGATGCGATGAATTCAAGAGCTTTATTGACATTTGCAATTTTGTGAAACCTCATTTTGCCACGGTCTGGTTTTGGAAGACGTTCGCCAGAGATTACCTGGAAAGCACAGTTAAATAATGTGTTGAATTTAAAATGTTAAAGATGCAATGTTGTTACACACAATCAGCAGTCATAAGTGCTTGATAACTCAAAGTCAAGTTTCACAAAGATGTTTACTGAAAACAGATATTCAAAGAAAGTCAAATCAGACTAGCAAATTTAAATTTATGAAAAATGTTTCATGACTGGATATCAGAACTGATATAGAGAATTATATAAAGTAATACTAAAAATTTCGGCTGTTTACTTCATACACTATAAAGGTAAAAGATGAAATTCGCCGCTAACCTCCAGCAGGAGCATAAGCTTCAATCCATTTCGGAAATCTTTCTCAATGTCTTCAATTTGTGTTCCTGCTTTCCTCAAGTGAGAATTGCACCAGGCAGTGAATGTCTGCAAAAATTAATCAATATTTAATCTTAAAATAAAGTAAATTGAAAACAAATAAGACTCAATTGTTCGGGTATGTTAGTAAGTTGATATTGAATGCATTCCAGTTTATTGTAATAGTATGGACTATCACATTAGCATTCTCATAATGAATCTGAAATCTCTAGGGAATAAGGATTGACCGACTATATTTAGATCTGATATGCTTGGATATATCCTAATTAGTATTTGTTGGGTGAATATTGAAATTAGGAGAAAGAAATTTTAATATGTGTTAAATGGTGATAAATAAATGTGGAAATTCAAAAAATAGCATCTTAAAGTCCCTCTACTGCAAGGTTCATTCAGTTTAAATCATTGGTAATATATTATAGAATTTAGTCCAGCATTGTGATTTTGATATATCGAATGTTCATTCCAAAATTACTACATAAAAATGGTATTTTCGGCCATCTGAATTTATAAAAACTGCTTTTTGAAATGAATTGTTCACATCCTTCAAGTATCACTACTTAGCCTAACCCATTAACATTTTGATACTATTATTTGATTTCCAAAATATTTACAATGAATGAGATCACTAATGTAACAAATTCATTTTATTTATGCAAATCTATGTTCGTAGGGTGTGTTACTATGTCTCGGTATTTGGACTAAACTAAATTGTACAGAATTATACTTTCATGGCATGGCTTTCAAGAGCGGTCATGCGATAAACTCATCCCAAAATCTTTTTAAAATCAGGTCGCTGTGAAATGTCAATACAAAAGAGAGAAATGATAAGATTTGGAATTCTCTCTTCTGTGATTTCAACAGATAATAATGAGTGTTCATGAATGGGAACACAGCATAAATCGTGAATGGACTCATTCCCAGCCAATAGTTAGGCAATAATTGAGAAGGGAAATAGCTGCTTAATTTAGCACTTGATGTACATGTTTTGGTAAAATATTACTAACAGGATAAAATATATAACAAATTTTGTTCCAGTAAAAAAATAGAATAAAGAACATCCTATTTCACTTTTGTTTATTCTTGAGATCAACCACCAACCTTGGCCAATATCCCCAAATTTCTCTACATTATGGTATCAATTCCTAATATAGGGCATTCAAGACCAACAAATGAGTCATGAATATGCAAACAATTGTAATATAGAATTAGAATGTTGCAATTCATAAGAGAATATCGCACATTCCTGGGTTCATTAGCTAAAACATATTTTATTATTTATATCACGTGCTGTATACTGGGGTGAAACATTTATAAATTATCCAGTACTGCAGTAGGACTATCTCAGATATTCACTTATTAATCTTAATACTCATTGATTATATTACTTGGGCAAATGAAAGTCAAGAAATGTGGTGGTTGTCATCCTGCAGATGGCCCATTTCACCCACATATGGATCGAATTGAAGTACTGAATTATTTAGTATATTAGATAATAGCATCATGAGCACATTTATCGCTATATATTTATGTAGTACTGCCATGATGACTGAAACAAATTGGACCGTACAGGTAATGCAGTGTACATAAATAAAAGGGAGCAATTGTTTTTAACCGGAGAGCGTACTGAAGTGTAGGTAACGGGTTAATATGACGTGGTACGTCATCTTTGCCGCCGGTGAAGTCACGTGCTGTTTCAACCGCACAGGTTGCCGCGCATTCAATTACATCAACGAAGCGGAAAATACAGAGACGATTAATTTTACAACATCATAATTAAATCGAAGTTTTAAGGCAATACGTCTGATGCTGATAACCGTGGATGCGAGCAAATGGCTATGTTAAAGCATATATGCTGTTAAAATATTCCGCATAGGCTCGCGATTCAGGCTAAATTGTAAACACGCAACTCGCATCAACTATACCATATATGGCATGGCGCGCCAAAACGTAACGCTCACTTACGACAACACCATATTTTCTCCGAGCTCGGATTAACTTGTTTTATCGCGGTAGTGTAAAATAAATGTCGGATTTAGACCGCGAAATATTCACCACAACGATGGAGCGATTTTTTGAGCGGCTTGAATATAAATACTATTCAAATTTTTGAACGCTTGATATTTATAATGAATGCAAAAAGTTACGAAATACCAAAGACGAACCTCCATTTAAATTTAACTGGAAGATCGAACGAACATGGTCAGTCAGCCATCTCTGTTCTAAGAATAATACGGTAAGTTGGCTTACCAAGCTATGGGCCAGAGCTAAAGTGGTCGACTCATTTTAATAATGCATAGATAAAATTAATTAAACATAAAATAACGACTAAAATGTTGGCAATAACTTTGCATTGTCAGTAATTTAATTCCACGCGAGTGGAAAGGCATTGGAGTATGACTTTAAACTATATACCGTAAGTATAAGTATTATTAAATCGGAACGATATCTCACTATTTATCATAAAGATATAGTTGATAGATAGACGCTATTTCAGGAAATTATTCAGGAACACTTGATATTGTTATCATGCGTTTCGAGGTTATCTTGTTATAATACGCCGCAATACACCGGACTTGCCAACAATTAATCACCATATAATATGATCAAAATTACACTAAATGTACGGCGAGATATTTTACAGGGAGAATTTTCCGGCTCCAATCCTTCGTCTAATGTAGAGGTCAGCCCACAACCAGGGTATATTAGGAACCGAGAAAAGACGCCGCACAGCACTGCTTATACCCAAGGTAACGTTGGCAAAATGGAGCGCGCAATCACAACATTCTATTGCTACTGTCACCATATTTTCTTCATCTTTTTTGAAAAAAAAATCATATGTGGGCCGGAGCTAAGTAGCTTGCGCTCGATGAATGCCCGACAGTCGGCTATATATGTTCTGTGACATTTCTGGAATTGTAACGAATAAGCATAATTCCGACGGAAGAATTCGAAATGTTTTATTACATTACCATGCCATTGTACGCCCATATCAAGCGATAAATAATAAACATAGTTACGGCTACCTACTCATATTAACTATGGATTATTAGAATGGGCAGGCAATGTTTACTTTTCATTGTGCAAATAAACCAGTTAGCGGTACCGGCGAGTACAACGAGCACGCGACCTATTTAATATAACCTTGCAACTAAGTAAACTGCCCCAAGAGACATTCAACGATGCGATGGTATTTATGAAGCACCGGTACTGGCAATTTGATACAGACTTGAGAGATTAAATTCGGAGCTAGAACGTTCGACAACCGTGGTTCACCATATAATATACCTTCCTAAGGATGGCGTTAGTAACTTCCGAGCTTAGAAAAACGAAATCGGCAAGCTTTGCTTGTAAACAACAGAATGATTGTAGGATAAACGAATTCCAAGGTAAACGAACTTCTTCATTAGTCAATAAAATTTGAATTGTCATTCACTACAACTTCTTGCAAATAGCCCACGTTAAAATGCGACTATGGTCCAAACTAAGTTACATAAATATTGGGAGGCGACACACTACTCTACCTGCAGTTACATTCAGGTGGCTGAGCTTTAATTTAAACACTGTATAAAATCGCGAGATGTGGAAGCTGCAGTTTGGTCTTGACCCACACGCCCGCTAATTTGATTTCATTACATATCCTCGGTAGCAAGATCTAGGTTGTATTTAGCAACTAGCATATAAGAATTACCCACCTTTCTCTGTTGTTTCTCCCAGGCTGGATCCAACAATCCTTCTCTGTCCCATTGATCTTCCTGCGCCATGTAGTCATTTTCATCGGGCTCTTGATAAGACATGTTGTTGATGCTTATGTCAACCCTTACTACTATACTAATACACAAACCAACAAGCTATTTTTATGCTCTTATCTATTGGAATTGACTGCTGTAACAATAAATGTAATTTTATTCTAATGAATTTGAAATAAATCACGATAGGATATTGGTATTCTATATAATTTTTTCAATGAATTTTACGATGCCTCGCCAATCTGTCAACGCTTTAATAAAAATTTATACTGTCTGATGCAACAAGCAAATCGTAATCAAATGACAATTAACAATTCTCCAATAACGCGATTCGTTCAAGTACGACGATCTTCGAACTTGCGATATGCATATTATTTTATCTGTTTTATTTCTCATTTTCGGCCAGATTTTATTCAAAGAACAAAACATCTTCAAAAACTTAAATAATTGCAGACACTACTACATCTTCATTTACGTCGTCAAACGAACACGAACCAGATCAACCGCGGTCGACAATAAATTCGCAAACAATTCAAAAGCATCTCGAATTAGTGACATATATTTATCTACGTTCATCCCATTTGAAGAATTGCTGTCGGGTGCTTTCCCAGCATTCTTAAAACTAAAATGATACCAAAAAGTAAGTAAATAACATACATTCACATGATATATATCATAAAACTATATTAAACGCAAATTTTTACAGATTAAAGGCAGCTTTTCAGAGCGACGAAATCGGGAACGAGACTAAATTGTAATGGCAGGATTTTCTAACTTAACGGCGACTATATTACGAGTACCTATAACTGGATCTTCAGAATGAAACACCTTCACGAAAGACTTCAATAACCAACCTGATGGGAAAACAGCACCGAGAAAACTGATTAAATGTCGATATATATTACTTCATCACTTCTCCGATATTCTAGATTTAACAATGAGGTGATAACTGTAGCATCTGTTGAACACATTTGAATGACTCGAAGTGCTAAAGCGTTGTTCCTCAATACGTCTGCCTAACATATATGTAAAAACTAATCCACCGCCATTTCACATTAATACAATTTTAATTTAAGCCGTTTTGAAGTTTAAACTCGATTAGATTTAAAAGTTTAAATGAACTAAAATAATGAGCGTAACCGTGAATATTACTTACCTACGAACTAGCACTTGACGCTGAATGTTACATCTGAAGAAATAGCAGCCCACACACGCTGTTGCGGTTGGTGCTATTCAACACATAATGCCCAGCTAAATTCGGTTATAGCCATTTGTCGATAGAAAGAATTAATAGAGTGCATAATTCAATGTCCACGATAAAAGCGAGTTCATATAACGTATCTACGAAATCCTAGTGGCACCCTGAACTATTTTAAGCAGATGCCAAATACCTCATATCGTATACAAATCAATTTAAATCATAAGTTTACTGAGTAAATTACTTCGGTATTACTCGCGTGTCTGTTTTTGTTAACTTCTGGCGTATTTCCCACAGGGGCATACACACTTACGTTACTGCTCGCACAATAGTAATATACAGCCGTTTCCGTGAGTATTCAGTTGCGTAAAACACTATTCTTCAATTTATTGTGTTATTCTGTACGAGACGAACAAACAAACATAATACCAATTATGAATGAGCTTGGCTTGCCACTTACATTTACTCCCTCGCTATCGTTTGCCACTACTTTTATTCGATGTACTAGTTTTGCTCCTACAACAGACCTCTCTATTTCTATCGTTGACCTAACTGGAAAACAACTAAATCGGATTAGACGGAACTAGCACAAATCGGCGAATTAGATGGACAATCTAGTCAATTGAATTAAGACTGTATTGTTCGAATGCAAAAACACAACTAACAACAAACGTACCAGGAGTATTTATTTAAACCAGTAACGGGTGACATCGAAATCGAGGGCGACAACTCTCCGCAGATCTCTCGAGCGAATGCAGATGGCAAACCATGCAGCTGACGAAGTGTGACGTCATCCACGAGCCGGCCGCAAAAGCATCTATCCTTATGTGTGGTACTAATGCTAACCCTTTGGCAAAGTATTCCAGTGAACAGCTTAAAATATTACATGACGGCGTTAAAGGGTTCAACGAGATCTGGCGAGTACACGATTATTTACCATTAGTACTTGATCGCAGTCGGGAGCGAGACAAATCAACAAGAACAGCCAATATGTGTAATATTTATCACCAAACTGACATATCCCACCTTTCCCGCTGAGATTAAACTTTTTTTGGAGAATATGAAAGAGAGACGGCCCGGATACACAGACATCAAGTATTGAATCTCGGTATATCGTGCTCATTAGGAAAGGCAAATTCCGTTTTAACGACGCTTTGTCGTTGAGAGAAAATTAAGCCCAGACACCAGCGATACATAAAATCAAATATGAATTACCTACCGGAACCGAAACGTTTACGTTTTCAGCAAATTCGAGCCTTATATTGTTGAGATATCGTTAATTCAGAACACTCCTTGGTATAATTCCTATTCAAAATCTATTCTCTTGACCTCGAAGACCACAAAAAACGGCGATTTGTGTGTAGTATTCACCGTAGAATTTCACGCTGAATCAACATAGGCATTATAACCACTTGCATCTTTGAAATTTAATACGCGGTTTTGAGTGACCTGGCCTGACAAACGCATCGAAGTCATACTAAATATTCTTTCTAATGCACAAAACTCGTTTTAAATCAAAATAGTCTCCGAGACCGGCAAATTACATTACAAACGATACTCGCCTACTAAATTCGAAATACAATCCCGAGTTTCGTAAGACATACTACAATACCTACTGGAGCATGTCGGTTATCACAACCTATATTTTACAAATCGTTTCGTCAAATTCGAAAATAAAACAAGATCCGTTACTTACAGAATTAGGTTATTGGCCAGCGATAAAAATCGAGAGTCATCCTCAAGCCATGCTCGATTCGTATCTGATCTATCTAGTAACTTAAAAGGTACAAGGCGTGCTACAGGTTAACATGCAAAAGCTCGCCTGGGGCAATACTACCAGTCATTCAGAAGCCATTACACAGCGCTTACAAACTCGAGGGCGGAACACATGCATTTACACACGCAAGACTGCGCCGTCAAGTAGTACAATCATTAAATTAAATATTAACGAACCGCAATCATAAAAATGAGCAGTTGAAATGATAATAAATCAACCTGCAAAGTTTTCCTATTTCAGCTTTATAATTAGTTTTATTCTAAAACGCGAAGAAAGCTAGCAATATAAGCAAATGTTATTTACAATTTAGCATGGAATCAAAATTATACCAATATAGAACAACTAACAAATAAACTGAGTTATATTTATGTAAACATCAAACAATAAAAACAGTTTTTCCAAAATATACCTTTTTTCGCTTTTCTAGTTCGAGGAATGAAACATTAATAAATTCACAAATGGAAATTTGAATAAAATATTGAAATAATTTTGTAATAAAATGAATCAAATATTAACAAGTAGTGACTGCGATACTGATTGAAAACATAATATGATAAAAATTGATTGGGCCAACAACTATCCCACAGGTACACAAAAAACAGGCTTTTCTCGAGCCTTATAAAATAACTGAAAATCAATGGAAATAATTCAATGATTTTCATACCTTTTCTGGGTTAGAAAAAAACCTAATAAGTATATATATATTGAGATAGAAAGTCGCGAAACATCACATTAAAAACATATTTGGTTCCAAAGATGAGAATATAATTTAAAAATGTAATTGAAATAGTGAATGGATTATGCAGTGTTGAACAACACATACAACTACAGGATATTGAGGTCTTACAAGTCGAGTTGTGACTTGTATGTTAAATTCCTCCGAATAACAATACTTTATCTTGCTAGTTTTGCCACATGTTCTGTGATGTACGTGAAACCATATTTTCTATGTTGAAAGTTAAATAATCTCTTGAATACCAATATTAATTCAAATCTTGAGAGATGATAAGCAACATAACACATGAAACCCCATTAATATAATAATAGATCCATAATTATACAAAATAAGACTGAAAAGAATTGCTTATACTCTAAGGGAAAATATTCTCCATCTTATACAGGGAAAAGACAATAGATAAATTATGAATTTCTACCCAAAATGTATAGCATTGCTGCATTTAGCTTAATATAAAACATTTTTTGCACCAATTCAAAGGTAAAAATAGATAGAGCATCAAAATACATTCGTAAAGTGGTAGAGTAGCGATCAAAGTAGAAACCAAGTCTGTCAGTTGATAAGAAACCTATGATTTTCTGTTCCGACTACATGATAAATAGTTGATGCATGGTTAATTTTTAGAGTTTTATACTGGCAGACTGGATGCAAGTTGAGTTTTTAGGCAGAGGAAATGAGAAAAAGATGAATCATATGCTATAAGTAATAACGCTATGAAATAAACCTAAATTAACCAAAATAGAAGCATAAGAAATTTTACATTCAGACATTATTGTGCCCCCAAATCCTGAAATCAGTCAATATTAGTTATTCAACTCTAAAAACAATCTAACAAAGCGATGCAACTATATTAGCAGCTTATTAAATACGTGACATGCTTACACCGCAATATCTAACCTGCGAACCAGTACAGAAAAGATTCCCAACTCAGTCATATTAAGTTTTCCGATTGTTAATCAACGAGGTATCAAATTTCCTAACGGTTATAGTATATCATATAACATATGGCACCTTCATGATATCGCGCTGTATAAAATTTCGGTTTATTTCAATAACCCAATCTCAAATCACAATTTAAATGATCAATGACAACCAATTAATTGTCTGATAATACAGTAATAAGCACTCAATTTCAAGCCAAGTCGGTCTTCAAAGGCAAAAGCGACCCACGAGCTGACTTATTACGCTCGCCAGCTCACTCGACACAGATTCGCATACCCCACCCACCATACCGCAAATTCCATAGTGTGCTGTCTCCCTCGTATGGTTGGTGACGAATTCTAGTAAAACGTGATGTTTGGAAGTCAGTTACACCGGCAAATTTTTATAAAATAAGCATTATAATATCCTGAACAAGTACAGATACGGTTAATAATGAAATATAGTAATAAAGACCATTTGTAAATATCGGCAATCCTGTGAGAATATAATGGTTAAATATGTTTGATAAAAAGTTTTTTCATATTCATCGCGAAGCAGAGGGAAGGCGTTATCATATGGCGCGCATTTCTTGTCATCTGGTTACCATTATATGTTGGGAATTCCCCTTTGGGTGCATGGGCCTTATGTCGTCAATATTACTGATCTCAGCAAGACAAAATTATTTGTCGTAGCCAGATAGTTCTAGATTGAAATATAACTTTCAATTCAATTTCAAATATTCTAGTTGACACCCATAATAATTCTCGCTAACATTATATTTACGCTTTAATACGGTCTGACTGGCAACGACAAGCATGTTTCATTCAACAATTTCACTTTGACATGGTGACACACGTAGAATACGGTTCAAGCATGAACAAGTCAATTTATTCAATATGACTGCGTAGAACCCAACATTTATTTTGTTCGAGGTCTATTGTTGTTGGCCTTTTGTGTCAACGTCTGAAGGTATTTCATCGTAGTGATAATAAAAACATTGACGGTGCTGGCGTTATTTGGTATAAGATTTAGGCAGTATGAAAAATATTCAGGAAAGTTGAAAACTTGACCCAAGCTTTGTACCATATACTGATAGTGTTATATGAGAAACGGAATATATTACTGTACCGTATATAATGTTTGCTCGCTTTATGCTACTAGATGAGCATTTAACAATTTGATGCAAAATCACATGGTTTTATTTTATAGAATGTAAAGCAAAGTGGCTTCACATTCGAATACTAACTTTTAAAAGTGGGATTGTTAAAGATAAGTGACGCTGTCCACGCTGAATATATGATATTGATTCTTATAACCTGGTTTTATCAAAACAACGGTTATGGGATCAGGACCATCGAAGCGTAAAGAACGTAAGTACTATTTGTTTTTTCCCGAATAAATTCAGATGATGAGAGAATAAACACTTGTATTGTATATAGTTATACTATGAGTCGAGAATTTTTATAAGTTGTTTTTTTCACTTATAACTTATATTTAGCCTATAACTTGACTTTCCATTAGGTGACTTTTTAGGTTAACATGATAAAAAGTCAATAGTCAGCAGGTTCACCTAAACTTTCAATTTTGTAATCGCGAACGGTAAACAACTAGTAGGTTATTTGTCATTTCTAAAGAATCTTCCGGGCGGCAAAATGAGAAAGTCGACTTCATTAAAAAACAGGGCGAACAAGATGACGAAGATCAAGTTTCCATTTCCAGTGATGATTTCGATAAAGGAAACAAAAAGAATATAATTGGAAAGAACACAGATTTTGGGAAGATACAAACAATTATCGAGGTATTGTTTACCATTGTTAGCGCTATATTTTGTTTCCTAGTCTCAAACTTATTCTAAATTTTCTCAAATATTCCAAGGGAATTATGGAAGTTCTTGGTTCATCGGAAGATTTTAGTGAAACAGGGATTCTCACAAATTTAAGGCAAGCAGTCAAGGTGAGATATAGAATTTTGTTGGACTTTGTTTCGTGTGTAATTATTCGGTTAATGAAACCGAAATCACGGACTAAACATAAATATTATTCATACATTTTCATAAGTTTGTTTTACTTCAGAACGAATAATACTAGTATAGGCTGCATTAGATATTTCAGAACATAAAATCGTGATATATTTCTAGATATATTTTGCTTTGAAAAGAACTAGACGAGACGATCTCAACGCAATTTGTAACATAATGCTCAGGAAAGGTATACTCGATGTGTTCATACGAATGTGGGATCATTTTCATCTAAATCCAGAAGATTTTTACAGCAACGCCACAACTCTAAATTTCAGAATCATGAAACAGGTTCTGTAACTGTTTAGATTACAAATAATATTTTTATAATAAACCGCCTCTCAATCGAAAAAATAGTTTAAATTTTCATGGTTAGCTTTTCACATTCTATCACTTGATCACGGAATCGGGGCGAAACATATCATTATGTAGCTGATAAATCTCTTAACTACAGAGATTATCGATTGGAAAGACACAACCGCCTGTATTAAAATTATGTTATATTTTATTATGTTATATGTTATATGGACCAAAAATATTTCTTTCGTTCAACTTTAATGTTTCAATTACAATTCAGATGAAATTATTACTTTGGAATTACTCAGATAAATGTGCTGATCTTCCGAAAGCTATTTCCAAAAAAGGAGAAGTTGTTAGGAGATTAATGAAAGAACTAACGATGCCTGAACTTGGTGTGGGAAATTTGAAACGACAACAACTACGATACATGATCAAGGTATAGTGCGGAATTTCAATATGCCATTTTCAGTATGCGTTATGACATGATTTTATAATAACAGCTATGGTTACCGATGTCATTGATACCAATATTTTAACGAAGTATGACGCCACAATCCTCGATGGCGTCACACAATACATTAGGTAACAGACTAACAGTATTCCTACTTAACACCTGCAACCCGGACACGTCCATTTTAAATTATTTAGTCATCACTTGAACTGTGATGCTAAGTTTACCTCTTTCGGCGTTTCGAAATATCGCCAACGCCATCTTTAAAAGGGTAATGCGCAATCCATATTGTAAAAGTTGCCGATATATATATATATATATATAGGTACACTTGGTCAAACGTAACCCATTTATTAATTTTGTGACGTTTCTGTTGCGCAATTCGAAACGTATTACAAATGAAGGAAGAGATTGAATTTCTAATCCCCATCGCCTTCTTCCCATTAAGAAGTTTTTTCTGCTACTTTTTAGATGCTTTATTTTACAGGGAACTCTTTCTATTTTAATGAATTGTGTGCGACATTGCAACAAAATCAAGATTCACATTCGAAAAAACAATGGAATAGATACACTGCTTGCGTACGAAAAATCAACATATCTTATCATCAAAGCAGAAGTGTATATTTTACTTGCTTATTGCATTACGGAGGAGGAAAATACTAGAATTGTGACAGGTAACAAAAAGTAAGAGAATGGATCTCCGGATAGTGACGTTTTCTTTGTTTTACAATCATTTACAATTCAGAGTCAATTTGTTTGGAGTAGCTGACTGGGGTAGAGTTTAGGGATTTATATCAGTGTTTGATGTAAGTTACCAGCAAGAATTCGTAACTTCACAATTTGAATTTCGCTTCATTTATTGCAGGTTCTGGGGTGATAGGATTTATTGTCAACTTGCTATCGTCAGCAGTGGCATCGCCAAATCATGTTGCCAAAAATAATTTGTTTTCGGCACAAGAAACGGTCATTGCCTTAAACAAATTAGCGCAGAATGATGAAAACAAGGTATGTTTATATAATTTTAAATATATACTTTTAACATCTTGATTAATACAAATGTAGCATGGCAAAATGTTTTGTACATTGAAACGGATTTGTTCTTGCATTCTTATTTTTTTCATATTCGACGGTTCGACATTTGCCTGCCCAATTTAACACACCCTGGGTGCATTGTCTCAAATATTACCAGTAAGCATAATGTCATTTTACATCATGAATGTTATATTGTCATCCATCCCTAATTTGAGCTAAAAAATGCAGAACCGGTAAGAAGTGTAGCCCATCATACATTTTGAACATGCCAACGTTCGAATGTATATATATATACATACAGACCCCATCAGGATAAAAATAGAAATGAGATAGATCCCATAAATAAGTTTCTATGTATTCGTACATATATATACTGCGATCTATTTATTCCTACCTCTCAAAATTCTTAATTTGACGGCAACTAAGCCAGTGCTAAGCTAACAGAAGATTATTTGACGGAACGTTACATTATATACTGAATATATTTAAATTACCTTTATTTAGAAAACAATCGTCGAAGCTGGCGTTTTACCAATTTTAACTAGACTGTTATCAGATGAAAAGAAAACTACCCCAGAAGAACAGTACGAAACGATAAATTGTATTTGGACGTTAGCTTTTCACACAGACAATAAAGATAGAATAATTAACGTAAGCTAAACGTAAATTAATAATAAACGTAATATATATAATTAAAATTGAATTCGTTATGCGATATTTTCAACGCTCATTATAATTAGCATAATAGTAATTTGACTCAATTACTGTACGTCATATCATATCTTGTTCTACAAAGGAGCCTTGCTTGATTGACATAACGAAACGTCTTAAGCTGCGCTCAGGGATGGATGCAAGAGCTAAACTGCACAAAGCATGTTGCAGTTTGTTATTCATCCTCGACTTGGAAGAGAGATTATACGAAGAAGAGTTGAAGCCACATACAAAAACAAAGCACGTCATGCTTAGTTATAACTGGGAAGTCCAAGAAACTATGATTAAGGTAACAAGAAAGCACTGTTCAACTGGATATTAAATATGTACCGACATCGTCATTCCTCGCTTAGCGAAACGGTTGTCCAATAGCTAATGTTTGATCTCAACACCTAGCATCATGAAGGTCAAAAAAATGTCAAAACAAAAATTGAAATTGGGGAACAACTGGTAAACTAGTCAACGAGGAAGGGAATTTTTGTTCCCGCTACAGAAATTTTCTAAAGCAATCCATTTATTTCGCAGCTTCGTGAATACTTGAGACAAAAAGGATATGAAGTTTGGATGGATGTGGAGAAAATGCAGGATTCGATTTTATCTGTAATGGCGGAAGCCATTGAAAATGCAGCAATTGTACTCGTAGCAATGACCGAAACGTACAAAAACAGTAACCCCTGCAGAACCGGTACTTCAACCCTTTTTTCAAAAGCATCACATTTTGTTACTTTTGGACGATTTTTTATTGTTGGCAGACGTCATTTTAAATGCTATAAAATATAAGAATATGTAAATAAAAAAATACGTAAGAATTTAAAAAAGCTCAATATACTGTTCAACAATTTATGTTTACAACACAAAAGAAACTTTTTTATTTATTTATTATCAAATATGATATATACCAATATTCTAATGACCTTTGCTTTCAATTCAAAATACAAAAAGTCATTTTAACTGGTGCATCTTTTGAATTCAATAATTGTTTTGAAATCCTCAATAATTTAGATCAAAAAGCTTTACCGTGGTTGCGATTTTGAAATTCACGGTATCACCAGTCGACCATATTATTTTAGAAGCTGAATACGCGTACAGAAGAGAAGTTGCAATTCTTCCTCTGCTCCTGCAATCTGAGTATGTAGCGGACGGTTGGCTAGGAGCCATGGTTGGAACAAAACTCTACGTCGATTTGTCTGGAGGGTTTCATGAGAAGAAATTTGCTGAGGTTGCTCAACAAATATCTGGCATTGTTTCATCATCCAAAATCTTAGAACATAATCCAGGTATGCATAGACCAAACAAAGTTTGCTATAACCTTTACATTGGGAGATACAGATAAAGTTTCGATAACTGGACACGAAGTGGCAATCGGTTTCAAATTTAAGTACTTGAAAATGGAGAATGTTGTAGAAGGCTATCATATTTTTTTAATTCTTTTCTAGTTATACGAGCCCGATATTTTACCCAAATTTTGTTGTCTTATTTTATTTTATGGAAACACTTTATATGACATAATTATGTAAACACCTATACATCACATCTGAAATTTCTGTCTATATATATATATTTGTTTATTGGTTTCTTCATTTAATAAGAATCAGTTTCCTAAAATATAACTAAGAACTCTTTGCATACCAGGTATATTCCAAAAATATTTATACATATTCTGTATATATCGATTTCGAGTCCACGTCATTTTTTCCGAGCCCATAATCAATTCTGTTTTTACTAATTTACGCCTATGTTTGTACTTTTACCTTTTTAAATCCCACTACATACCTTAACTAGTTAAAATTCAAGGTTAGATCTGTAACAATATTCCTCGTGTGCATTATAAACACTCCTAATAAAACGACGACAGATATCCAGATAATATAACGCAAGTTAAAAACTATTGATCGCTTATAACAATGATGTTGCGCCCGTCGCCTTCAAACTATTCATCCTTTTTGGTATACATGTGGTACACAATAAAATATGTATTATTGCAATATTTTTTAGTTTTCGATTTGCGTAAAAATGAAACATGCTCTGGATCAACCCAATGTAGAATCTCATCAATACCTCATTTAAATCGAGTTTATTGCGTGCAATCCTTTCGCTAAAAAAGCAATGGAAAGCATGGAGGGGTTTAAAACGTTTAAATTGTAAGCAGATGTACCACATTGTATTGACGACGAGTGGCATTTCTCTACCATATGCGCACATGACATAGTAAATTTACGGCTAGAAATATCTGAAATTATGGGAAAGCATTGTAGTCGAAAGCTTTTTATTTTCCATATTGACCTGTAAGAATTTCTGAATAGCCGCCCAGAATTGACGCAAGGTGGGCTGGAAATCCAGTTCACAGCCAAGGCGCACATTGACCCACGTTTACGTTTGTATTATGGCCGCCAAAAAAGAGAAAAAATATATATTTAAAATGATTCAACAGCTATCTGCGGAACATTTAAGGCAAAAAATATGAGCTACGACGTATGTTTGTGAGCGCACGATGCTGTAGCATGGTCAAAAACACGTTTTTCTGCTTTTCCATTATGACGTCACGAACTCGGCAGATTCGACTCGAGTCCTTGACCCATTACTCGGATTCGTCGAATCTCTGTAATGCCGGACTCGTCCCATCCCTAGTAAATACACATTATTTTCAGTTCTTGCCAAACCAGTTAATGCTTCAACATTATCAATACAATCAAATGATGGTGGTGGAAACGGTCCGCAAGAAAGCTTACTTGGATTTTCAATATTGCAATACAATATACCATGTAATAATTGGAGCAAACAAAAAGTATTAGAATGGTGCAAGTGTATGGGACTAAAAGGTGAGTTTGATTATATTGTAAATGTCGGTAGGTTGGATAAAGCAGGAATGATATATACTGGTGAAATAAATTGGCTGTATACCTATGTTAATCGATTGATACAAGCTAGGAAATTTCAACCCTGTTTTTACAATTACAATATCGTCTACGACATAGGTTCTCAAAGTGCTCCGTACGGAGCCCCAGGGCTCCGCGAGAGAAACCCAGGGGCTCCGCGAGCTATTCGATTACTCTTCGAAATACTGACTCAAAATTTTGTAACTGTTGAAAGAAGCAATAACAGCGTTGATAAAATCTGACAACAATACAGCCTCGAAATATGGTAAAGAGGCTGAATTAAAAATGACATTATTTATAAGCAGGAGCGCAGCCAGGATTCTTAAGAGGGAGGTGGTTCAAAATTGGAATCGGAAATTTCCTCGCAACATTCTTCGCCATTAAAAAAACGGATAACGAGATTTCTGTTGCGTAAAATATTCAATCCATGACCGATGCGAGCATTCAACGTGTCTCTTCGTTATAATGTAATTGTGATCATCGTTACTCAAGTTTGGTTCGAGATTAGTATTAGTATTACTTAAATGAAAGAATACTATTCTAAAATAACATAAAATATGTAATAAACTGCCAACAATAAATAAAGTGGAGTCGTATTTTCGCGATCTTGGGATTTGTCAAACTTGATTTGTTCTTTCGCACCTGAGATTATTTTTAAGCAGGATATCGCCGTTTAAAAAATCACAATGTCTGGGCAAAATACGAACAATTAGAATTTATTTTATTGCATTCGGCTCCGTCGGTAGTTTCAGAATGAAAAAAGATACATCGTGGATCGCGTGCACAATTGATTGCGTGCGGCTTCGTCGGTAGTTTCAGAATGGGAAAAAAAGGTACATCGCGCGCACAATTGACTGTGTTTCGATTTCGCAGTTACTACGACGAAAACCTAACATAACACCAAATTTTGTGATTTACAATGTCTATAAAAGCGTTTTCAATCTGAGGTGAGTCTGCTGAAGCCAAACGTGTGATCTTCCATTTTAGGTTTCAGTTTTAATATTTTAGAAAAGCCGTTTTTCAATCAAGAAATTTGAGTTGCGGATTTATCTCTTTATTAATTATAATTTTTAACATTTCGTCGCAGATGACAATTATATGGTAACATGTTTTTCACATTGAACTCATAATTTCCCACGAGAACAAAAAAGGAATTAACGTCGTCATTGTGTAACAATACATGTATATGCCGAGGGAAATTTTTGATTTAAGGAGAATAAACACCGGCGTAAAGATGTTCAAAACACGCCATGCTGACGAAAAAAATCGGCGATTGTAACAAAATAAAATCGCGCACGTTATTAGCGGCCTGTTAAGTCTTCCAAAAATGTCAAAAGAGAAAAGATTCGACCCCTAACTTATTAATATGTTCGTCAAGTGTCAAATTTACAGCCTTAGTATGAAATTCAGATTCATTTATGGCTTGTGTTAATCCTATTAAAAAGGTTCAGCATTTTAAATAAGTAAAGTACTTTTAACTTGCCCAGGAATATTAATCTGAAAGTAACAGTTTTAACATTTATTTTTTGGGGCTCCGCGAATAATATTCAACTTTTCAAGGGCTCCGCAACACCAAAAGTTTGAGAACCCCTGGTCTACGATTTTAACTCATTCAATAGATGAGGAGTGTTAGTGATACCATACGAAAGGATAACCGTATTCATTCATATAAGTATGTTATTCTATTCATAAAATCATTTATGCATACACTTCTTTTCAGATCAAGATTCCTTTCCGAAATTAGATGGTGCATCTTTGTCACAGCTATGCAAAATGCTTATACGCAGTCCAGATAATTACTATTCTGTACTGCGAAATGATTTTCATTTTAGTGCTGAAGATGTATTGATTATGACAGATGCTGTTGAGGAGTTATTGGCAAATAAGTTGCTAGAACGCGATTAAAAAGTTAGTCAACGTTTTAGAAGTAGATTATTTTTCCATCCTCATTGTGATTATTGAGGTTTTATTTTCATTCAGTAACTGAAATGACTATACCCGGGCTTGTAGCCTGTATATGTGACCGCAACGAAACAGTACATTCGGCAGATGAAGTAGAAATGGCACAGCGCTAATATCAATGTACCGGTATACTGCCTAACGACCTTTTATAGACTCTGACATCAGTTCACAACCTTGCGGAAGCAATTATGCCCTGATATGGCAAGGAAATTGCGTCAGAGGCTGTCTTGCGTATTCGTGGGTATATTTCTATTTTGACGTACCTGGTACTTATTTTCGATGACTACTGATACGTGTTCCATGAAAATGAGATGCCCCGGATATAATGTCATATTTATCTGAATTGAAATGACTGAAACTCTTACGTATTAAACATACTTTGTGTTTCAAAATAGAGAGAGACACGGAAAAATGTAGGAAGTACTGGACTGCTACATGAAATGAGTAATTTGAAACACGCTTGAGAGGGCGATGAAGTATGGCACCGGTATTAATACAAATGGACGAGGTTGTTATTACAGCTCTGTAATGTCGGGGAATTAAACGATTAGGCTGGAAGTCATAAATGCCTTTACTTCAATTCATTCGTCATTTGGAAACAGGGAACGAATTCTATGTATAACACCATTCTATTTTTGTAGGACATGTGCAGTTGCTGCGCATAATCCTAATCTGTAATCTTTTTCGTTTGTTGGACAAACAAGGATATATCGAATGAGTGATTAAAATTTGTTTGCTTTTACCTGCCTTGTCGTTCTTGATATCTCTACATACTATTGTCTTCTATGCATGGTACAAAGTCAAGCATCGAATAATATTGAACAATTTAAATTTGAACTTAGAAGACAGTCACAAAGAGTAATGAAAATTCCAGCGCATTTTATTACAAGATGAATATATAATAATAATTTCCAAAGTACAGCAAGCCAATTCATACCAATGACAGTATAAGCGCAAATTCAACTGATCAATGGAATTACATGTATATCTTATAAGAACACGATCGATCCTCTAACACTTTATCACGGCTCAAGTCACGGATATGATTCACTTATAACATGCAATCTAACTTATAATTGGACTAGGCACAGGATAGAAATAGACCATTCCATTTTTGGTGGTTATAAATATTTTGATGTTGAGTAACGTTTCTTGAACAAATGAAACTATTGGTCATAAAGGCATTTGAATAAACAAAACAGTGATATGGCTTGAAAAATAAGGATAACATATTACCATCACATTAGATTTCTAGAATCTAGCAGAAAAGAAAACAAATTTTCTCAATTTTTATCGACGACAAAATATGCGCCAAATCGCGCTATTGATAGTCACAGATCATTTTGTAGGCTATAGAATTATTCTTATTTCCCATACTAAATTTTGGACAACTTCAAAATGAATACTGGAATTGTATCTTTGTTAAATGAATGGGATAGAGTTGTACAAAACAATATTTGAGTACGAATATAGAATTACCAGTTCAAATTCGACTGCAGTAGATTTTATTTATATACAAAAACTTGCTTTGCTTCATTTCATATTATGTAATCTTAATAACAATATAAAAATATAATGCTGTAATATACATACTACTTATTAAGCGTGCATAATCACATTATACGGTACTATCAATAGGAACAAATTTGCTCTTGACGTTGGATTGTGAAATAAGAAATAGTGTTATCTATGAAACATGTAAGTGCCATGAACTCAATCTATCTAACCCATGACCAAATTTGTGGAAATTATACAATAAAAAGAGTGAGCTTAAGCAAGCATATCTACTGAAAAAAACAAGATCATGTAATTAAAATAAGAAATAGGGCACTGTTGGTGTCCTAATATTCTATAATATGTACAGATGCATAATCAAACATATCCGTGACTGGCCTATTACATAGTGCAGCTTCCCAAAGGAAATGGTTTATATTTTTGTGTGTGCTAATTATCCCAGGAAAAGAGAAAAAAGTCAGAGCAAATTGGGAATCTATTCAAAAAAAAAAATGATTGAATGTTTTCAGTTAGATTCTATATGCAGTAACAGACTGGCATATTTTCCTTTCATAAATCAAAACTGAATATCAAAATAACAACAAAACGTGACTAAAAATCAATCAGGACATGATTTTGTGAATTTATAAAGCCATTATAATCCGTCAAGTCAATTTCAGCTGTTGTTCTCTTTCCATATTCAAACTATTTGCAACATATTATTTTGATTCAATCGTTTTATGATGAAATGCATAAAATTATTAATTCCTTTTTTGGTGATGAATCATGAAATATTACATAATCGTGCGCGGCATAGCTAGTCATCAGTATACCAGAGGAATGTGTCATGAAGTGACTTGAAGAATCAATTATTTGGCCCAGAAATACTGGAATACGAATTTATACATTGGCAAAATACTTATACTGCATAATTAGAAGCATTTAATAGAAACATGATCAACCATTGGCTAGATATTATTAAAGTTAACGAAACATCCATAGTATATACAAAATTTGAAATTTAGAGTGCAATGCATACATTCAGGATAGAAATTAATAACACACATATGTAAAAAGTTCTTGAAATTAGACACGTTAAAATTAAAACATAATTAAAATAACCTAGATACATTATTCTATAAAATGTTAATTAAGAAATATAGTCATCAAAATGGCCAGTTATATTTCATCAAAAATCAAAGAAATATGGAGTAGAAAAGTATCATTCCTTCAATTCTTATAGTATTTTAAACAAGGAATTCGAAGCTACCCTTGTGTAAATGGTAACAAATTTAATAATTAGGTTCTGATATAAAGTCAACAAATATCTTTATGAAGACATTAGACAATATATGATACAACAATTAAAAAAACCTACATACATTATTCTATAAAATGCTAATTAAGAGATATGGTCATCAAAATGGCCAGTTATATTTCATCAAAAAACAAAGAAATATGAAGTAGAAAAGTATCGCCTCTTCAATTCTTTCAGTATTTTAAACAAGGAATTCAAAACTTTCATCGTCTACCCTTGTGAAAATGGTACCAAATTTAATTAGGCTCTGATATAAAGTCGACAAATATCTCTATGAAGACATACAATATATGATGTTTTCGATTAACAGCATGGACTGCCATATTGTTCATATTCTTTACTCTTCATGCATGCATTTTATGCTTACAAGCTTTTGAAAACAGTTTGTGAATACCTGATTAATACATTGTAACAGCTATGGCTGAATCACAACATTCCAAAGTCCTCTCATTGTGTTGATGCAGACAGAGTAAATAAAGCATTATTCACTTTCCTAAAATTGGGATGAGTAGGTCCAGGTTTACCATCAATAGATATTGTTTTGGTTTTCCCACCAAGTTTACATTGAATTTGGGATCCTACATGGACTGGTAACTGCTTTCCCAAATGTCCATTTACAAGCTTGACCAAAACTCCGACTGCTTCTGGAGCACGATCGTCATATTCAGGATTTGTCTTCTGAATACAAAGAACCAAATCATCTGAGCCATCAACATGGATGATTAAAAGTTGATCAGTCCCATTAGACACACTAACTCCTGTGACTTTATCCACAGGGATTCGATTCATTGGTTTGTATGATTTACCTGGATCCAATTTGAAGATGAATTTCTCTGTTACAAGCAGGGCTCTGTCTTCACATTTATTTTTTCTGTTAACCTTACGAACATGAGAAGAAAACTTGATTTCTCCAAAGTGAAACTTTGAGTTGAGTTGATTTGTCTTTGCCGAAAACACAGCAGCTAACGATTGATTTTCAGTTTGGGATGCCAGATAGTTACCTTCCCATTTCCTTTTTCGTAGCCAGTTGGTACGTTTTCCATGTAAAGCCTCATAAGCTGCACAACGAAGTTCAACTGCTGGCCATTCAGATCGCGGAATCCTTTTAACAATTTTGCCGGCTCGCCATTTTTTGTGGATTAGTTTCATGTGGTCAACAAGCTCTTCTAAGCCAGCAGGTGGATGAGTCCAGACAATCCCCTTCCCAAGATCTGGCTTTTTGAGAACACCTTGAAACTTCTGAGACATTTCCAGCAAATAGCATCGCATTTTGTATAACTTGTATCTTCTCATGATTTTGTATGTAGCAACAGTACGCTTATACCTTAGACGAGCGATTCCACCTCTCCACATTTTCTGTAGGAGAATGACAAGCTGTGGAATTAACATTGCTCTTCTTTCTTCCAAGTTAACGAGGGTCTGAGGGGTTCGAATGAAAACTTTTGTTTTTCCATACGCAATATCATCATCAATTTCAATGTCAGTTATTAGAGCTTGTACTGCTTCATTGTCAGTTTCACATTGATGATTCGGCCATGTGAAAGAAGACAGCATTTTATATCTTTGTAGAAACCTTCTGTATGGCTGTCTGTTTGCATAACCAGCTCTTCGAACACGAACATTTTCCATCAATCCAAGATATAATACTTGATGCTTGCATCTATCATAATTGAACTGCACTGGCGATTTCACTTCATTCGGTTTGACACAACGAACGTAATAAGGTTCTTTCGAATTCAGCTTCTGTACAAGAGCAATCATCGAATTTTTGAATAGGGTACCAGCTGTTTGAGGCCTTTTTGTTACTTCTTTGATGCTTTGTGCACCTTCAGGCCACATTTCTTTTATGGTGGGATTCTTGCTATTGTACAGCAATCTTTTGAAATCTTGGAAGAGCTGATCTTTATTTTTGTCCAAGAAATTTTCAACACTGTACTTTACATCTCCTGCGTAATGAAGAATCTGAAAATCTTGATCATGGGTCAGATTTTTATTTTTTGCATCTTTTCGTCTGCTCGTGAAGTGAGCATGATCTTTTAACTTGTTGTCCATTGCTTCTAGGAACATTGAATCAGTGACTTTTCCTACATTGAGGCAAGCTTCGTCACAGATGGCAATAATACCTTTATGGGGTTGCTCAACCAGGTCGCAAATGATTTGATTGTTGAAATATTCAACATTTTGCCATGTTATGCCTTCACTGTAATATTCTTCTTGTTCCTGTTTCAACACAAGCTCAATGAAAAGTTGTTGCAATTTTTCATTACAATAATTAATGCAAAACTGTTCAAAACTATTGTTGTCAAAGATCTCAAAGCCGTATATGTCAAGAACCCCAATCAGTGTACTTTTACCATATCTCACAATATCTTGTTTTACTTCAAGGATTGAATTGATGCGACCCACAATAAATGAAAACATTCGTTCATACATTGCTTTTGCAAAAGCGTCTCTACCATGATTAGCATCTGTCATGTCATGAAGCTTAGCAATGACTTCTCCTCTTGCTGCAACAACACGACTCTGTAAGCTGTCTTCCAATTCTTTTTCACTTACACTTAGCAAATTGGCGATTGCTTTAATTGAATTGCGGTCTTTGACAATCACATTTTCACCAGACATTCCAAATTCAATGTTTCCTAAGAATAAAACTGCAGCAACAATTTTGAAAAGTGTTTTTTGTTCATCATCTTTGAAACCAACAGCTTTCAATGCTGCAGCAACCTCTTTGTGTGTTTTCTTGTCATCAACGTTTCTCACACTATTCGATTGACCTTGGTTAGTGTAAGTATATTTCGATGGGTCTCTTGTTAAATGCAGTTCTTTAATCAGTTGCTCACTTGCACCTGCTAGAAGTTGGTAGAAAGAATGGAAATTCCTTTCTCCAATTTGTTGATGAACAACTCTTGATTTTTCCAAAAGATAATTATTGATGTGTCCACCAATAGGATCACCTTTAAAATCAAAGTTGATATCCATATATTTTCCAAAACGTGAAGAATTATCATTTCTATTTGTCTTGGCATTACCAAACGATTCCAAAACAACATTGGATTTTAGCAGAACCCCAGTAACTCGTTCAATTTCATGACGAGCTGATGCATTTGTGATAGAAGTAATGTAATTCATTATAATTTTAGATGCCTCTGTCTTGCCAGCTCCAGATTCACCAGAAATCACAATGCATGTATCTTTTAGATATCTCTTCATAGTGCGATAAGCTGCATCTGCGAGAGCATAAATATGAGGAGGCCGTTCCCAAAATTCCTTGTCTTTGTATTCTCTCACTGTTTCTGGGGAGTAAATATTCATAGATTTGTATGGGTTCACTGACACAACCACTTCTCCAATATAAGTATAAATGCGACATTTTTCAAATCGTAGTTGGAGATTTTTCATGAACTCTTCGATGGTTAAATCGTCCAGGAGAACAAAGTCTCCTTTCCCGAATTCTGGTCCCTCAAAACTCATGGTGCTTGAGAGATTCCAAAAAGCAGGAGATATTGATACAAGTTCCCAAATAAAAATGAAATATAAATATGTAGTCTTAAATATTAATCTAAGAAATATATATTTGTCAATTACATTACTATGTCATTGCTAGCGAACCTAAAACTAATTAAGGACGAGTTACAGGATTTTTCTTCCTTTTTTAAATGCACTTTTTCAGTACATACACTAGCGCACTATGCTGCTGTGCCAAAACCTACATCGTCCAACAAATGACTTTATTTCGAATTTCCCTTACAACAAAACATAGAAGCAATACGGGGCAAAACAAACAAATATACAGAAAATCAGGAAGGTAGGCAAAATCTACAAACGATTCAAAACATGCTGATGCACGTACCACCCCAAACAGAAAATAACACATTAAAGTAAATTGAAAAAAATGAATGAAAGATAATTCCTACAGGGGTGGTGACTCCTCTACGGCCCATAGGCCGGGGCCACGGCACATCTAATTGGGCCACATGGTCCGTGGCCCATCAAGCTATGGGCCGCGGCCCATCAGAAAAAATTCAATTATCTTACCAAAATTTTCAATTTTTATAAAATTGTCAATATTGGAACCAAAAATAAATCGCGGCATGCCACCAAACCTTTTTCTTGCGATAAGCCTTTTCATAAAAATAAATCAAAATACCAAGCTACAGAAAAGGATACACGGAAGTATGTGTACCAGGTTAGGGTTATGACAAAATTTTGTTCAGATTTTTCACATTCAGACATTATAGTTCCATTATATGTTCAGGGAGTGGGTAGGATTTACATATTTATTAGTCTTTATTATTTTATCCCTTTACACAACTTGATGGGCCGAGGCCCATTTCGATGGGCCGTGGCCCCGGCCCATGGGTCGTAGAGGAGTCACCACTTCCACTCGATAATTCGGGCATTAACACTTGGGTATGAAGTTTGAACATGCGCTGCTATTTCTACTATATTGTAGGCTATACAAGAAAATAATGATAAGAGTAGAGCACAAAAACAAACAAGCGGTGTACAATATGTGATACTGGACAATAATGATAATTCGACAAAAGGCCTTCCGGAAGGTCTTTTGGCCTTCCGGAAGGCCCTTTTAATCAAATAGTTTTGAAACCTGATTTTGTGTAGTTTGATTTTGAATTTTCTTTAGCTTATGATATTAATTGATTGCCAGTTACTCATGAATACAATCATGGGTTACAATTTCTATAAAACATTTTAGTTTTTTATCACTGACCTATTTACTTTTAATAAAAATTTCAATTTTTTGAAAAATTTGAAAAAAATCAATTTTTTAAAATCCTCATTTCTCAGATAAAAAAACCTTTGTGATCTAATTTTTTCATGTTTATGAATTTCTTGTATCATGTTGTTGCACTGAAAAACTAAATTTGCTAACAGAAAAAAGCGCAAATACAATTTTTTTGTAAATTATAAATTTTCATCAAAAATTTTAAACGATCAGTTTTATAAGAGGGATTATTGTTTAACTATATTCAATTAGGTACATTTTTTTCTCTAAAAACCCAGAACACAAATACCTAATACCAAAAAAAACTTCGAAAATTAATACTAACACAAACAACATGATGGATGGGAGACCCTTTCAAAAATTTTCTTGAAAAGGGCCTTCCGGAAGGCCCTAAGACCCGGAATCTGGAAACCTAAAAAACTTCTATTTTCAGTAATTAGAGCATGTACCACTATCAAATAAAAAGGGAAATATTATTTTAAGCCAAGTTATCTGAAAAGAAAGTTACATTTTTCGTTTTTGATGGGAGGGAAGGTGTTTCCCAAATGACAGCTGGGCATTAATTTTCAGTAAATGAAAGACGATCACTCATTGAAAGTCAGCGCCTACTTGGACAATAAAACTTTTGAATTTGAAATGTTTGCTCGTCATGTAAAGAATATCATGCAAGATTTGGTTGATATGTTGTCTTTATTAATGAAATATAACATCCAAAGATGAGCATTTATTAGTAGAAAACCCATGTTGCTCTAAATTGACAGTGGTCACAAGAGCGCATTAGTTACGCATCTTAGAAACCAAAGGATCCAGTACCCACATTATAATGATGACAGTGACAAATTTCAAATAAGTTTCTGCTACTTGCAGTCTAGGGATATTTCCAGAGTGCCATTCTCATTTTGTTTCTAGCTAGTTAAAGTTATCCTTTTATCAAATCTATCTGCAAAAAAATTTGGAAGTTTGGATGGGCAACAAACTCACTACACCATTAATAATTCATCCTAAGGCTCTGTCTCCACTTTGCCTATCATTCTCTGCTGTAAGGGGATTGTATCCATGTCTTAATCAGACTCTATGTCTTATTAATCAGACTCTGTCACTTTCTTCGTCTGAGAATGAAAATACATTCATCTCTGTTAGTTCACTGTCTATGCTGCATGCTAAGAAAGCACTTAGCACATTCACTAACTTCCTTTTCTTTCTCAACTTCAGAATCCTAACTCTCAGTCTTTTTTGTTTGCTTCCTAAACTGCTGTTTGGTTGTTCTTCATTCATTCAAACCAAAGCTACTCTCTGCATTGCGCTCAAAGTAATTTCCTAATTCGAATCTTTCTTAGGTTCTTTCTATGTTCTCTTCATCTGAAACTCCAGGTCTTAAAACTTTATAGTCTATTTCACACACTGTAATATTATATCACAATTCACAATGTAATATCATAAAATTTCACTCTAGCTTTCTCTAAAAACTTGAAAAGTATCAACCCAGAAACCACATCCAACCACAAATTATAATGATACTGTATATAGTAGCAATCAATTTTTAAATTCCAAATATTCTTCTGTATAGCTTAAACTTAACCTAAATATATTTATTATGTTAATCAATAACATAAAATGATAATTTGTGTTTAATTTTGGCTTCCCTTCGAAAAAACAGGCTTTCCTCTCAATATTAAGGGTCCACATCGACACATATAACTGATTATTTTTGTAGGGCCTTCCGGAAGGCCCTAACATTTTCTATAGTAATGTCCAACTTTTATATATCATTAAACATTCTGTATTGCATTTTGTTTCTCAATAAATCAAGTAACCAACATGAAATCATGCCTTGTGCAAAAAAAAGTACCTGCAATTACAAAGAAAATATTTTTTGACACCGGAACAACAAAAATTAATCTAATATTCTGATCAATAAACTAGGTAACTTGCTTATAATTGGAGATATGAAGACAAAATAATGACTATGTCATCTGGTAATCGCCAGGCTTGCAACTACAACTTTTATTGCTTTCATTTAAAGCTCTGTAGTCTTCAATTTGGTCAAAATAGTTGAATGGTGTAAAAAAAACATAGGGCCTTCCGGAAGGCCCTTTTGTCTACATGTTTATACAAAATTTACGACATTATCGAGTGGTAGCAGTTCATTCCAATCACATTGCAATTGTTGTAAATCTATAGAAACTTGCAAAACAGTAAAAAAAAGTGCCTCGATTAATACCTGGGTTGCCCATAATTGCGATTTTTGAAAAATATATAAAAATTTTCATAGGTGACAAAAAGTTCTTATTTTCAATAGTTGAGCAGACTAATAAAAATTATATATGTGCAGTAGCTGTTAAGTGTCTGTAAATAACCTTTAATGAACTATTCAAAGCTGAAAAACTAAGAAGTTTTTCTGCTATATAGTACTGTGAAAATTTATTGTAAAAATGACCTAAAATAGGGCCTTCCGGAAGGCCCTTTTTCAGTCGAATTATCAATAAACAACAAAAGTAAAGGCAGTGGTAAAGTAAACAACAAGAAATATGATAAGAGCATTCCGTGAAGATAAATGCCCTGACTTTCAAACTTTAGCAGAATCAAAATCAATGTGCTTTGTAAACATGTACGGTACTGTGCAAGCAGTCTTTTCATGGAACAAGTTACAAAAAAACACACAAAGATCACTCAATGACATTTTCATATTGCTATGGTAGACTACCTATGAGTCTATGACTAGTACCAGTATCCTTGATATAACTTACTATGTCATCTCCGAATTCCAAAAAAATATAAACTTCAAATTGGGTCTTTCTGAACTTTTCAAATTACGGTAACATTACAGAATTAAAAGTAACAAAATAATAAAGTCTGAAAGTCTAATATAAGACAGCGCAAACTTATATTTCTGGCCCTTTTTATGTATTAATTATTTCTAGATTATTTAAACATAAAAATATGGGTGAGCACCACTGATAATAAACCTGGTCTATCCCTGGACTTGTTATCGCAATGACTACGCCCAACTCGGCAAACACGACGTGAATTACTGAGCTGATCTGCGCTTTGTCGCTGTTGCCTAGAGCGGCAATTTTAAACTAATTTAAGCGCATCAAAGGATGACATAATACTAGAACAACAACGTATCGAGTCGAAATTATATAGACTACAATAATCCATTCGCCGGTAATGAATACAACGTTACAAAGCCCAGGCATAGTGTATACTGATATTTCAATAGGTCAGCTCGGGCGCCGCGCATTGCCATCACGCCTACTTCATAATTCATAACATCCGCCGCCTTTAGGTGACGTAATGCGTAACGCGCAGCCGGCACATGACGTATTTGCACATACACTCAGTTACGCAAACTTCCAATATTTGCGATAGATCACGCAAGGCCGTTAAAACAGCTAGGAAGTAAATGGTGGCACCACGCGAGATTCTGCGCTGCATTTCTCGAGCATGATATTCGAGCATATAAATTATAAAATGGAACATAAATATGAATATGTGCATATAAGGCAATAAAATTGAAATAAAAGAATTGAAACATTTCTGTCTTATCCCGCGAGATATAAATGGAATTTTCATTTCACATCACATCAGCAAGATTTTATATTGTAAACGGCTAAAGGTACAAAAACGTTCGGACCTAAAATATACATTTATGCTCTATAAAACCACCAAATTAGAGAACATAGATCATATATTATGGCCTCATTTGATAGCGATAAATTTATCACCATTGCCCGACCTATCTACAGATTATTATATCAATTTTTTTATCTTTGATATACGAGTAGTTAGATAGATCTTTATTGCTACATGACATTTAGCAGTCATAATAAACGATTGAAATTGTCAGCTGTTTTCCCATGGCCGGCTTCTTTTCGTCGACGCAATGTGATATCGCCAGGCAACAAACAACGCTATTCACAGGATTAGTTTCGTGAGAGATCGGTGATCAATACAGAGGGATTATTGCTTCCAGCGTGAGCATGTGCGAAACAATCGCTCTGGAGAAACAGATGAAATCGGGTCGTAAAGTTATACAGTGTCATATTTATTACGTTATTATTTATTCAGTGTGTTATTTCCGTTATATTATAGTTCACAAATTAAATGAAGTACGTAAAATACTGCCAGGAATCTGCTTGAAGAAAGCTATTTTGAAGGGCCAACTACCGTTATGACTTTTTCAGCTTTATCAAAATGCTAATTTAATATACGTAATACAAGACCACTATTATCAGAAAGTTACTGCCCAAAAGATCACTTCAAACGCCGAATTCCTTTGCAATGCACCCAAAACTATATATTATTTTTCACTGTTGCACTTATAATTAAATATTGTTTCTGCGTTTGGAAGTTCTATTTCCTTTAAAATATTAGTGTAAGCTTACTATTTTTGACGAAATTTTACAGAAACACGGTGATGCCCATAATCGACATACAAATTACGGTAATATGCCAAAGTAAACATATTTTGTTTATAAGGTATTTGGTTTTTAAAGCGATGGGAAATGAATAAAACAGAATATTTAAGAAAGGAATGAATTACAGCAATAGCACTAAAAATATATATAACTTGATCATCGCATCTGCTGGAATAGAGATTTGATGTTTGGGTGGACTAAACCTCTGCTGGTCTTTTGATTTTTTAGCAGCCCATAATTTCTAACATCTGGTTTGGTAAAATGCAATTCATTTTGTAATTTGCCTGTCACTTGATTTGATGGTTAAAAATCAGATTGATGGAGGGTATTGAAGATTACAGTGGTCATGCTGATAAAGTTTTGTCAGATTTAAGAGATGCTGTTGTAAATGCTGATGACAAGTTAATCCAGTTGCAAAAGGAACTTGACAGCCTGGAAAGGTATAGTTTTAGATAAAGTAATAGAAATAATAGTCTAATTTTATAAAGTTGTTTTAAGCTATTGAATATTGTGATCAATGGATGTAATCAATATGCCAATATTTGTTATTCAGGAAAGCATTAGAGAAAGACCATGACTACGGACATCACAATAGTAAAAGTTCAGACTTGAATGATGACGACATATCAAAATATTTGGAAGGTAATGCTGTGGAAATTTATTGAAAAAGATTTTGTGACAAAATCAATTGTTATAGGAAAATTGTTTGGTTGGTAATCATGGACACAACTCTCAATATCAAGATTGCACTGTGCTAATTCATTGCATCTGTTTTTGCCATGTATTGTATATTTATTATTTTGCTGCACAGTATGTAAATGAAATTTTCTAACACAAAATGTTAAGCAATAATTTTTGTTTTTGATTGTGAACCAATTATTATTTTAAGACTATTCTGAGGAAAATACCATAGATGACAGCATTCTGACATCTCTGCGTTCATCAGCATCACTGAGTTATGCCGCTGCAGCAACGAAACCATTTGAAACATATCAGAGTCAAAGCAAACCTGCACCTGCCAAATCCATCAATCAATTTTCAACACCTGTAGAAAACAATAAAACTAATGAAAGTCATTCCAATAAATCAAACGAGGATGAAATGAATGAAAGATGGGGTTGCCTGAGAAATGTTTTAGCAGAAGACAATTCAGGTATTTCAATATACAATCGCCGTGGGAGTTTTTCTTGTGCACTTTATGTATAAGAACAGGTTATTTCCCAATCAGCCTTGTTCAGAGCAAAAGTGTGAAAATAAATCGTCATAAACATTTTGGGACACATTGTGTTAACGTTTTTGAAAAAATTTTCTGATTTACCGAAACAGCAATTTTGCTAATCCTTTCTGGGACAATTTTTTGATCTATATCCTCATTCGTTAGTGTAGTTTTTACATTTTTCAAATCCAATTGACCTGTTACTGGATAACTTTTTCTGTCAACACCATGACTAATGGTTTTTGTTGTCATTGTTAGGTTTGCCAAAATAAATGTTGATGGTATTTTGTGTGTCATTACAATGATGTTTGTATAAACACGATACTGGAAGTATATTTCATAGCCTATTTATTCTATATCATACATAAAAGTGATGACACTATTTACCCTGTTACTGAGTTTTGATTGGGATTTTGCTGTTTTTCTAATTGTTATGTAAGCTTGTTTGATTGTACGAATTAATAGCAGCATTTATCAATTATTGGCTTCAATTATACTTAATTTTATTACTATGTTATCCAAGGACCTTTGTGACCTTACCTTTGCAATTATATGAAACTAGTTGATAAAATTTAGGTCCTTTATCAAGGGATGATATGCTTAAGGAAGTTTTACAAGCATCAACAATGAAACAGACAAGTCCATTGAAAAATCGATCAGATACACCTGAGAAACGGCATGTTGACTTTTTTTGTTTACTCATGGCACTCATTTACTCTGGGCAATCATCGAACTATTTATTGACTTGTAAATAGCACTAATATTTGATATATGATTTGAATGACATGGGATTAAAATCGATGTGGAGATATAATCATCTTCTTCTATATTATTTGAATGATTATGTAGGGTGTAACTAACTTCACTTACCTACTTGTGAGTTGTATTGAAGATATTCAAATAATTAGGTTCAAATATTAATCTCATGAGTATTGATTCACATTTTAAAAATTTTTGATTGTGTTTACCGGTAATTTAGTTAGACCAGCCATTCCACTTATAACAACCTGAAATTAACTCTGTTTGAAATCTATAATATATATATATATAGAAAATATTTATTGATCATTAATTCTATTGCAATGGTAGATTTTAATTGGTATGTACTGATCTCTTATACACCTAAATTCAACCAAACCGATGCTTTGATGAATGCAGTGAAAGCATTTTTGTGAAATTCCAACTCATCAGATATGAAGAGGATCCATTTCTTGAAGCATCCTAAAATACTTACGGTATGTGTTATATAATAACACAGATGTTCTGTTTTAGGTCAATAACGATGACTTCACCTAGAAGTTCAACTCCAAAATATTCTTTTTTGTATCCAGAACTGTTTAAAGAAAGGTACAGTACTAAAATGTTACCTTCAACACTTTCGATTACCAACAAATTTCACTATTTTTATATGGGCATTCATAAAAAATAAATAAAAAACATCAAAAAAAATGAGTGTTACTTTCAATGAGAAATTTGCTTGCTTCAAAACTGACATTATCTAGCTGGTTATTAATGTCTAGATTTGTTACTGAAATGTATTGGTAATAAATACATTGCCATCAGCACATTTTTAAATCTCCTCATTTTCCTTAACAGAGAAAAACAGCTTAATGAAGCAAGGCCAGAAAGGAAAAGCAAAGACAAATTTCTCCATGCAGAGAGAGAACATAGTCAAAATGACAGGTTCTTTAAGCCGGTTAGTGTATAAAAATATGTTTTATCATAGAAAGATACTGAGGTTGCCTGAATTTCTACCAAACTAAATAATGTTTATGGCATCAATATGTTACCTATTGTACATCGTATAATATCTGTGTATTGTTAACACTTATGCGCTGAAAAGTATTTTATATCATTACTTGTGTTCAGCTGCCACTTCTTTGTATGTTTCAAGTGTTATTGATGATACTTTACCACCATCTCTTTCATTGTGAAATCTCGTCAATGAGTTTTAATGGCAAACAAACCAGCGATCCATTGACCAGAATAAGAGTTTAAAATGATTTGGTTTATTGCTTTCAAATGAAAAGTTAAAATGCTTGCAAAATAAATTTGAATTTTTTTCATTTAATTAGAGATATCTTAAGGATAATTAATAGTTGGTATTTCAAAATACAAACAGTTAATTTCAATTTTGAAAGATATTAATAAATGTAAATTGCAATCAATAATGAAACATGATAAATCTGTGTAATACTAACTATTACACACATCATGGTTTAGATTTGACAAGGTTGAATTTTGGAAAAAAAAAAAAAATTCTCATATGAAATAATTTCTGGGTTTTCACAACTTTTTCTGGATATTACTAATATGTGATATATTCTCAATAACGGATAGTCGATATCTTGTAGTTATTCAATTTAATGATCGTTCCTTTGTTCTATTCTATCCCTCAGTATGATACTTATAATCTTCATTTTTATTCAATACAGTGATTAACATGCTTTATGTAGTCAAGATAATAAAATAATATTTTCTCAAAAATATTTTTTTTAGATTCAGCATGAATTATTATCATCTAGAAGTGAAGAATCTTATGTACAACCATCACATGCTGAAATAGAAGCCAAAATAGAGAATAAAAGATTACAAAAACTGTTAGAAGATGAAAAAAAGAAAAATAGCAAGGTTGTAACTCAAAAATCTGGCATCCCACTGATTATACATATTATTCTGTAACTTTTCTTTCAAACAAAGTCATACTTCCTCGAGCAAGCACTAGTGCGAAGAAAGTTATGTACACCACTCAATATTGCTACTGTATTCTTGCATTCAGTGCATACATTTCCACAATACTTAACTACGCACAATACTAATTTTTCCAGCAGGTTGTTTGTTTTATGCAATGCTTTAACATGAATAAAGTTCTTGCTGTTTCATAAATATCATCTAATTACAATAAATATATTCAAAATCTTAAATTAAACAGGAATTATGTGTAGACTATACCTTCAAATCACAAGTAAATACACCTTTTTCTTGTTGTTCATCAAAATTTAGAATAATCGAGAATGTTACAGAACAGTTTTTAAATTTTCAACTACATTTTTTTTCTATTATAGCTAACGAGCAAGGTGTCATCCCTTGAGAAAGATCTTGAAGAACTTCAGTGTAAAATTGAACTGAAAAATCATGATCAAGTGACTGGAAAAATTGCTGGTAGGTTGTCCATTATGTTACTGGAACTTTAAATACTGATAGCACAGAGTAGTGTTTATATGGGTTGCAACCCGAAGCTGGGTTGCCAGGAATTTCTCTTGAGTCACATGTTTCAGAAATATGGGTTCTCTTCATTTTCTCAAAACAGCTTTTTCGTGCTATCGAGCTGAAACCACCAAACTAATACAATGGTTACTGGTAGTACAATTAGAAACATGAATGAAAAGAAAATTAGTCCGAAAAGTTTCGAAGTAAAACAAAAAGCATCGAATATACATAATTACAAAAATGTTGTTCACCCATCTGCAAAACAAACTTTTACTTACGAAAATATACAGTTGTGTTTTATACTTTCTGAGGAATTTTCAAAATTTTGGATTTCAGTTAAAATATTTATTATCTTAGTAAGCATTCTAATGTCCACTGTTATTAATTGTGGATATCCCTTATATTAAAGTCATAGTTGAAGAGATCCAGAAGGCTCAAAAGTTACGTGAAAATGCAATGATGGAACGGTTAAATATTGCTGCACGAGATAGAGATGAAGCATTAATGAGAGCAAAAGCAATGCATATGAAAAATTTACAGTAAGATTGAAGTATTGTGTGAAATATTACTATCATTTTCTTGTGAGCTGTTTACATATCATCACTCTAAAAAGCAGACACTCACTAACTCACAACAAGCAGACACTCACACAACCACAACAAGCAGACACTCACTCACTCACAACAAGCAGACACTTACAACGAGCAGACACTCACTCATAACAAGCAGATACTTACTCATTCACTACAAGCAGTCACTCACTCACACACAACAAGCAGGCACGTCATGTCAAATTGATGTAGCTACGGTTATTTAGCTATAAAGTTGGCATGGTTTTCCAAAATGAGGGAAGCTGTTCTTAGTGAGTTCAATAACAAACAGGAACCTGTTCTTGAAACTTTGAATACCATCACTGCTCACACTCACTTGTTCACAACATAAATGGTGGCAAGTGTGCTGGAGTTGACTTATGTATGAACTAATCAATACGTTATCAAAGATCTCTAACTTGCGATGTCAGGATAATTATATATATATATATATATATATATATATATACGTGCTTACACAAAGAATTGTAAAATAAAATGGTTTAATACAGGGGTTCTCGAATATTTGGTGTTATGGAGTGTTCACTATTTTGATAGGTAAACAAATAGATCCCGGAGCCCCTAGGTTTCTTTCATCGAGCCCTGGGTCTCGGTATGGAGCACTCGGAAAACCTATCGTTTAATGGATTGAATTCAACATAATAAAGATTATTTATATATACTTTCATTTCGAATTTTTAGTTTGCAAAAGAAGGATACTTTGAATCCCCATGGAAGTGATAAGGTATGATTGTTTGAATGATTTGTTATGAATTTTTAGATAAAGCTTATGATGTAACACATGAAACCTTTGAAGTATATGGTTATCAGGGTTGTTCTTAACTAGGTAATTAGCCTAAAAGTTTATTTTACGATTTTGCCCAGCTTTGATTTTTCTGATTTCAAATAATGAATGAAATGTCTTGTCCCAAAATTATGAAAAATTCAACTTTCGAATAATTGACAAAAAGTATGATTATGTTGAGAAAATAAAAAGTTTTTATAAACAGTAATTTAAATATCTGTTTTTTAAAAAAAAAAAAAATTTTCGAATGTAATTTACCTCAAATTTTGTTTTAATGTTCCAACAAGTATCCTTCTGTTGGGCAATGGCTGTGTACTTCATCTAATGCAGGGGTTCCCAAACAATGACGATTTAAAATGGCCCGCCGAGCTTGAGTGGAATATTGTGCAACAGATTTTGTTTCACCTTTTTGCATTTTAGATAGCACCAAGTGTTACGCCATTATTACACTTTAAGCATGAGTTTATCGTAACAATTCAAGTAAAGCGTTATCTCAGTTATTCGTACCGTTATTATGATTACATAGGGCAGTAATTTAGTTATGAACCGTAAGAGCTTAGACATGTCACGCTTTTTCGGGCGCTACACTCGTCCGACCCGCGAACATGCCTCCGATTGAAATTTTGGCCCGCGGCCAATGAAGTTTGGGAACCCCTGATCTAATGCCTATTTATGGTAGTAACTAGTAATAGTAATAAATTGAATCTAAGTTGTTATGCGTCTTCTGGAACCCTCCCTAATTTACATTTGTTACTGTTGAATGGTACTTACAGATTATTATTGTAATTTGAACTATTTAGTCTATTATGATTGTCTGACTGGAATGTATTGATTCCACAAAACGTTTTTACATAATGACAAAGTAACATAATAGCATCAGATAAAAACAAGTAAGGGGCTTGATTCGACTTGTTATTTTACTATCCGAGTATTTAGAAAATTATGTACATTCAAGTATGGGTATAAGACAGAATGACTTATTTTAATATAGCCCACCTTTGAGTAGTTTTAAATTTATACAATTGTTCTATTGGAAAAACTGTAGTCAATGAAACACTCCCTCTGCCCAATGATAAAAAGGTTTATTATTTATTTCTTATTTTTAATTGTAGATAGGATTATCATATTCATCCTGGGATAGCGGAAAGCTGTTAAAACAGCTTAATCAGATGGCGAATTATGGCCTTTTGTCTGATTACCCATGTTGGGTATGGGGAAAATTACCCAGTTATTTGTTACATGGACTGATGGACCATGGGTTACGTGAACCACCCTACAATGGGGAGAAGTCCAGTAAATGTATCGCGCATAGTTATTCCCCACATTATTTGAACCTGCGATTCTGTGCAGGGTAATGAGAGGTGTAAGGCATTTGGCTGGATTGTATAGGATACACTCGTAGCAAAATCGAAGCAAAATTTGCCATTGCTGTGTAGAAAAAATTCACATATTTCCAAAAATAAATATTTTCCACTAATGATGTTCGTAAAAAGTTATTTTTAAATATTAACGAGTAATCAACATTATGATTCACTTTGCTGCAAAACTGAATCACCAATATTATTGCAACTCTGATCTCTGGTCTATCACAAATCAGAATTTAGAAAGATATAGAACAGAAACAGTCCACAAATTATTGAAGTCAATCCCACTCACTTGTCTTTCATTAAAATTCTAATATAAGATCTTTTGAAGAAAATTAAAAACGAAGAAACTTCGTTATATTTAACTTAAAGGAAGATGTGACTCATAGCAATCAATATCCCACTTAGTAATGTGTCATTCTTTGTTTCAGACTATTGCAGATATTGTTGATAAAATTACAATGGCAGATTCCGCAACAGTCATTGAAAAATACGGAAGTAAACTAATCGAGAGAATAAATAATTTGAAAAATGCAAAAGCTCGTATCACAGCTGAAGAAATGGCTGTTGTTATGAAAGAGAGAGATGATGCCATAGCTAAAGTGAGTTCTGCTAACCTAACAGAAAATGTTGGCCATATCTTAAATTTAACACGGTATCAAAAATTCACTTAAGAAGCTCTAACTAGAGAATATGAAGCCAGTACTCTGTAACTTAGATCAGTTTTGTATCCCTAACCTTCATTAACCCCAATCTATGACAGAAATATTTTTCAACAAGATTGAACTTTATATCATATAATAATCATATCAATACACTTTACTGTGACTCTGTTACCCAGGTTTTTGATAAGATTTTGGATAAATTCCAATCACAGCCAAGTTCATATGATGACATATTGCATCAATAATCAGTTTTGCTTCGATGGGCCGATTGGGTCCAAATGATCACAAGGGCAGAATCTTAAAACCTAGATGAATTCAAATCGCAGTGCCGATTGAAACCTAAGTGACTCTGGCAATACTATTCCTACCAAATTCAAAAAAGTAGTCTTTATTATGAATTTTAATATTCAATATTTATCTCTAGAGTCACTCCCTTCATCAGGAACTTCAAAATTGTGTTGAAGAATTGAATAATTTGAAAAAATCTCAGAATACTTCAGTCAATACTACTTTAACAGTATGTTGTAAACAACTTATTTCAATATGAAATGAAGTTATATCATCTTGTAAATTTTACATTTGTGTGTGAGTGACTATATAATTGTAAGAAATTCCAGCAATAATAAAAGTTATATAGATGTTTTTTTATTATTTTGTATTTGTACTTTGCGGCAAATAAATTTTGTCCTTTTATATTCTTTAATCTTTTCGCACAAAAGCTCTAATCTTGGCATAATTTCGGCGAAGGTGGATCCCCGTACTCGGCAAAATAATTCACATTTGATCAATATTTTGTTTTAAAATAGGTTTATTAAATAATTTCACATCAACCCACATTTAGCCATTTCGAGACCCATCGGGAGTTGGGGTACCCAGTACCCCAGTTTGAAGAGCCCCTGTGTTCATTGATTATAAACACAGAAGTTTGTTACAAATGAGTGATTGCTTGTAAAGAGCCTTTTTCAGGATTGCAATACTAGCAACAATTGTTTAAAAGATTATAATGACTTTTGACCTTCTGGATTAAATATTAAATAGAACTTCCAGTCAATAAAAGCATTTATCAACATCATTAAATTTGTGTAAGAACAGACATTTCTTTATCTACTTTCTAGTGGTTTGTTAATGAATAACCAATCTCAATTCTCACCTATTGTTAGACACAATGCTTTTATTGAGTTCTATAACCGTGCCAGAAATATAGTTTTGGCGAACATGGGCCATAGATAAAATGCTGGATCAGCTCGCTGTTTATTTTCTGATAAAATGGAATTTTTCTATTATATCAACATAAGGAGGGTAGGTGCAGGTAGTCATGCATGGTATGATGGGATTTTGTTAGCAAAATCACATAGCCTATGCCCTATAGTAACTACTTGTTACAGTCACAGACATAAAAACGTCATTGTTTAAAAGCACTTTCAATAACATTTGCGAGTAAAAGCTCACTAATAAACATTGATATTTACATACTATAATGATTTAGTTGGCGTAATACAGAATGCGTAAGAGACATTGAATATTAGGTAAATTTAAAGCTTGCAAAGGTTTTTAATAGATAACATAGACTTCATATTTTTGAAATCGTTTGGTTTTGGTACTATTAAACACCCAAATACTCCTGTGGTTATGTATATATAACAGTGATTTCAGCTAGCAACCATGTTATATTTATATTATTCCATTTTTGAAGCTTACAACATAATCTATATTTTCATAGGCAAAGGTTCTGTCCACTCAAGAAGAATGTGAACAAACTCAAGTTAAATTGAGCGATGCTGAAGAGGAAATACAAATGCTGAGAATTTATTACAGGTTTCTTACAGAATCTTTTGTTCCCTTTGTGCCTCAATTTGAACCCCATTCATTCGGTTAAAATTGTGATAGATTCCATTGCTGTACCGGTAAGCTTAAATTTGTAGTGTTCACAAAACAAAACTGGCTCCCACACTGGTTGATTCATATTAAGATACTTGTAGTGATTTTTCATTAAAGTACTTTTTCAACTTTTTTAAAGTTGTCATAGCAACGAATTGAACATTAAATAAGGCAATGTCTCTGCAACCAGTATCTCTGTGCACTTCTGTAATTGGTTGCGTAGAATTCAAGCTTTAGAGATATCCATAGATTTTCATCACGAAATATGATTAAACTGTTTCTTTTTGTGTTAGAATCATTGCACATGTTGTTTTGCTGCATACTTGGTTAAGGTTCGTTACTTCATAGTTCAAACCATGATTCGTTTGTTGATCGGGAATAACCTTGCCATTTTCTGTAATAACTGATCTCAATTAATAATCTATATTTCAGTTTGCACAAATCCCTCACTCTTGCGCAAGATCGAGAACTGGTAGAAAGATATCACAAATATCTGGGAAATATAAAAGAAGATGCTATAAAGAGATCACAACAAACAAAAAAAGTTTTATCTGAAAATCATCAATTGCATGAAAGCTTGGAGGAGGGTGAAAAAGAAAATCAAAATCTTCAAAATGAAAATTCAAAATTGAATCAAGATCTAAAATATTTGCGAGAGAAATGTGGGAAGTAAGTCATGTATTTATTATTTATTGTGAATGTTTTTTTTATAAAAACTCACAAATTCTAGTATTGCAACAGATACTAGGTTTTGGCTGTTTCATACAGAGCCTACTTTTACGATTTTATATGTATCAGTCCTATCAAATATTGTGCTAAAATTTTTTCAATATAATTATTTATTTACGAATATTGATGGCATGAATGCATAGTATTTTCAGAAAATATTTCAATTTTACTCATATTCTATGTTACAAGGTTCCCTTGTAGTGCCCAAAACCTCATTTCAAGAATGGGTAACTTTTCTCAATTTGGTTTTTCATACCAATGAGGGGTACTCCTGAAGTATGCGCACCAGGATGTCGCATAACCTGAACTCTAACCTGGTACACAACCTGAGTTCAGGTTGTGCGCCATCTTTGTGCGCATACTTTAGGAGGTCCCAATAAGGTTTTATGTTTTCACTTCAGTTGAGGCTCTATGTCGTATAACATGTTGAAATATGTTGTATTATATCTATTACGTTTCCTTAATTCTATATTAAACATTATTTTAGATTGGAAAGGTTGGTAAAAGTTCTGCGTAGAAAACTCATTTCACAAACGCAAGCTGTGTTATTAAATCAAGGGGGGACTGAAGAAGTTCAGCAGAAAGAAGATTGATTTTTTATCAATGATGACAAAGCATTAATATAAAAGAAATGAATGCACCAAGAGGAAAGTTCAAACTAAACTTTATAAAATAATTCCAAATACGAGTACCAAATTGGAAGAAAAAATTGAAATGATCTCAAAATAATATTTTCAATAGTGAACATGTATATGGGTTTATTAGACGAGTTACCAAGGTCAATGTTGTTGTACAGTCTGTATTCCAAAAGGCCCATAATGAATACATGTTTTACAATATTGAGAATTTCAACTTATACAAAGCTATGACCTACTGGCTGATCTGATCCTACACCGATCTTGATTCATTTATCACTATTCTTCATTTAGGCTAGAATATACCTTTACACAAAATACCTCTTGGTCAGCTTTTGTTTAGCTTTCTTGTTTAGCTTTCCTGAAAATATCACTATATATATCGCAGCCCAGGAGCCCTATTCTAAGAGGAGACAATTTAAATAACAACTTGGATACTCTGAAGATTATCTAACGTTTGTATTTGGAAATGATTTCACATTAGAGGCACAAAATTATTTCTATACCTAACAATATATTAAAAAAATATATTCAGTAAAACTGTTACCTATCATTTTAGTATTATGCTGCTTACACTATTGTTTTATGTTCACTGTGTTGCCAAATTTACCTGATACTGTATAAAATGAACATCACAAACCAAGTACTTGAAAATCAGTGCAATATTGTGTTTTAAAATAGTCATGGTCTTTGCCAATCCTTCAATTGAAGTTTGATTCTATTGTATTATCAAATTGTTACATGATCGTTTGATATTTTTATATTTATTTCATTTAACCTCTCTCGGTTTGCACATAATGTCTTTCAGTATCAATTCGAAGACTAAGAAATAACACATACTTTCATCTTATTTATTGTTTGGTACAACTGACCGATATAAAATCTGGTATAACTGACTTCTATCTTCTAGCGATCCATAAAAAACCTTAAGATAAATAAGAATGGCAAATATATTCACTTAATAGCAAGTATATTTGTAAGCTTTCATTGGATCATAGTCTAACTTTTTCAGACAAAACAAGATATAACCTAATCAAACAACGAAATTCTTCACTAGCTTTTCTGTTTATTATTGCATACAGTATTTTAAAGCTTCTTATGTTAGCATAATTGTTTGCCAATTCCATTGATTGTCTTTAATGTTTCTGATTTTGATTATTCGTCAAAGCAATTGAATATTCGTGTGCTATTTATGACTTGATTTTTGGTGTAATTATTAAGAAAAAACCTGTTATTCAATTCATTCAAACTAATATTCGTATGTCTGTAATATTAGGTAAGAATTAGGCACTGTTCTCTTTGGTGGTCATTGTAATCTATAGGGGTATTTATTCTCAAAACGTTATTTCATTTTACTTCAAAGCAAATAATTTTATAAATTGTGTTTCAACAAATCAAACTAAATATTTATAATAACTCAACGTTGTGTAATCATAGTAAATGATAATCAATAAAATATATGCATGCACAACCAGTGACGTTTCTAGGGGGTGGCAGTCATCGGTGCCGATTGAATTGGGCTGCAAGAGAGGTGAAAATTTTTAATCGTAAAATTATTCAATAAAATGATTTTGAAAGGAGACTCGTATTTTCACATAAATAATAACGTACAAGTATCTCAATTCAACGACTGGTGTTAAAAATTGTTATTCAACGATCAAGCGGGCGCATTTTTGAACTTTGCCACTGGCGCCCAAGTGATAAGTGATAATTTGTTACTTTCTTGTTGTGCAGATAGAATGGCCGTGATTGTATGAAAACACATATCTTTTCCTTTTAGTAAATATTTCAATCTTTTGCTTGAGTTCTCCCTCGCCCATTTAACTTAAATTTGGCTAACCACAACCATAGACATTTTATGAATTCTAATTATAAAATCATTCTTGCCAATTTTGTTCCTCCGTATCGTAACTGAACAATATCCTATCTACCTTTAGTCAGATTTTTGAAATACATTGCTTTCTTATTTATTGGTATATCACTGTAAGTTAGTAAAAATAAATACCAAGTTATGTATATGACAAATGTATTTTTTGTATTTCAACATTTGCCTGTTAGTATTGAAGCCACGAATAATTTTTGCATCAAGATCGATTAAGCTTTGCTAACACTTGTTAACTTTGCCTTCATGTATATTGTTGGGTGAAATAAATCTGAGATATGTTGAATTTTACCTTTATTTCTGTCTTTATTTCCTAACTAGTTTTGTACTGTTTTGTGTCATTTTTTTAGATGTTTGCATAATAAATACATTGTTGTGCTTCAATACATCAGATTTAACACCACATAATGGCCAGTTTGTAGGATTGCGCATAGCCGTACGTCATATCAGACCGTATGTACTCAAATAACTTATTTATCAACCGTTAATGCAGTTTTAAAGGACTGAACATTTTCACAGCTCGGAGGTTATGTTGTTTAGATGGTCTTTTATTAAAATTCAAATAATCCATCATAGACGAGACACATTGGAGGTTGATCCATATAAGAATCCGATTAACCGAATTCGCAAACAATTGTCTACGCCAGCGGTTCCCAAACTATGAGTCGTACCCACTGGTGGGTCGCAAAAGAAATCTTGGTGGGTCGTAAAAATATGTAGAAAGCTTTGAATAATTATACTGGTCATTAGAATCGGCGACTCGAATACGTAAATCTTCAAAAACAAAAGAAATTGAATTTAAAATTCTAATCTGTGAAACTTTCCTTTTTGCGATCTTCTCAAAGCAACAAAAATTTGCTACACAAAGAATGACCATGTGGCTTTTTTACACATAGCAGTTTTGTACACTGTACAGCACTTCTTACCGTGTTTCGTCGAAATTTCGACAGGATTTAGATTTATTTTCTTTTGAAGAATACCACTATGTTTTTATTTTGGTAGAGGTCTTTTGTTTTCATTTATCAAAAATAAAATTACATTGTAGAAAATCACGAGATTTTTTAATAAACATTATATAAAAACCGACATCCATTGTTTTTATTTGTATTTCCTATACAAAAATCAAGTGACAAATATCGTGATTGTGACATCCTTCTCACTAGATTCACTGAAAATTTAATTTGAGAAAATAAATTTATTTCCTCCATCAATGTTTTATTAAAGTTAAATGGGTCGCCATAAGCTGGGGTAATAAACAGGGGGTCCCAACTCTAAAAAGTTTGGGAACCACTGGTCTACGCTATTAACGTCTTGGGGTGTCTCAAAAATGTCGTGTGCCACATGTGACATTTTTGAGACACCGAACGTCTTGTAGTATTGTTGTTTTTACCATAAGTATAAGTTTATTTTGACTTCATAATCAGCATAACATACGATAGAAAGAAATAAAACTGATTACAGAATCAAGAGAGCGAACAAATCTTACGCAAGATTTTAAATTGAAAGGTGTTGTCAAAAGAAGTGGTAGCCTACGTGTTCGCTCACCCAAAAGTATTTAATTAATTCACCCACATAAAAACAACGACGAAGACAATAAAATTCGAAGAGGAATATAACATATATATATTACTTAGTAAACAAAAAAAAAACTATACAAACAAACAAATAAAAATAATTTTGCCATACCGTATTAATTATTTTGTAAGCATTGCCAAATTGAATACAGAATTAGTGAACAGGACTGGAATGTATAGAAAAATATTTGTTAAAAGATATCGTCAAGCTGATTATAGCCTTATAGGAAGTTTTGAGAATTCGATAGCCTATTAGGAGCAATCATTTTTAATGCCAATATACAAAAATCATTTCACATTTTTTTCAAAATGAAACGATATTTATGTCACGTTCTAGTCACCAAACGAAAAAAAGGGACCGATAAAAACAACAAAAGTTTTAATTACATAATTCCTGGGTGAATTATGTAATTGGAATTTTTATTCCAAGCGTCGAATGTTATCTGACGTCACATGAACTCATACACACCATGGATTTCCATCTCAGCGGTACGATAGCGAGTACTGTTAGTTTTGTCTTGAGAACAATCCGTCTGTCGTTTGCCACAATATATAATAATCACTCATTGGATCATTATGCAATTAGTTAATACGAGTTGATATTATGTAATACAGTAATCGTAAAGTCATAACGCAAAATAGAACAGCGGTTTTTGGAAGGGGTATATAAGTAAGTAGTGCCGGTATAGTGCTATTTCACAAACTTATGAGCATAGTTAACGGCCGCAAGTATGTACGATAGCTTCAATAATTTGTTTAATATACTGTGGGTCCGGAACAACGGGTAAAGAGGGTATTTTGAAACATTCTGACTCACGAGATGAACTTTGAATTATTTTACACTTGTTAAGTTCAGTTAAGACATAGAAAACACAAGTGTATAATTCAACTTTGAGTAATTACTGTTTCTTACACAATTATTATAAAAAATTGTATTTTTATTCAATTCAGAATTTTAGATTTTGCAGATCAACCAACGAAAGACGAACATGAATATTTCCACTTTCATGATCTCTTTGTTTTTTGTTACCTTGACAATGGCGGCAGAAGTGATTGATTATCCGACAACTCTCTACACTTTTCCAACGGAGTTTGAACCAGCTTTTTGCAGTTTATTGTACAATCCAGATACCGGTGGTTATGATTTGGCATATTCTTCATTTACCGGAATACCGTAAGAAACTTTTAATAAATTTACTATTTCGGTGTGTTTATGCGAATTAGATACAAAAGAGATATCCAAAAATATGTTCCATCACTAGCCTTACCACGCAGAATTAATTCCCAAGAAAATGGCAAGAGAGACCCTTGGTTAAAAATGATTATTTAATTAATCATAGACTAATTAAATAATTACTCATCATAATGATGAAAGTTTGGGCATTATATATTTATTTTGAGTTGATATATATAATTAATTCATCAGTCTTCCGTTAATATTACGTTTATCATGTGATTTTTTGTGTTTTCAAAGGGACGAACCAGATAGAGTTCTACGAGTATCAACCGTCTCACAGAATTACCTTGACAAAACAAAAATGCAGTCACAATTGATAACCGACGAGATTTTGTGGCCGAATGAAATCGGGCAAGTACCATGTAAGTTTGTTTCAGTACTATTCATCTTTAACGATTGAAAGTGACGATGAATAATTTTGCGCCAACCGTGATATTTTTGCTACGCCTGTGTTCATTATCGTATACAACTCGCTCATATACAATTTTAAAGATCTACAAGTTAGGATTATATCGTCCTAACTTCCACTTGTAGTGTCTCATCCGCGGAATGATACCCTCTCGTCAATTCTAACTCGCTGCTCCTGCATTTGTTGTCTTCTTAGATGGTGCTTTTGGTTCTTCAAACTATTGGACATCCGCAAGTGCATTCTTTCTTCCCGAAAAAGACAATGGATCAATTTCTTTGATTGATATGACAGATCCATTGAATCCTGGAAGTAAGTTAAAATTAAGTAAAATTGATCATTTTATGCAGAGGAGACCAATGTATAGAATTCATCCTAAGTTGATCTGAACAAGGTGGCCTAACGATTTCCTAACTTGTTTTATTTTCTATTAATAGTATTGTAAATTGGAGAGCCTCGGTTTATAGATTTTAATAAATTGACGATTTGGCTGCCAATACGAAAATATTTAAAATTCTTTCATTCCGAGTCCGACGTACAGGCAGTTTGTACGAAGATGTAGAATGATAGTTTAACTAGATGGGAAAATGTCTTACTTTAATCTTTGCATATATTATTAGAACCTATCTGGATATCTAGTGAGCAGGGAAAGGAATGGTATTATCACCGTGTGTTATGGCATGACATGGATTATGATGGCGATTACGATGCTGTTACGGCGAGAGCATACGGAAATGAAGGTTAAGCCTACAATCATTAACGAATTATATTCTTCTCAATCCTAACGACTCTTTGGCGAAATATATATATATTTGCTAGTCTAGATCTAATGAGTATGACTGGGATCTGATGGGTAATGAATGTGGCTGATAAATAAACAAACACACATACTTGGAGTCGTTATAACCTGATTCACTTCGATAATGAAAAATAGCATGTATTACTTTTGACCGACTTAGAAGTCATGAGAAAATAAATTTGATACTACCTTCCTGATTAACTAGATGGGTATGGAGCGAAAAAGCACATCCACTCATTTTATATTTTCATTCACATAGTTGTTGCAACCGAAGCAGAGCTGGTATGGTTCGAAAATCCCGGTATTAACCCTCCGCCTGAACACTGGGAGACTCATGTTATAATTAGTGGTTACGAAGACGTCGGTTTAAGAATTGAAAACTTACCTCTACCAGATGGATCAGAAACTCTTGTAATATTCAGTTCCGGATTTTTTAGGTAATAGTTTGAAAATTTGCAATTCTATTTATAGCATCCCTTTTGGACAGAGCATCAAGGGCGTCGTTGACTTGTTAACCTGTTTGGCTGGTTATTTCGCAATAGACGGTTTCCACTGAATATAGGCCGATATCGATAGGCTGATAACACCAATATCGTACTGTGTTAGGTATAGAAATATATAAAAAAAAATATATGCTTTATATATAGAGTTAAGTTACGAAATATATATTTAATATTTGTTCGCCTGATATTTGTGATATGGAGCGCCAGCACCTGGCAAAAATGTGATTGATTATCACCTGCTACACTAACTATTTTAGTCAGTCTCTGACATTAACATGGACAACTGATGGGGATTGGAAAAATTCAGCTTCAATACAACACCGTGTTATAGACGATGCCGGATGGTATTTTGATCTTCAGGTAAGTTTTGGTCGTCAATTAAGTTTTATTCATAAGTTTGATTAAATCTTTCTATATTTTGCGTTTAATGATTTTATCCATTTTCTACCTTGCCTTTGGTAACTTTCATTAGACTTTCCCACACATCAGTAATCATTTAAAAGGCGCTCCGGAAGTATTCGTACCAAGATAAACCACGTAAACAACCCTAACCTGGTACACATACTATGTTAGGGTGGTGCGACATCTTGGTACGAATACTTCGGGAGCACTATTTAAAATCCCTAAGAATTCTAACCTTACGTACAAATTGGTATTGAAAAAAAAATAGTGGTAAAAGGTGTTTGTAACGGATTTGCTGAAATTATGCAAATTAGCAAATTAAAAACTGGCGTTTAATATTAGTTGCAATGGAAGACAAATTGACAGAACGACCAGTGAATTTTTACAAACTACAAAAAATTCAACACACCGTGAAAGGTTTTAATCTAAACAGCCAACACTAAAACAGCCAAGCATATATGATGTCTAGCTATTCTAGTTTCCATTCATTCCCAATGCAAAAGTAGATTCATTATTCTCATCATATGATTACTTTTGATATTAGGTTGCAGATTTGAATGTGGATGGCAAAAAAGATATCTTGGTAACAACGTGGGCTAGGCCTAATCTTGATGCTCACGGATCTCTTCTCGCTTATGAAATGCCCGATGGAGATTGGAGAACCGAGAACTGGATTAAGTAAATAAGCAATAAAATTGTAATAATTCTCTGACGTAGTTCATTATAGCCAAGTGGTTCTCTTTTCTTTCGTGACCCATTTTCCGTTCCATTCCGTTCTGTGGCTTTAACTTTTTCATGCAATGAAAAAACTACAAGAAAAACAAAAGACTGCTATCGCAAAATTATCACTTTTACTTCAATAATAAGAATGGAAAACAACATCATCAATCATTGCTACCACAATCAAAATTAACTATATTTTAAAACTACCTAATTTTAGTATCTACAATATTTTAGACAAGTTCTCACAACCGATTTTCGTGATGTTTATCTGTTTCCCGGAAACGGAGCTCCTGGCTCACCAATACCATTTTGGAGATCAAAGGCGATGGAACTAAATGGAGAGTAAGAATTCGTTTCCTTATTTTTTTTGTGAGCTAAACAACAGATAAACAAAATACCTATTGTCATTTTGATTAATAGGCTAAAACTGCCTTTCAAATTGGTCAGTGATTTGCAATGGGTTACGGTATCTAATTTTTATATACAATAATGTAATGTGTAACTGCAGTCAATTCAATCACAACTTATATTGAATTAGATTATTAGACAGTCGTTTAAATGATTAATCAAAAAGTATGTGACAAGCTTGGTACACACGTATAGGTAAATTGACTTGTTAATAATGCTATCGAAGCCATTGGATATTTTTTTATTTACAGAGATGACGTTATCACTGACTATGAAAAATAAAAAATGTTTAATTGGCATTAATAAATGTATCATACAATTTAATATTTTAATATTTTTTCAGAAAACCTCATATTATATTAAGCGGTGATGACGATGGACATGCATATCTTTTGGTACCGAACAGCGAGGATCCTTTAGACTGGACATACAAGAAGTCAACGGTAAGATTTAATTCGGGGTATCGCGTGTTTGCTGCAAAAAGTTTATTTAACGGTATGTAAAATTGTTCCGATTAGAGAATGTTATTGATGATTTTGGGAAATGTATTCTTTGTTGTATATTAAATGCACTGGAATTTTGATGTGGAATAGAAGTGCAATGCAACGTAAAAATAACCAGACGTTACGTTACGTTTATTTGTATGAAGCAAGTATCCACACAAAAAATATTCATACAATGGTAGAATCGATTACAGTATAATTCGCATGCGAACATACAATTTCAATGCTGAGTAATTTTCAGATTTTTAGAGCACTGGGCACCGTCGGAACAATAGCTGTGGGAGATATCGATGGAGATGGATATACTGAGATGTTCATTCCTGGATACAGTACAAATCAAATTGTCGTGATGACGTACAAACCATGATCGAGTCAATTCACAATTGATTCTTCTGAAAGAAGACAAGTCAGTGAATGACAAAAAAGAACAGCTGAGCAAATAACAAAAGTCATTGTATTTAATTAATAATAATATATTTTTTTTTAATTTAGGATTTTCCGTATTTTGAAACTTTTAATTTTAAAATATCATAAAATGTTGAATCTTGATTTTTCAAGTCGTGATCCAATGTATTGTAAGAGAAATAAGTGGAGAAATATTAAAATATGAACAAGATAGTCAGGGTAGTAGTAGGAGTCAGGGGAAAACGCTTTATAAACAAGCACTACACATATCCGCATGTAATTTGCCACTTTGAACTGCTGGCATTGTCATCCAAGTGTCGTCGTGGTGTTTTCTAATATTTCTGTCGGAAGTGTTCAGTTTAATTTGGTGTAAGCAAATTTGGGACCTTCTGAAGTATGCTCACCAAGATGGCGCACAACCTGAGCTCATTACCTGGTAGACGGGGATTTGAAACATATATATATATATACTAGTAACAAGAGAGAGCATACCGTTCGTGCAAAGCGTCCTATATTACCGAAATGTTTGGGTACAATCATGCACAAATAGAAGTTCGAGTGCAAAGAAAAATAAATTAAATTTTCTCATTTTCGTATAGGAGTATTTAAAAAATTTCTGTTTTTCTGTGTTCTGCTGTAACCCTGTATATGTACACATTGGTGAAATGATTATTGCCGTAGAAGTAAAATTTATACAGTATTCTGTCATTAGACCATTTCAGGCTTAAAATTTCAAAATTGGAATCCTGTCCGTTCGCCGCTACAATGCACATCGCGCGTCGGTGCCGTACGCCACGGTAAGGTCTGAGCGTAGCAGCTTTGATCCTATGAAAATATGATCCGGTTTATAACGATAGGATAGAAATTGAGAGGGAGGAATAGTAATATATTATCAACAACAACAATCACTTCAACGACAACAACAGAACATACAACAACAACATAAATTTAGTGATAGGTCTACTTCCTACTCAATAACTTAGTCAGGTACTCCTGAAATATGCGCACCAAAATGTCGCACAACCTGAACCCTAACCTTGTACACCAGGGGTGTGCAAAGTGCGGCCCGCGGGCCAAATGCGGCCCGCGAGGGGAAATCGTGCGGCCCGTGGAGAAGTGCCAATTTTGAAGGGTGTGTGGCCAGCTAAACTAGTTTTCAATTTTGTTTGATCTGTTTCCCTTGGCGCTGCAAAGATTATATTCGAGTCCAATTTATTATCTATGTCTATGACTTTACAACGTCGTAACATCGAAGCAAACAACATGATTCACAAAGCTGTCACTTGCCGAGCAGCGAACATATGAAAATACGGAGCACACGCTAATAAATTTATTACAACGGGCAATTGATGATTAGGCAACTGGAAAGCAGTTTGAAAAAGTTCAATATTAAAAGAAAAATGAGATATAAAAGCTAAATGAGTTTTGGTTCCAGCCTATCAGTTAATTTTGTTTAAATCTTATCTAGAATAAGATTTGACAGCCAAGTATTTGGAAATGAATCTTGCACACCCCTGTAATGTACACAACCTGAGTTCAGGTTGTGCGCCATCTTGGTACGCATACTTCAGGAGGCCCCTTAGTCATAATAGAGTAATAAAATTTATTTAGGTTTATTTGATTCAAACTATTAGTTGCAGTTTAGATTATGAAATTGCATGATAAAGTCTTTAATAATTTTATGTACATATTTATTATGTTGTTGTTGGAATTATTGTATATAAACCGTTGAAATAAGCAAAACAAATACAGACTTCAGTATATCAAGACACAACAAAAAAAGTTCAATATATATTAATAAAAGTATTTTCTTGATTACAGTCAACTCTATTGATCATAGCCGAGCAAACACCAAAATATATCGGCATGAATCGTCGTGCCATCAGTTTGTTTGGTGTAACTGAGCAGGCAATACGTCCATCTGTAGAAGATAGAATTTAAGTTCAAGTCAAGAGCATAGACTAGTGCCGACTAGAGTGCAAATGTTAGATGTTTTATAAACGTTTGCTAAAAAGATTTAGTATAAGATTGGCAATGTTGACTTGCGAGAAACTATTTTATATGCTTTGAAGCTACTTAAATTTCTTATTTTTTTAGATAATAAATCTAGTGTTTAGTTTTCTAGCTGCTTGGAAGGTAATACTTTTTGTAAATCTTTATTTTATTTTAGGGTTAATGGCGAATAATTAAGAGTTTACCTTAACGAAGTCTTTTCGCAGCGTTGATTCGGAAGAAGAGGTAGCATTGAATAGCCACTACGCTCACCTGATCTGCAACAATGGATTTCATTTTTGGGGTGTTGTAAAATGTAAAGAATGAGGTGTATGAGAAGAATCCCAAAACAATAAATGAATTGAAAGATTACATTCATGACGCATTCAGAGAAATTGATGAAGATCGAAATTCGTGCCGTACTGTGTGTCAGAGTGTTTTGGACAGGTGTGAAGAATGTTTCAATGTTGGAAAAGGACATTTTGAGCACTTAATTAAGAGATTAAACAGTTTCTGTCTAAGATATAGCTAGCATTCTTGAACTTTAATAAAAGTGCCTAAATGAGATCTACAAACCTACTTTTAATAACTGTATACCTACTTTTGGGCCACTTTGTATACACAATAATCGTTAAACGAGAATATTGGTCAGAGACCGAAGACTTATCGATCGAAAGTTAGGGGATCCCAAAACAGCGCTCTTACTCCATAGTGACACCTTGTGTCCCATAACTAATTAATTAATAACTCGCTAATTATACGACATAATTCATCCAAAATCCATAGGCTTCTGGTACGACATATGATAAATGCACATGCAAAATCTGGAGCAGATTCAATCTCGCTTTCGTGAGATATCGCGTGCATCTAACAGACAAACAAACAGACAGACAAATACCTATAAATATACTTACCGATTAAAATTGATAAGTAATAACACTAAGGGTGACTAAACAATATACGACCACTATCACCAAAATAAAGGAAGACAATTCCTAAAGGGGCATTTTCTCTTGCTTTCGCACTGCTTGACGTACCTAAAGAGATATCTTCAATCGAACCGCTTCAGAGCTCAAAATCGCACTCGCTATTGCGGTACCGAATGTTCATATATTGTCATTTCCACACAATAGGATTGAATCATTTCACGTCAAATGTAAATGATGAAAAAACAGCAATGGCCTGAATACAGCCCTACAAAATGTTTACAATAAAAAACTGAAAAACCAACTTTTTCTGGGGGCGACAGCTCAACGATAGAAAGTAATCGCGTAATTTATCTCTCGTTGCCAGTGAACGTGACACAGGACATGGCGTGTTGTAATCTGCTCTTCTGTTAAGCAGCGTATAGAGTGCTGAAATAAACAATAACCATCCTTCTTTAAATCATGCTCCGCTCCTTTAGCTGTTAATCTGGCGTATTTTGTGGTTTCAGCAACTCTACCCTAGAAATAACGAACTCAGTTAACGGATCTATATCATCGCGACAACGAAAACACTTGTATCCATGAACGGTTTCATAGAACTTTGGGAAGTTTATCATAGTATATCGGACAGTTGATTTTAAACTTTTGAATTGCTATGTATCGTTTTTAATTTATACGCTCTCATGACCTACATCGCCCGATATGGTTGGGCATTCAGTTCTTTGTTGTAAATAATCCACATGCATTATAGATATAATTGTACTTTCTACACATCGACGGTATGAAATAAGCAGAAACACAAAAATAAATTATTCTGGAATACGATCAAAAAGTTCAATATCAATAGCTCATCTTTTGAGAAGCCGCCTTATGTTTGTCATTCATATTCTATTGATCAGCGCAAACTGTCGCGATAACATTGCCATGACATCTTTCAGCCGGCGCGGACAAAACGTGTTTATTAGAGGTCCAACAATATATATATAACTTCAACCTGACTGGCGACCAGGATTTCCTGTGCCTCGGGGTTCAGAGTCATATATAGCGAGTTCATCAACTGTTAAAAATTGCAGGTATTTGTCCAGTCCTCAGAATGTTCGTTTAAATTCAACCTTTTGTTGTTTGCATTGTTTTTTGATGTCTTTAGATTTTTTTTTGTAGTTTGTGTCAAAACTTTGAAGTATGCTACTCAAACACAGGTTATTATTCTCTGTTTAATCAATTCCAATATTTTGTTGCCGGTCCGCGAGATCATTTCATTTGATGTCACTGGTCCGCCGAAGAAAAAAGTTCGAGAATCACAATTTTAAATGAAGCACTCACTAGAATTCGCGGTCACAAGCTCCCGGATGTATGACGGTACTGCTAAAGTTATGCTAGCACAACTTTGTGATGACACATCGACGATATAAAATAAGCAGAATAAGAAAAAAAAAATTATTATGGAATACGATGAAAAAGTTCATTATTTATCTTTTCGGAAGCCGTCTTATTTTTGTCATTCATATTCTATTGATCAGGGAAAACTGTCGCGATGACATTGCATGACATCTTTTAGTTTAGACTGCGCAGACAAAACGTGCTTATTTGCAAACTTTAGAGATCCAACAATATATATCTTCGAACGTCAACCTGACTGGAGAGTGAGACCAGGATTTCCCGTACCTTGTGATTTAGGGCATATATGGTAAGTTTGAAATTGCAAGTATTCGTCACGTCTTCAGAATATTTGTTTAAATGTAATTGAAGAAATTCAAAAATTATTCTGGAAAGTATTCGAAGAAATATACCTTGATATCCCGAATATTCAATTTGATGTGAGACTTTCGTTTTAGATAAATACTCCAAATTAGCTAAGATTCATTCAGTTCACCTGAAATTACATGAATTTAGTCAAGCATATATTGACATTCTGTTCCCATCCCATTTTGAATTAGGTATATATATAATGACACATTGGTTGATATTATGTATTTAAGTCCCTACTCCCTACATATGAAATCACTTGAACGCGCAGCAGAAATGGATTTTGAAGATGTTTTATAGTACGGAAAACGAAATACTGTATTATTGACTGTTGTGATTGCTCATTTAAGTTTGCAGTTTGATTATTCAACATTAAAATTGATTGATATCAATATCATGATCCGCGAATACGAAGGTATAGATTTAGCAAAAAGTTATGATCAACTCCGTCCGAGTTATCCTGGGCAACTCGTAGAGGAAATTATGGCATATCTAAGGAAAAATTGTGTCTATGGCTTTTCCAAGAGAATAATGTTGGACGTCGGTTGTGGTGGTGGAAAATCTACAAAAATATTCACTCCTTATTTTGACTCAATTCTTGGCATTGACATTAGTGAGGGCCAAATCGAATTCGCCAAAGAGAACAATAAAGCAGATAATATTGAATATAGACTTATTGAAGGAAACATATTTCCACTGGAAGACGGAACTGTCGATTTCGTCAATTGCGCAACTACTGCCCATTATTTGGACCTCAATTTGTTTGAGAGTGAATGCGAAAGAGTCTTGAAACCAGGTGGTTGTGCTGCTGTTTACGCATATGCTCCTTTCACTATCAAATCTTTGGAAAATGAAATACTGGCTGAAATTAAACAGGATTCTGTATACAAGCAGGTAATGGTGAAGTTTATCAGGGACTGTGGGGCCCACGAAGGAAACCTAGCAGTGTTAGAAAGATACAAACCGATATACGACCAGCTTAAAAACGAAACAAAGCAATTCAAAATCTTAGAATCAACTGTTCCGTATACTGTGACAAACTTCCTGAAGTTGCATGAAACCGTTTATGGGTACAGTCGTTTTCGTGGTCGCGGTGGTAAAGACCCATTAACTGAGTTCGGAATTTCTTTGAGAAAGTTACTCAAACTGCAAAATACACCGGACGACCAGTTGAAGTTCAACGTTGTATACGAATATCCTTTAATATTGTTCTACAAAGCCAAATAATTACGTTAGTTCTAATCACAGCTCAGCGAAGCATGAATTGAAGATGGATGGTTACTGTGTATTTCAGCGCTCAATACGCTTCCCGACAACAGGCAATACCATCTGTAACGCACATTGGCAGCGGGAGATTGGTTACTTCCTGCTAGCGTTGAGCTGCCGCCACGGAAAAAACTTCTTTTTACTTTTCACTTCATCATTGTAAATATTTTGTAAGACTGTAATCAGGCTATTGCTGTTTTTTCATTTACATTTCACGTGAAATGATTCAATCTCATTGTGTGAATATTACAATATTTAAACAGTCAGTACCATAATAGAGAGTGTGATTCTGAGTTCTGAAAGATTCTATTAAAGATACCTTTTTAGGTACGTCAAACAGTGCAAAAGCAATAGAACACGCAGGCCTTAGTATGGGGCCTTATACTAACCCCTTAGTACCAGGGGTTAGTATGGGTTCAAATATCCGTAAAAAGAGGGGTGCAATAGTATGCAGGTGCAATTGTCGTGGGTTCAAATCACGGGTTCAAATGTAATGGAATCTTGAAATCAAGCATTACTCCTATTCACATGATCCAGAATCTTTACTGCCTGTTAGTCGACGTTTCACTATGACAGGCAGAGTTAGGATTCTGTCGCCTAGGATCTTATACATTAATCTAGTCTGTTGAACATATTCATGTCGCATGTATCCCGCACGATTCCAAGCTTGCTTTCTGTTCAACTAAGAGAAAGAAATTTTCGAAGATTGGAATCTATTTTTTACAGCTTTAAGTGCTCGCATCGAAAAATGGTTTTGCATATTCAATGATTCAATAGGTTAGCACCGTGGTTCAGAACCACTTGATTCGCAACGCAATGACGTTCCGGGCAGCCTCCTCGTCGGTCCGTGGGGAGTTTTCTTGTTCAGTTACTTTTCTGCCAGGGCACGCATAATCGGGGGATTTGTCTCCCGTTGTTAATTAAATTAGTCGTTTGACGGTGGTGGTATTGATTGCCCAAGTTTTTTTTTTGTTCCCGGCCCGTGAGATAATTTTATTTGATGTTACCTATCCGCCGATGGGAAAAGGTTGGAAATCACTGGTTCAGTAGACCCGACTTAAGTAATATATATATATATATATGGTAAGTAAGATAATATATCTGGTACTTTTTTTCTGGTACGCACGTTACGTTTTGCCAAGGAACTACGAACGTGGCGCCATTTATTCATGCTTGATGTATCGGGCGAACAGAAAGATAAATCATTGTAGCCATGTTTGGGTAAAGCATCAGTCGATGTACTGTTTTAATTCTATATTGTGAGATAAATAGTATCAATGAGAATGTTGTGTTTATACTTTGTTATTTTGTCCTGTTCATTATTTTGACCAACAATGATATGCTGAACTAGCGGTTATGGTCTATAGTATACGAGAGACCAATATATACTACCCAGATCCGACCCACGAGGACAATTCATCCGGCCTGCCACAATTCGTTTTTAAATATGGAAGTTTAATTGAAGAAATCTGCTCCCGTAATTAACTTTGTTTGGCAAACTATGTTCGCCGTGATTGATTTATGGCGCAATAACGCCGTTGTTTCATTATTAAAGCGACCCGATGCCTTATATCGTTAACTTGAACAAAGACAAGGACAGTAGACATAAAGTTACTATCGGGTAGGGTAGCATGAAAAATATATGAGAAGTTAAAATTTCCAATTGTCGTAAATTTCTAATTTAGACCGTAACAGTTAGCAGGTCAGGTAGGAGGCCGGAAAACTTGGGGTTTCAAGAGTCTGTCTTGGAGGTCTAAAAAGTGTCTCAAGCTACGAAAAATTGCTGGGTATGATACAAAAAGATGTCTTTTTTACATTTCAAAAGTATGGTTCTGCCCCCTCCCCCCCCCCCCCCCCCCGGATACATACATTGAAATAAAAGTGAAAGTAACTGCACTTCAATACACAGTATCATGGTAAGCTATTGTCACATATTGTGTCAATATTAATTGCTTTATATATATATATAAATTTGTATATAAGACTGGCACAGTATGCTATTTTCAATCACAAATTTCCTCTCGGATAAGATTATAATGATATTTCATTCTGTAGCAATACTATTATCACAAGACAGAATTTGTAATTCAGTTCCTTTTGTCACCAGGTATGCAATTAATGTCCAGCTTAACACTCGATTGTATAAAGCTGTGCGAAGATTCCCATGTTATGCATCGCACTGTATGCAGCTACTACATTTTCAAGGCTTGGAGTCGTATTGGGAAACAATGTCCAAATCATCCATTCTCCTAAAAAAATTATATAAAACAAATAAACTCTCAATATCAAATAAATTCCACCAATTTGACATAAATCAATCGTAAGAAAGACCAAAATTTCGAGTTGCGTCATTTCATTAAGTTAATTTCAATACTTTTTTCTGATGCGCATCTTTTTATACAACTCAATACTTCAGCAGTGCAAAATATAAAAATTAATTTAAAAAAAATTAAACATATAATATTCGCACTTCAGGCTTTAAAATTATTTTATTTGCGTGAAAGTTCCATGTGGCATACAATTTAATTACGCCAGTACACAGGGGTGTTTTAAATAAAATTAATTACAATAGACCTAAATTACAATTGGCCCTAAAATTTGGAATGATATCCCAGACATTCTAAAAACATTCTCAATGCAGATAATAAAGCAGATAATATTGAATATAGACTTATTGAAGGAAACATATTTCCACTGGAAGACGGAACTGTCGATTTCGTCAATTGCGCAACTACTGCCCATTATTTGGACCTCAATTTGTTTGAGAGTGAATGCGAAAGAGTCTTGAAACCAGGTGGTTGTGCTGCTGTTTACGCATATGCTCCTTTCACTATCAAATCTTTGGAAAATGAAATACTGGCTGAAATTAAACAGGATTCTGTATACAAGCAGGTAATGGTGAAGTTTATCAGGGACTGTGGGGCCCACGAAGGAAACCTAGCAGTGTTAGAAAGATACAAACCGATATACGACCAGCTTAAAAACGAAACAAAGCAATTCAAAATCTTAGAATCAACTGTTCCGTATACTGTGACAAACTTCCTGAAGTTGCATGAAACCGTTTTTGGGTACAGTCGTTTTCGTGGTCGCGGTGGTAAAGACCCATTAACTGAGTTCGGAATTTCTTTGAGAAAGTTACTCAAACTGCAAAACAGCAATAGCCTGAATACAGCCCTACAAAATGTTTACAATAAAAAACTGAAAAACCAACTTTTTCTGGGGGCGACAGCTCAACGATAGAAAGTAATCGCGTAATTTATCTCTCGTTGCCAGTGAACGTGACACAGGACATGGCGTGTTGTAATCTGCTCTTCTGTTAAGCAGCGTATAGAGTGCTGAAATAAACAATAACCATCCTTCTTTAAATCATGCTCCGCTCCTTTAGCTGTTAATCTGGCGTATTTTGTGGTTTCAGCAACTCTACCCTAGAAATAACGAACTCAGTTAACGGATCTATATCATCGCGACAACGAAAACACTTGTATCCATGAACGGTTTCATGGAACTTTGGGAAGTTTATCATAGTATATCGGACAGTTGATTTTAAACTTTTGAATTGCTATGTATCGTTTTTAATTTATACGCTCTCATGACCTACATCGCCCGATATGGTTGGGCATTCAGTTCTTTGTTGTAAATAATCCACATGCATTATAGATATAATTGTACTTTCTACACATCGACGGTATGAAATAAGCAGAAACACAAAAATAAATTATTCTGGAATACGATCAAAAAGTTCAATATCAATAGCTCATCTTTTGAGAAGCCGCCTTATGTTTGTCATTCATATTCTATTGATCAGCGCAAACTGTCGCGATAACATTGCCATGACATCTTTCAGCCGGCGCGGACAAAACGTGTTTATTAGAGGTCCAACAATATATATATAACTTCAACCTGACTGGCGACCAGGATTTCCTGTGCCTCGGGGTTCAGAGTCATATATAGCGAGTTCATCAACTGTTAAAAATTGCAGGTATTTGTCCAGTCCTCAGAATGTTCGTTTAAATTCAACCTTTTGTTGTTTGCATTGTTATTTGATGTCTTTAGATTTTTTTTTGGAGTTTGTGTCAAAACTTTGAAGTATGCTACTCAAACACAGGTTATTATTCTCTGTTTAATCAATTCCAATATTTTGTTGCCGGTCCGCGAGATCATTTCATTTGATGTCACTGGTCCGCCGAAGAAAAAAGTTCGAGAATCACAATTTTAAATGAAGCACTCACTAGAATTCGCGGTCACAAGCTCCCGGATGTATGACGGTACTGCTAAAGTTATGCTAGCACAACTTTGTGATGACACATCGACGATATAAAATAAGCAGAATAAGAAAAAAAAAATTATTATGGAATACGATCAAAAAGTTCATTATTTATCTTTTCGGAAGCCGTCTTATTTTTGTCATTCATATTCTATTGCTCAGGGAAAACTGTCGCGATGACATTGCATGACATCTTTTAGTTTAGACTGCGCAGACAAAACGTGCTTATTTGCAAACTTTAGAGATCCAACAATATATATCTTCGAACGTCAACCTGACTGGAGAGTGAGACCAGGATTTCCCGTACCTTGTGATTTAGGGCATATATGGTAAGTTTGAAATTGCAAGTATTCGTCACGTCTTCAGAATATTTGTTTAAATGTAATTGAAGAAATTCAAAAATTATTCTGGAAAGTATTCGAAGAAATATACCTTGATATCCCGAATATTCAATTTGATGTTGAGACTTTCGTTTTAGATAAATACTCCAAATTAGCTAAGATTCATTCAGTTCACCTGAAATTACATGAATTTAGTCAAGCATATATTGACATTCTGTTCCCATCCCATTTTGAATTAGGTATATATATAATGACACATTGGTTGATATTATGTATTTAAGTCCCTACTCCCTACATATGAAATCACTTGAACGCGCAGCAGAAATGGATTTTGAAGATGTTTTATAGTACGGAAACGAAATACTGTATTATTGACTGTTGTGATTGCTCATTTAAGTTTGCAGTTTGATTATTCAACATTAAAATTGATTGATATCAATATCATGATCCGCGAATACGAAGGTATAGATTTAGCAAAAAGTTATGATCAACTCCGTCCGAGTTATCCTGGGCAACTCGTAGAGGAAATTCTGGCATATCTAAGGAAAAATTGTGTCTATGGCTTTTCCAAGAGAATAATGTTGGACGTCGGTTGTGGTGGTGGAAAATCTACAAAAATATTCACTCCTTATTTTGACTCAATTCTTGGCATTGACATTAGTGAGGGCCAAATCGAATTCGCCAAAGAGAACAATAAAGCAGATAATATTGAATATAGACTTATTGAAGGAAACATATTTCCACTGGAAGACGGAACTGTCGATTTCGTCAATTGCGCAACTACTGCCCATTATTTGGACCTCAATTTGTTTGAGAGTGAATGCGAAAGAGTCTTGAAACCAGGTGGTTGTGCTGCTGTTTACGCATATGCTCCTTTCACTATCAAATCTTTGGAAAATGAAATACTGGCTGAAATTAAACAGGATTCTGTATACAAGCAGGTAATGGTGAAGTTTATCAGGGACTGTGGGGCCCACGAAGGAAACCTAGCAGTGTTAGAAAGATACAAACCGATATACGACCAGCTAAAAAACGAAACAAAGCAATTCAAAATCTTAGAATCAACTGTTCCGTATACTGTGACAAACTTCCTGAAGTTGCATGAAACCGTTTTTGGGTACAGTCGTTTTCGTGGTCGCGGTGGTAAAGACCCATTAACTGAGTTCGGAATTTCTTTGAGAAAGTTACTCAAACTGCAAAATACACCGGACGACCAGTTGAAGTTCAACGTTGTATACGAATATCCTTTAATATTGTTCTACAAAGCCAAATAATTACGTTAGTTCTAATCACAGCTCAGCGAAGCATGAATTGAAGATGGATGGTTACTGTGTATTTCAGCGCTCAATACGCTTCCCGACAACAGGCAATATCATCTGTAACGCACATTGGCAGCGGGAGATTGGTTACTTCCTGCTAGCGTTGAGCTGCCGCCACGGAAAAAACTTCTTTTTACTTTTCACTTCATCATTGTAAATATTTTGTAAGACTGTAATCAGGCTATTGCTGTTTTTTCATTTACATTTCACGTGAAATGATTCAATCTCATTGTGTGAATATTACAATATTTAAACAGTCAGTACCATAATAGAGAGTGTGATTCTGAGCTCTGAAAGATTCTATTAAAGATACCTTTTTAGGTACGTCAAACAGTGCAAAAGCAATAGAACACGCAGGCCTTAGTATGGGGCCTTATACTAACCCTTAGTACCAGGGGTTAGTATGGGTTCAAATATCCGTAAAAAGAGGGGTGCAATAGTATGCAGGTGCAATTGTCGTGGGTTCAAATCACGGGTTCAAATGTAATGGAATCTTGAAATCAAGCATTACTCCTATTCACATGATCCAGAATCTTTACTGCCTGTTAGTCGACGTTTCACTATGACAGGCAGAGTTAGGATTCTGTCGCCTAGGATCTTATACATTAATCTAGTCTGTTGAACATATTCATGTCGCATGTATCCCGCACGATTCCAAGCTTGCTTTCTGTTCAACTATGAGAAAGAAATTTTCGAAGATTGGAATCTATTTTTTACAGCTTTAAGTGCTCGCATCGAAAAATGGTTTTGCATATTCAATGATTCAATAGGTTAGCACCGTGGTTCAGAACCACTTGATTCGCAACGCAATGACGTTCCGGGCAGCCTCCTCGTCGGTCCGTGGGGAGTTTTCTTGTTCAGTTACTTTTCTGCCAGGGCACGCATAATCGGGGGATTTGTCTCCCGTTGTTAATTAAATTAGTCGTTTGACGGTGGTGGTATTGATTGCCCAAGTTTTTTTTTTGTTCCCGGCCCGTGAGATAATTTTATTTGATGTTACCTATCCGCCGATGGGAAAAGGTTGGAAATCACTGGTTCAGTAGACCCGACTTAAGTAATATATATATATATATATGGTAAGTAAGATAATATATCTGGTACTTTTTTTCTGGTACGCACGTTACGTTTTGCCAAGGAACTACGAACGTGGCGCCATTTATTCATGCTTGATGTATCGGGCGAACAGAAAGATAAATCATTGTAGCCATGTTTGGGTAAAGCATCAGTCGATCTACTGTTTTAATTCTATATTGTGAGATAAATAGTATCAATGAGAATGTTGTGTTTATACTTTGTTATTTTGTCCTGTTCATTATTTTGACCAACAATGATATGCTGAACTAGCGGTTATGGTCTATAGTATACGAGAGACCAATATATACTACCCAGATCCGACCCACGAGGACAATTCATCCGGCCTGCCACAATTCGTTTTTAAATATGGAAGTTTAATTGAAGAAATCTGCTCCCGTAATTAACTTTGTTTGGCAAACTATGTTCGCCGTGATTGATTTATGGCGCAATAACGCCGTTGTTTCATTATTAAAGCGACCCGATGCCTTATATCGTTAACTTGAACAAAGACAAGGACAGTAGACATAAAGTTACTATCGGGTAGGGTAGCATGAAAAATATATGAGAAGTTAAAATTTCCAATTGTCGTAAATTTCTAATTTAGACCGTAACAGTTAGCAGGTCAGGTAAGAGGCCGGAAAACTTGGGGTTTCAAGAGTCTGTCTTGGAGGTCTAAAAAGTGTCCCAAGCTACGAAAAATTGCTGGGTATGATACAAAAAGATGTCTTTTTTTCATTTCAAAAGTATGGTTCTGCCCCCCCCCCCCCCCCCCCCCCCCCCGGATACATACATTGAAATAAAAGTGAAAGTAACTGCACTTCAATACACAGTATCATGGTAAGCTATTGTCACATATTGTGTCAATATTAATTGCTTTATATATATATATAAATTTGTATATAAGACTGGCACAGTATGCTATTTTCAATCACAAATTTCCTCTCGGATAAGATTATAATGATATTTCATTCTGTAGCAATACTATTATCACAAGACAGAATTTGTAATTCAGTTCCTTTTGTCACCAGGTATGCAATTAATGTCCAGCTTAACACTCGATTGTATAAAGCTGTGCGAAGATTCCCATGTTATGCATCGCACTGTATGCAGCTACTACATTTTCAAGGCTTGGAGTCGTATTGGGAAACAATGTCCAAATCATCCATTCTCCTAAAAAAATTATATAAAACAAATAAACTCTCAATATCAAATAAATTCCACCAATTTGACATAAATCAATCG